CTAAGTAGAGTAGCTAGGGTTCATTTGGCTCCGGGGCGACCAGAACTGGGGGAGAGCTGAGATACGCCTTCAACTGAGTGAGGGCACGTTCAGCTTCCTCCGTCCAAGTAAACGGCCCGGAGCGTTTGAGGAGCTTAAATAAGGGTAGCGCCTTCTCTCCCAGCCTCGATATGAACCGACTTAGGGCGGCCATGCAACCGGTGACGCATTGCACATCCCTAAGCTTGCTGGGGGGCGCATCCGCTCTATAGCTCGTATCTTCTCGGGGTTGGCCTCGATGCCTCGGGCAGAGACCAAAAACCCGAGAAGCTTGCCCGCAGGTACATCGAACACGCACTTATCGGGGTTCAGTTTTATGCGGGCGGAGCGGAGACTCTTAAAAGTTTCCGCTAGATCCGAGAGTAAGGTCTCTTGGTTGCGCGTCTTTACAACCAAGTCATCGACATAAGCCTCAACATTACGTCCTATTTGGCTACCCAAAGAAATTCGAGTAGTGCGTTGAAAAGTAGGACCTGCATTCTTTAACCCGAAGGGCATTGTCGTATAACAATAAGTTCCTATGGGGGTAATGAATGCAGTTTTTTCCTCATCCTCCCTAGCCATGCGAATCTGATGGTAACCAGAGTATGCATCTAGAAAACACAAAAGGTCGCACCCCGCTGTGGAGTCGACAATCTGATCTATGCGAGGCAGGGGGTAAGGGTCCTTAGGACATGCCTTGTTAAGGTCGGTGTAGTCGATGCACATCCGAAGCTTGCCGTTCGCCTTGGGAACGACCACCGGGTTCGCCAGCCACTCCGGATGGATGACCTCGCGGATGAATCCGGCTTCCAGAAGTCGCGCCACCTCCTCGCGGATGAAGGCTTGACGTTCCGGGACCTGCCGCCGTACTTTCTGCCGGACCGGCCTTGCGCCCGACCGCACGGCGAGACGGTGCTCAATCACCTCCCTTGGGACCCCGGGCATATCCGCTGGTCTCCATGCGAAGACGTCAGCGTTTGCCCGCAGGAAAGAGACGAGCGCGTCTTCCTATTTGCCGTCCAGAAGACCACCGATCCGTGTGGTCTTGGACGGGCCGTCGCCCAGGGCAACCTCCTTGACCGGGACCTCGTCGCATGTGACTATCCGCTGCCTCGGGGCGGCGGGGGCGGAGGTGCCAAGCCTCTCGTCGCCTCCCTCGGGCTTGGACGCGGCGGTGAGGTGGTCCGCGCGCTGCTCCATACAAGCAAGCGCGACTTTGAGGTCGCCATGGACAGAGATGGGGCCACCGGGGCCCGGCATCTTCATCTGGAGGTAGGCGTAGTGGACTGCCGCCATGAACTTCACCAACGCGGGCCTCCCTAGGACCGCGTTGTAGGGCAGACTGAGGTCCGCCACATCAAAGTTCACCCGCTCCGTGCGGAAGTTGGCGGATCCACCGAAGGTGACCGGGAGGTCGATATGACCTAGCGGCCAAGTGTGACCCGGCGTCACACCGATAATCGGCTGGGACGGCCGGAGCACCATCCCCGGGGCCTTGATAGCGTCAAAGGCTGCGGGGGAAAGGATGTTGAGGGCTGCTCCCCCATCAATGAGGACACGCCCCAGCTTCACGTTGCAAACCGTGGGGGAAACCACCATTGCGATCTGTCCTCCCCGGGCAACGCACGGTGGGTGGTCGGTCTGGTCGTAGGTGAGAGCAACCTCCGACCACCGCGCCCGGCGCGTCGCCTCATGAGTAGGGGCCGCGGCCAGAAGCTCTCGCTTCATGGCCTTGAGGCTCCGGCGAGAAACGTGAGCACACGCTCCCCCATCGACAGTGGCAATGGTGGCCCCAGGCTCTTGGAAACCTAGGTCATCATCGCCGTCATCGATGTCCTCGGCGGGGGCCTTCTGCTTGGCCTCACTTCGCCGATTGCCGGAAGGAACCGCCGGGGACTTGCCCTCTCGGCGCTCCTGCCTCCTCTCCTCCTCCCACTTCCTCGTCCGCTCAGCCAAACTTTTGACTGCGCGGCAGTCCGCGAGGTCGTGAAGGGAGGTGTTCTGGACGATGCACCACTTGCCGGTTGAGCGCTCCCTACTGGGAGCGCCAGCCTCCTTCTTTTTGTCGCTCGCAGGCCTCCCCTTTCGGGTGGCCCGCGAAGCGCCCTCGACGGCGAGGACATGACCCTCGTCGTCGGAATGGGCTGACCTCTTCTTCCTCCTCCTGTCACGCCGCCCTGTCCGAGCAGCGGATTCGGGGGCGGCCGAAGCTGCCACACCGGAACCGGAGGGGTTCCAGGTCCATGCCTCTTCCTTTCGAGCCACTCGGTCTGCGAGCTGAAAAAGCTCCGCGGTAGTCTGGGGCTCTTTGGAGGCGATCTTTTCGAGCATGCGGTTGTGCCGCACACCCCCCCTGAACGCGTAGATCACCGCGTGTGCAGGGATGCATGGTATGGTGTTGCGGACTTGACAGAACCGCTGAATGTATGAGCGAAGTGACTCATCATCCCTTCGCTGGACTGCATGTAAGTCCGCTTCTTCACCTGGGCGCGGATATGTGCCTTGAAAGTTCATGGTGAACTGTTGGCACAAATCCTCCCAAGAGTGGACGGACGCGGGTGGCAAATTCATTAGCCAACCCCGTGCCTGTCCCTTCAGGGCCATGGGAAAGAAATTTGCCATGACCCTGTCGTCACCCCCGGCGGCCTCGATCCCGGTCGTGTAGACCTGGAGAAACTCGGCGGGGTTGACGCTCCCGTCATATTTTTCGGCGATGGTGGGCCGGAACCTTGGGGGCCAACGGACGTTCCGAAGGCTCGCCACAAAGGCTCTACAGCCGACACCACCAACCGGGGGCACGGAGGGCTGATCCCCGCGTCCGTGTTGATATGACACTCCGGACGAGGAGGCGCCCTCCGTTGCGTGGGCAGCACGCCGGCCATTACGCCGGCGCTCGATACTGATGCGGGGATCCGGCCCCCCACGCAGATCTTCCTGGGTCGGAGGCGCTGACGAAGGAGTGGCGGCTGAATGGCGAGCAACAGCCGCCGCTCGCCGCGCTCTCCGCCTTGACAACACGGAGCCGGTGGTAGCAGCGCCAGAGGTCTTGGTGGCGGAGGACCGCCCACCAGCACCTAGGCGCTGCCGTGCCGTCATGACCAAGTTGGCCACGTCGTCCAGCCAACGTTGGGCTGGAGACTCCGGGTCAGGGACAATGGGCGGGTGACGTAGGAGCGCGCCCGCAGCTTGGAGCGCGCCCTGGGGCGTGCTGCCGTCGCCGTAGACGAGGAGGCGACGCTCCCCATCTCGCCGCCCTTCCCCATCACCCGTGGATGTCGAAGTCGCGGATCCTTCGACCCTCTCGAGCGCCTCCTCCCGCCTAGGACTTTGGCGTGGAGGGGGCGGTGGAGTACGAGCTCGACGGCGTGGGTTCGGCTCCCCGTCGTCACCGCTAACACTCGGAGAGAGGTTGTGCGCCTTTGCTTGTTCGGCCATTGGGCTGAACAGGAAAAGCTTGGCGCACACGAAAGAATGCGAGAGCTTAGAAAAACACACGCAAAGCCCCCTACCTGGCGCGCCAGATGACGGAGCGTGGGGCTCCTCACCGGGAGACCGCACAGGCCCCCCTTTGCCGGTTCGGCCGGGGGCCCTGGGTGAGATTCTAAGCTCCTGGTCTGAGTGTGGAAGGTTCGCGAGAGTGGAAACACACAAGACACGGGCGATGTATACAGGTTCGGGCCGCTGAGAAGCGTAATACCCTACTCCTGTGTTTTGGTGGATCTGTGTATGAAGAAGCTACAAAAGAGCTGGAGAACCAGAGAGCTCTTACTTTCTCCCTCTCTGATCTTTCTGGATCCGAAAATCCTCATCTTCTAAGTGGGCAAGGTCCTCCTTTTATACCTCAAGGGGATACCACATGCACCATCTCTCTCTTTTTTGTGGGGACTTATCCTATCTTTTCATAAACAGACGGAGACTTGTATGGTTGCCGTCCGAATGACCTTCTGATGGGACAGCCCATACCTACCTCCACTTCCGCCGGAAGCAGGCGCGACGTGGGAAAATGGCTGTCTGCTGACGACATGACCAGTGTCAGACCGGTCACAAATCGGTCATTCTTGTCCACCACGCGTCAGTCTATAAATCTGCATGTTCGCCCTTCTTCATACAATATCTTGCCTGTAATGGTTAGGATGAAGCCTGGCATATATCTGACCGGAACCAACGTGCCATCTCCAGGAGCTAACACGCCGGCTCCGGCTAGGGACGAGTGCTTGGAGGCTCTCGTCCTGACAGGATGGGGCGAGGCGTGCGTCAGACCGCCTGTCGCCACCTAACCCACGATCTGATCGGTCTGTGACTGGTCACTGACCGGATAAACGAGCGCGCTGCACTGCGTTACATGCGGCATGACGCGCTCGTCCAAACCGCAATAAATGTGGTTAGGTGAGCCCCGCTATGCTCACCTACCCCATATACGCGGCGCAAAACCCACAAGGGGTCGGGGCGCCTCGGCCCTCGGGGCCGAGACGGGAGCGGTCCAACCCCTCGGGGAGACAAAGAGAAGGGCGGCCGTATCACCCTCGGGCCCGACCCCCCCCCCCCCCCGAGGGGGTTAGGCCACGTGGGTGATCGTGTCTGACTCAAGTCTCTAAGTTATGATACTCCCGGTCCCATGTCACCGACAGCAGGTGGGACCCACATGTCAGTGGGTCACATACTATATTTTGTGTGATATATTTTTTAATTCTAATACCACATAAGTGCCACATGAGACAAAGGCTAGGTCAACACTGCCACACAGGCGCCATATTAGCAAAACCGCTCTACAAAACCATCGATGGAGTCAAATTGCACCGGTTTTAATAGTTAGGGGGTTGAGATATCCGGTATTGCGGTTCGAGGATACGAATCAGATTCGGTCACTAGTTAAGGGAGTCAAAGTGAACTTATTCCTAGGCCCAAACACCCGGCTCACATCACATCGCCTATATAGGGCCTTCTAGTTTAGCCCACTAGCTTAGCTGACTCCACCAGTCCACCCACTCTTTCCTTCCCGCATCTTCCCCTGCACGCTTCCCCCCTCGTACCGCCAAATTTTTTGGAGCGCATCTCCTGCTCTCCAAACCCGCCGCCCCGCTTCCAAAATTCCCCAATCCGCACGCGAAAAATCCCACACGATTCGGTGCCAATCTCCACAGATTCACTCGAGGGAGGTGAGGCGATGCCTTCGACGAGCAAATGCAACCGCATCAGCCGCGTCGCCGATGAGGAGGAGGAGGAGGAGATCGTTGCCGTCTCCTCCGACGCCGACGAATCGGAGTCAGAGTCGGAGGTGGGGAGTGGAGCGGAGGAGGAGGATGACGACTACGTGGGGGAGAGTAGTGACTCGGCCGGCGGCAGCGGCAGTGGCAGCGGCGACGGCGACGGCGACGAGGAAGGAGGTAGGAGCGACATTGGCGATGGCGAGGGCGAGGGCGGCGGGCGGCGAGTTCGGAGCGCGTGTCGCGGCGTGAGAGCGAACGACCGGGAGAGGAAATCGCAGAATGTGGATGCCCTCGTCAGGTATGCTGGGAAGAGCCCATTTCGGCTAATAGATTAGTTGATTTCTTCTTCGAGGTGTACGTGCGTGAGATCGTGGCGTGTCGACGCACCATAATAGATTCCTAGGGCTCGCATGTGTGCGGATCTAGATTTTGATGGTGGCGAGATTGTTCGATGTACGCTTAGTTGCTTACGACTGTTATGGAACTCTGTCTTGGGGTTCCTGATGCAATTCCACATTGGACATTTTCCCAGAAGGCCAACAGCCCAGCTTGGGTTTACATTTCTTCCCCATGTTGTTTGATTTAGGTACCCTAGTCTGGTAACATTTGGTTCATTTCCTCATAAATTTAGGGTAATAGTTATAAACCGTAGTTGGCGAATAACATTTTTATTGTCTGGGCAATGGTAGAGTTGGAATCTATACTCCACTGACTGGGAGAACACATTTGTATCCCTGGATCGACCCTAAGAGTTGTGATGGGTTTATTTGCTGAAGAAGTTCAAAGTGAAATCCCTGAAACCCTGAACGTCGATAGCGTAACATAGGCCGTTTGGCTAGATAAACATGCATTATTTACTAAATCATGAATAACAGGATTCATTTAATTCAACATTATAAATTACCTCTAAAAGTATATTATGGATATAGGCATGACAGTGACTAGTACACATTGTTCATGTGATCTATTGGAGTCCACCAATATCACTGTATTTGGCCAGTTGACTTTTGGACACTGGAAGTCCGGAACAACCTTGCTCCATGCGATATGATGCTAGTATTCACTTCAACCTTTTTTACCTGTATACTGTAAACTTCAAATTTGTCAAATGCCTTTAACTTTCTTCACATAAACAAAACTGGGGGATTTCCTGTGCAATTATATAGATATTAAAAGTAGAATTGGGTTTAATATAAAACTCTTACATTCTGTTTCTATAGATACAATTGTAATTTGTATACAACTGTTCCTATCAATCTACACTGCTATAATTTGGTCCCACCATGATCTAATGGCTTAGGTTTTATTTTTTTCTCCAATTAATGTAGCAATCTCTAGACCTTCACAGCGAATGTGGTGGGTGATGGCTTCTTTTCGAGCTATCTTTATAATATAGGAGAAGAGATAGATAGATAGATAGATAGATTGTTTCGACTCGATCCACTACAGCCTGAGTGACAAACAGTTCGTCTTGTTTCATATTATCTTTCTTTCCGGTTTATGTCAGGGGAAATCTAGTTGTAAGAAGGCAGCCACTTATTCCACGTATTCTTTCGGTTTCTGATGCGGCAGCAATAGCTCGAAAGCCATTCAAACCTCCCTGTCAAAATGGATACAGTGAAAATAATGAGCAACTTGCTCGGCGCCTTTCAGCTCGTAAAAGATTTGTCCCATGGGGTTCGGTGCAGCCATTTGCAGTTACAAATATTCTTCCACAATCACCTGCTGTTTCTAGTGATGATTCCGTAGAAAATGAGGAATCCCTTCCACCAGGCATAGAGCCATTGATTTTGTGGCAACCCGAGGGGCGTGACAAGGAAAACAGCAATTTTTCTGCAATCAAGGTTGATCACTTGCTTGTACGTTACCTCCGACCCCATCAAAGGTAATATACTCCTTTTGCATTATCCTCTTCCATATATGTTTATTTGGAGGCACTTCATAAAAAACACCTATTAAAGTGGTGATATAATTAAACTTTAGTTCAGTACCCATCTCTTTACAATTTACATGATGATGTTCTGATGCAGGGAAGGAGTTCAGTTTATGTTTGATTGTGTATCTGGGTTGTTAAATGATGATGGAATATCTGGTTGCATTTTAGCTGATGACATGGGGTACTACGCTGGGTCCCTCCATCTTGTCTTTTCTTTTTCATTATTATATAATGCTTAACTTGTTTTATACTTGTCCAGATTGGGGAAGACTTTACAGTCGATAACTTTACTATACACCCTTCTTTGCCAAGGATTTGATGCTAAGCCAATGGTTAAAAGGGCTGTCGTCGTAACCCCCACAAGTTTAGTTAGCAACTGGGAATCTGAGATAATTAAATGGTTAAAAGGCAGAGTGCAGTTGCTTGCTCTTTGTGAAAGCACACGCGCTGATGTTCTTTCTGGAATTGAAAGTTTCTTAAAACCTTTGAGCCGTCTTCAGGTGTTCCTTTTCTCATTCATTTTCATCTATGCTATTTTAGTTCAGAAACAAACACAAGTTGATGGTAATGTCTTCTGAAAATATATCTTTATTATGCATTCCCTTCAGGTACTCATCGTATCTTATGAGACATTCCGCATGCATTCTTCAAAATTTGAAAGGCCGGGAAGCTGTGACCTCCTCATATGTGACGAGGCCCACAGGCTGAAAAATGATCAGACCCTAACCAATAAAGTATATCAACTGTAAATTTGTTACATCTCAATATTTTATACACGTGAATTGTTTGCACCACATATATTCCTCCTTGATGTTCTCATCACAACAAATAATGTTGTAGGCCTTGGCTGCCCTTCCTTGTAAACGGCGTATCCTGTTATCAGGCACCCCAATGCAGGTAATTTTAGCTTTCCTGTTTTGTTCTGTCTTTCTTTCTTGAATGGAACAAATGTTTTCAATGTCAATCGATACAATTTTTTTCCTGCAGAATGATCTGGAGGAGTTCTTTTCAATGGTAAATTTCACAAACCCAGGAGTTCTGGGGGATGCTACATATTTCCGCAGATATTATGAAGTAAGTATTGAAGTTAATACGAATCAAGATATACTGCAAAAATATGAGTTAGTATATTGGGAGGAAAATATTAGAGTTCATTAGTCCAAGGATTTCCTTTTTGTTTATCTGTGTGCCTATGTTCATGTGAGATGTGCACCCAATATTTCTTTGATTTATCTCTCATATTACCTGCCCCTGACTGAAGGCACCAATCATTTGCGGAAGAGAGCCCACAGCAAGTGCAGAAGAAAAGAACTTGGGATCTGAGAGATCTGCAGAGCTCAGTGCAAAAGTAAATCTGGTAAGACTTGTCCTTCTGATGAAGCCTGTTCACCAACATGATTATTTTTATCATGTTTATGATTCATGGGTTATGATGTCTTGCGCCTTTTAAGTTGTTTTGACGTATTTCCTTCTGTTTTAATATAACCAGACATTAATCATGTTTTGATGCTTTCTTGATGATATCCAGTTTATATTGAGACGGACGAATGCCCTGTTATCCAATCACTTGCCACCAAAGGTATGCTCATATATTTAGTTGAACTCTTTGAATTTTCTGTTTAGTTAAGTTTTGCCCTATATTGTTCGTTGCACCTTTGATTGAAAGAACTATAGAACATTTATCTATCTGAGGTTCTAAAATGTGGTCAACTCATCTTCTAGTGCTTATACAGCATAGTCGTACAAGGTTGGGGCGCATGTTCCTTCTATGCGGTCTTGTAGGCCTTATTTTGAAAACTGTATTCCTCTTATTTTATAAGGTTCCTTTTGGAAGTTCAAATGATTTTTCTGCCTTAGCATTGCTTAATGCTTATACACAGATCGTTGAAGTAGTGTGCTGCAAGTTGACTGCTTTGCAAACTGCGCTGTACAACCACTTCATACATTCAAAAAATGTGAGTGCCTAACATCACATAGTTCCAAGTCCAAACATTTTGTTTAGTAGGCACTATACCTACAACACTGTATTATTTGCCCTTTTCAGGTTAAACGCTTGATATCTGAAGGAACAAAGCAATCCAAAGTTTTGGCTTATATTACTGCTCTTAAGAAGCTATGCAACCATCCAAAGGTAAATAATTTTAATGCGTCACTAGAAATGCATTTCTCGCTGTTTCGTCGATAGTAACTTCAGTGATATTCCTACAAAGTTCATTAACAATCTTATTACTTCTACTATCATCTCTCTTAGTCACTTCCATACAAAATAAAACTCTGACAGCATTGCAAACTCCTTATTGTTACCATGTGGTATCCTGCATGAAAAACTGGAAGTAATAGATTTTGAAGAAAAGGCTCCTCATTGGTATTTTTTTCAATGTGAAACAAAATTATTATTATTTTTGTCATGATAATTCTGTCATGTGTCCTGCTCAGATTGACAGTGTTGTAACTTGAATATATAATCCTTGTAATATGCAAAATTAGCACGGGCCAAGTCTGAAGTCTCACTATTTTCCTTTCTTGATTATCTTGCATAAAGGAAGTTAGATGACATAATGGTTACAAAGAATCTCTGGGAAACTGTTTCTTGTGACACTGTTGCTACTAGCCATCCTGCATGTTATAGTTTCAACTTTTGGGTTGTAATAAGCACGATACATGATGTTTGTTGTTTGACTATATTTGTATCGCAGCTGATCTATGACACCATAAAAAGTAATAATTCAGGGGGCTCTGGTTTTGACGACTGCCTGCGCTTTTTTCCTCCTGAACTGTTTTCGGGAAGGTATTTCACACTTTCTAACTAGCTTCAAAATTAGCTCGCCCAACTTATAGCAACTTCTAATTTTGTGCAAGATCTGGATCATGGACCGGTGGAGGAGGAATGTGGGTAGAACTGTCTGGCAAAATGCATGTCTTAGCTAGATTACTGGGGCACCTCCGTCTGAAAACTGATGATCGTATTGTTCTTGTATCAAATTATACCCAGGTCAGGTTTTGTGGTACATCATTTTAATATATATGCCTGGCTTCCTTCTATAGCTGTCAAAATAATATATTTCGAAGCGCTTGATTTTACCCATGACCTTATTTTCTCCACATCTTAGTGCCTACCTCTGCTATGTATGGCTCATTCTCCATAATTATCTCAAATCAGTAGTTGAGCATGTACTGCGCTTTTAAACTGCATAGAATGTATTTTCTTGATACATGAGAATAGAGTAGTTATTGTAAATTATTTTCCTCTTTTGATACCTATACAGTTAGGAACAAAACAATAATTGATCATTGTTTTCTTCTAAAAATTCAGACATTGGATCTGTTTGCACAATTATGTCGGGAAAGGAGATACCCGTATATTAGGCTTGATGGAGCAACATCCATTAATAAAAGGCAAAAGTTGGTGAACCAATTCAATGATCCATCCAGAGTATGTAAAATCTGCTACATACCCCTTTTTAGATCAAGAATCTGCCCTGTGTCCTGAAGAACTGTTCCAAATTTGAACATACAACTATATATGTCTTTTTGGCAGGATGAGTTTGTCTTTCTACTTAGTAGCAAGGCAGGTGGCTGTGGGCTTAATTTGGTTGGTGGAAATCGATTGATTCTCTTTGATCCCGATTGGAACCCTGCCAATGATAAGCAGGTCAATGTCTCTGCATCTCTGCTTCATCACCTTGTGAAGGTTCTTGTAACTCCAAACCTTGTCTGGTCTGACCTGTTTTCATCTATCGCCATTTTACAAAGGCTGCTGCTAGAGTATGGAGAGATGGACAAAAAAAGAGAGTGTACATATACAGGTTCTTAAGCACAGGAACCATTGAGGAGAAGGTTGCCAGTGAATCTTATACTTCCAGATATTGTTCGCTTTTTTTTTAATTGTCCAATGGAAGAATGCTGAGTTTCTAGCTACTTTCTTGTGCTGACATTCGTATATAGGTATATCAGCGTCAGATGTCGAAAGAAGGTCTCCAAAAAGTTATTCAGCAGGAACAAGCAGATGGCAAAATGCAGGTTTATCTGTTTGGACTGATTATTTGCTTTCTTTAATTCTTTTTAGTGTTAAGTCTACTGTATTCAAATCTTCTTTAACAGGGGAGTTCTCTTTCAACAGAAGATCTGCGTGATCTTTTTACCTTCCATGAACAAATCAGGTGAATTATGTTCATTTGAATTGTGGGACTCTTTAATTTCTTGTTTCCGGGCTTTATTTATGTTCATATTTTGAGAACTTATTGCTAGTATGAAGGCATTAATGAAAGCATCCCATAAACCAACGGAACCATATAACACATGATAAAATTGGATATACCTGGTGGATAATTGAGTGAACTGGTTGGGAAAAAGAAATTAGAATTGTTCTCTTTTCTGAGTAACCATCAACCAATGCACATTTTTTATCAACTCAATTTTTCATTTATTTGGAGAATATTGTGGTGTCAGCTGCCAGTCTTAGACAGTTATACGTATGTACTACTATTAGCATCACTTTCACAGACAATTGTTTTTAAGATCAAGAATGCTGCAATATTAGTATGTAAAAAGTTGGGCATTGTCAATTTCATTCATTATCTCACGACCATTTCTTCCCTTTACAGAGGGGGCATTTTTTTTTCTGTAGATAATATGGCAGCAACTATAAAAAAGCCTGCCTAAAATGTTCAATTTTGAAGCTGCAAGTATCAATTGTTTCATTACCTTAATATAAATGCAGTACCATAGCTGATATTCTGTGTCATATTGTTTCTTACTTTTTTTTGTGGGGATTTCTTACTTTCATTTGGTGACGCAGGTCTGAAATACATGAAAATTTGAAGTGCAATCGCTGTAACAAGGATGGATGTATGGTTCTCGATGGTAGCAAATTTGATTCAGCAGCCACTGAGCATGAGGCTTCTAACTCAGGAGAGAACAGTTACATTGATATTGGTGGATTTGGAGCGATCTCTGGATGTGTGCAGAAAATGAATAGTTCGAATCAACAGGTAGTCCGTGACACCCTTTTTATTTTTAATCTAATTAATACTGTAGTTGGCTAGCTGCTTCAAAACTTTTAATCTAATTAGAGTAAATTTCACAAAACTACACGTTTTGTGGTCCAAGTTGCAGAAAACCACATACATTTTGACACTTGGCACTTAAGTACATATATTTTGGTTGTGTAGTTTCACAAAACCACACTATCGATGAATTGATTCACTCGCGAGATGACGTGGATGTTTCACCTAGGACGAGGACATGGCATCCTATTACTAGCCATCACACGAAATTAATAGGATGCCACGTCCCCATCCTAGATGGAACAACCACATCATCTCATGGGTGAATCCATTCATCAATAGTGTGGTTTTGTGAAACTAAACTACTAAAATATATGTACTTAATTGCCAAGTGTCAAAATGTGTGTGGTTTTCTGCAACTTGAACCATAAAACATGTAGTTTTGTGAAATTTACTCATCTAATTAATACTGTAGTTGGCTAGCTGCTTCAAAACTCAGGGTTACATCCTTTTCAGATTGGAAGTCCTTCTGAAGAAGATTTAGGAAGTTGGGGCCATCATTCTGATCCATCAACTGTACCTGATACTATACTCCAGTGTTCTTCTGGTGATGAGGTGATGTCCTCAATGCATTTGCATCTTACATCTTATCTATAGAAAAGTTCAATTTCATACTTGTCCCCCATAATAAGTTTCTCCCTCTTCCACTTGTTCATTTTTAGTTTTTTACTATCTTCATTATATTTACATGATAAAACAGAAAAGAAAGAGGGTTGGGGGCGGGGGGGGGGGGGGGGGGGTGGTGGGATTTATATATGCTGCTCCAAAGTGCCTCTTGGCAGAATGGCAGCCCATCCACTATTCACCATCCACCATTGTATCATATGATAGATCTCAAAGTAACACTCCTTGCCTATGAAGTGACAGCTCTGACATGTCTGTGCACGCTGTGTGTATTAGCTGGTCCACCACAGTCGTTCCAAACTTAGCAGTTCATAATAGGCCAAGATAAGGATGAAAAATTACATATTTGAATTTGCCAAATGTCCTATCTCAAGCTTGCAGGACTAGGTTTAGCTTGAAAATAGAGTAATTTGAACCTAGCAGATTGGTAGTAATGGATGAGGGAAGACTCCATATGGATGAGTAAGGAGGAAGGGGCGTTATGTTCTTGAATTATCCATAATTTAATTTTTCAAAGAGTGGTCACTATCTAGTGCCATTTCTTGAGGAAAAAACTTGACTGTCATGTATTAACAGCATTCAATATGAACTGGCACATATCTAAATTTCTAAAGAAGAAAATGCTTGCCTGCGAAGCTGTCCTTTTAGCAGTTAAATAACCTTTATCTGATATCAAGGATTTTTTTTTTGAAATATAGAGTTTGATTTTCAAGAAATTCTGGCAACTGTTAACAAATGGCATGCACTTTTGCAGGTTTCTTTTGTTTTCACAAATCAGATCGATGGGAAACTTGTTCCAGTTGAATCTATGGCGCGAGCTGCAACTCATCGAACACATGAAGTGACTGTTAATGCAGAAAAAGAAGTGGGAAAAATCAATTCTTCTAATGTACCTGGAACCGAACGGCAATCTCTACTTGGAAAAAATCTGAAGATGATGGGATTCAATTTAAAGAATTCGTCTATGAAATTCCCAACTAAGTCCAGAAGAATGCTGCCAAACTGTTTGCAAGGGATGAACAAAACCAGCACATCTTCAGATCATCAACAAACTAAAAAGCTTCATGTTATTTCTGATGCGTCTGATGATGATTTTGTATGAATGTGGTGGAACTCAAGTCTGAACAGATAACATCATCTGCTGATTTTGTTTATATCATGTGAATGCTGCATGTCCCTGAATGGTCTGTTCGGTGTGAAACTGCGAATATTGCATACAAGTGAGTTAACAGGCCATCTGAAGCTTTCTTCACTGTGAAATAACGCATAAAATTTGGTAGATTAACAAGCAATCTGAAGCACTGGCCGCAGACAATTTGGGATTTGCATAACAAGTAATCTAAAGGAATCCCCTCATTATCTTACATTGATTTGCAGTAACAATTTTTATTAGTGGAACATGAAGATCAGTATGCAAAATTTCCATTACTTGAGCTTTCCATCAGATGGTTCAGAAAATTAACATGATTGTTGTTACCTGCAGATTGTTTCAAGAGAAAAGGAGCACCGGATAGAACTGTACTGCTCTAAACCTTTGTTCATATTACTGCCAAATGTTCCGTTCTTTCTATTTCCACTTCTTATACATCAATATCATGTGGGTTCTGCGTTCTTTCTATATAACTCATGCCATTTGTTTCCCCGCCCCCCCACCAAAAAAAAGCAAAACTCATGGCATTTGTGAGCTTGCATTCTTGAAATATAATGTAAGTTCGGCATTCTAGTGCAGTGTTAGAAATTTTAGGTTGTTTTGAGAATGTGTGGTCTTAGTCTAAAAAGCACTTTCCACAACTCTCCATGTCTCAGATCATTGTTAGCTCACGTTCTACCTGTAGTTTTGGAATGTGTTTGGTTCTATGATTGTACTACATGCTTCTCCCTCACGGCCTTGGGAATTGTAACCCCATGCTTGAAGTTGTCAGGGTGTAGCCATTAGCCAAATAAAGGTTCAGAAAAAGTGAGATCTGCCGTAAGGATAGGAGACCAACAGGAAGATTTAAGCTTGATATTCCGACAAGCAACTAGACCAACCACTTGGATGGTATGCTTTCATCTCCAGCTGTCATTTGTTTAGGCCTTTCCATGTGGGTGACAGGCACACTTTTAAGATGGTGTAATAAAAGCTTGACGTTTGCACTGTTCCACTCTCCTTTTTAGTATAGTCAAATCAAGTACTCCTAGATCCAGCCTAGCGGCCATTTTGTATCTTAGAATAATCCTTTCATGCTTATGGCCTTATGCAGGGCTAGAGTTTCTTAATTCCCATCAAAATACAAGTACAATGTCTTATAATTTGGATATCTTTGCTATTTTCAGTTGTGTTTCTCATGTTTTGCTATTTAGAATTTGGCCCTGTTGCTGATAGGTAACAAAATTACTACGTTTATGAGATTTGTAGCATCAGGGGAAAAAACAAAATCTCATGGTAGCCCCCTCCCCCCTGAGATCTGTAGGATTTAAGGTAGTAAGTTAAGTCACAATGGGGCTGTTCTTCATTAATCATTTCCATCCCTCACATGTGCAGTCACAAAAGTTAATTCATTGCTGGAAGAAATGAATCGGTGCTGTTCATGTGCTCACATGGGTACTCTAGATCTCAAAAGCTTTGCTTGTACTATACTTTGAGTCTTTGACCATATTTGTGCAAGTTAAATTGTAACGGCAGCCTCTAACCTAGTCTTTTCTCCCCATGAATCATGGTTTAATCTTATGGCCATTCTTCCAAAATGGCCCGCAACTTCTGTTAATTGTTGCTAATGCGATTTAAGATTGGGCACATAATCTTCACAGTTCCATAATCTTTGGGCGCCAGTGTGCAAATTCTATTCAATACATTTGTCTCTCCCAACATGTTAGGATCTTGTTACACATTGAGCGCTAAAAGGGGCATAGTTTGATATCTCAGAGAACTAAAGCTCCACCTGAGGCTGGGTGCATTACATGTAAGTAGGTTTAACAAATTATTATTTATAAACTTGTAATTTGAAAATGAAAAAAATACAATGTATTAATCTTTTCTAACAATCCCAGTTGTTTTTTCCATTGACATGATGCATAACTGAAACTTGTTCTGTGTATTCAAGAAAAGGCATAACTGAACCTTAAACCTAGGTCTTTGTTGCATAGTTGGACGTGTAATTATTGTCAGTTTCAACTCCACCTTTGACATATAACTTGTTCTCATGCATAATTGACACTGTTATACATTTCTAATTTTAATGTTGGTATGATTTGGGATGCGTGGTATTGCTTGCTTTCTTTTTCTACATATTAGTTTACCACTGAAGCATACTACAGTCCACCTACTAGCATGTGTTACTATGCGAGGCATCATGAAGCATGTTATCATTTAAAAATGGCCCTACTGCTAATTGCTAAATAGTTATGATCTATTACAAATAGGACAAGCATTACTGTGGAACAAGAACTCTTTGACTGGTCCGTTGTGACTTGTTGGAGGCACAGGACCAAGGACTCTTGTTATCATTTGGTCATGGAGATGGAACCAAAATGAAGAGGATTCTTGGGGATCACATGGTCCTATTCCGAGAGGTCGATGTCGCCAGCTCACACTACTAACAAACCCGTCTAGTATCAGTCAAATGATTTTGGTACCTACCTTCTTCACCTGTTGGTGCCCATCTGATTCCACTTCTGGACATTGTTAAGCTATCCAGTGTTTCTAATGGTAACTGCGTGTCAGTGTACAGTTGAACAGAGCTCTTAACTTCTTCTTTTTACTTCAAGGTTAGAAAGAACTCCGAATTCATGTTTCTACCTGAATGCTGACAGCATAAATTTTGGATATTTTTACATTGGTGCTCTACTCGCCATTTAATTTCAGTTTCTAGCATTCCATCATTTGAGCTGGATTTCCATCACTGGCATAAGCCAACCTTTTCCCCATATATTTCCTTTTTTTTTAACCAAACTACATAATTACTCTAAATAATCATTCTTTCTGGCATTTCTGTGAACTTTTCCGATTCTTTGCTTGCATTTCATACTTCTATGCTTTCAGCAGAGGTTACCCTACACTATAGTGATCTTACCATGGAGTCGCTTTCTCCTTGTACAGCATACTTATCAATTTGTAAGGAAGGTCGCTTTCTGGGATCATCTACTGTGTTCTTCAGGTCCTCAACATCTAGTCTTTGCAGGCACTGCTGGTCCCTAATCCAGGGCAAGAAAGCTACCACCGGCCTACACCCTGCAAGGCGGCCAGACTGTACGGTTTTCTTGTTCATTGGTATTCGGTTCATGAACAAATGCCTTCAATTCCCTTGTCCCGCATGCCTTCGGACTGTTGCCCGGTATGATTTTGTGTGGTGTGGTGGATCATCATTTGTTCAATGAAGAAAAGGACTGATGTCTTGGACGAATTGGAACCCTGCTAATCTCCACGCAATCATGGATGGATATTTGGGAACGCACAAAAGGTTAGCTTCTTGTTCCATACTCCTCAGAAACCCCACTGTCTTTATGCCCTTGGACTCAATTATTAGGCGTTGCGTGATAAACACCGATGTTTATACTTGCAAACAAAATCTAGACACGCCGCTAGGGTCGATTTTGATGTACGCTCGTTCATGTTATCAACCGTACTAATTAGTACCATCGGTTGGGAGGGTTCAGCTTTCCAACCAGGTTTTAACCTCTTGTTTCACCTGCGCTGGGCCAACTTTTAGAGAAAAATGCATTTATTTGCTTCATGTGTCTTCTAAACGTACCTTGACGAAGTTAACTTTGAAAAAAGCAAAGTGAATCAGTTAGTTTTGGGTTTAAAGTCTGAAACAGGACGAAACCGGGTCCCTCTCTAGGAATCACATTGCCGGGCGTTTTGATTTGATACCAAAATATTGCCATACCAATTTTTTTGTGGTTTAAATAGCAAATGTGATGATTTGATTTGAAGCCAAATGTTTGGTAATGCCAATACTCAATTTGGCACGATTTTAGAATATTCTTCACCACAATTTAAAATTTGGCTCTCAATTGGCATAAATACAAATGCAATCATTTACAATTCTACCTTACTAAAATATTGGTAGTGCCAAAACTTGCCTAGAGTTTGGCACTACCAATATATTGGTAGGGTACTAAACCAAGCAAGCCCTGCATTTCTTAGAGCCGTGGGTTCTCTGTTTTTATTTCAGAACATTCTAGTTGCATACTTAAGATGGAAATAATTTGGAGTTCAGCTCTCATGCTCAAAAGTAAACCTCTGGTTTTGGTCGGTGTAAGGTATGGCTGGCTACCAGGCCAGCCAGACCTTGCATTTGTGTTCTGCAGCGCACATGCTTTTGCTTTCATTGAGGTAAAGAGTTGTAGAATCACGTGTGAGGTGTAACTGAGGGTTAGCAAAATTCAGTCTATCCAACTACCAAGTTGCGTTATTTGAGTAATTTAAACTGGTCCTTCGCAATGCTGCTGCGAAGCAATGCATGAACTGGACAACCATTTTTTGACCGTAGTCAAACCAAAACCCAGCATTTGCCACCTATTTAAGCAATCGTCTCACTATTTAATAAGAAAAATATTGTTTCTCTCACCGACGCCCTTGATTCTTTCCCCCATGAGCGCCACACGTACGTCCATGCATCCGATCCGCATTGAGACTCGCGATCCATACTCTCAAGATCGCAAATCAACAAATCCAGCCTTCTTATCCCAAAGCCACCATAAAATAATCAGAGCTGGTTTCGGAACGATCCCATCTCCTTTTGTCGTCCCCCCAAGAAAAATAATTAATATTCTTTTGTCGCCCATGAAAGCAATTATCATCTCTAAAGTGTATATAGCAACAAAATAACAGTAAATTCCAAGAAACACATGTTTGCAGATTTTACAATCGACGAACGACGAGTCTGCTGAAAATATAAATCCACATATGACTTGACATTTTGTATTCTAGTTACACCGTTCATTCAGTCGGTATTACAGTTTTGCTCACTGGCAATTTGGCATTCAGCGGTACAATGTTAAAAGATTATGGTCATCCTGACATTTTCTATTCCAGTCACAGTGACACACTGGCCATGCTGCTTAACGCTGATCCATGGTGACTTGGCAAAAAGAAACAGAAAAGGGACAGTCAACATCCTGTGAACTCAATCATCAGCATTTTACCACGGGCGGTGCTAAACAACTGCAGCGCTCATCTACCCGAGCTCCACGTCACGCATCTCCCTCCTTTATATAGGCGTCTCCCTCCTCAAGCGCCACTCCACCCTTGAGCCGTAACAGTGACCTGTTTCTGATTCAATTCAACAACGAGCCCGTTTCCTGCTCACACAACCACCTTTTAAACGCCTCATCACCTCCATCCTCGCAACTCGAAGCGAATTGAGCTCACAGTGGAGAAGGGAGAGCACGAGAGGGAGCAGAAGCGCGCGAGGAGAGGCCACGACCACCACCAGAGCGTCAAAATGGCATGCATCAACATGTACAACCCGGACGGCGGCGCGGCGTTCGGGGGCGGCCAGCCGCCGGCGCTGGGCCCGCGCATCTCCTTCTCCAGCGACTTTGTCGTCGAGCCACCGCCGCCGGTGCAGAACCGGGCGATGAACCTGCGGTGCCAGGAGGAGGATATCAACTTCGAGTTCTCGGTGGGTAGCCACCCCATGATGGCCGCCGACCAGCTCTTCTCCAAGGGCAGGATCCTTCCCCTCAAGGACGGCGGCTTCTCCTCCGGCCGGCCTCCCACCACGCTCCGCGACGAGCTTCGCTGCGACGACAGGGCGTCGGCCAAGGGATCCAGCCGGTGGAAGGAGATGCTCGGCCTGCGGAAGCCTCTCTGCGTCGGCGGCGTCAATGGCACCGCCAAGAAGAGCACCACCGTCGACACCGAGATGGTCACCGACGTGGCCGATTCCAAGCAGGTCAGTGAGCCATGATTGGCAGTCCACCATGCCACACACATGGTACGCAGTTCATTAGTACACGGATGTATGATAGGTTGTCTCATTAAGGATCCTTTGATGCACTGCAGGAGCAATGAGATGACATATATGGGACTCAGCCAAAACACACATGGAACTCTCGTCTCTGTCTCATATTGTGACCATCCTCTTGCATTGTACTTGTCTCAAAGGCTAGTTTTTGTAGATGATTGTGCTCGGTTGCTTGTGTGCTAGATGGCCAGTGTGTGCTGAAGAGCAAACAATTGTGTTTTTTTTTTCTTGCATAAGTGCTGTCTCTCTAGCTAGCTGTCCACTAGATCCATATCAGTCTTTGCTTCCTCTTTCTTCTTTTTTTTTTTGTTTCTTTTTTCCCCCTCCACCCTGTACAAAATGCAGCGCTTGTGTAGATCGAAAATTTTATGGTGCAATCATTAGTCTGCCAGATGGCCAGATCTGTGAAGAGAGGATAGCCTATAGTGATGGAGCCTTTCTGGCCTGTGGGGATCAACAGTGCTCTCCTTTGTCTTGTTCCCTGCTCTGCTGTATGATTTCATAAAGAGGGACAAGATCCACAGAAGAGAGTGTGTATGATAGAGAACGAGAGGAAGAACAGAGGAAGGATCCACCTGAATCATGATCCTTTTTGTTTCTAGCAAATCGATACTTCACTCTCCCGACATGTCCGCTGCAGTGCTGCACTAGATGCACGGCTCTATGCAAAGCGTTTTCAAGGTTCTCAACATACATCAAATCATCTTGGTTTTAAATTAAACTGAAAGTAGGGCATTGATGCAAGCAATGGTGCTCAACTTTTCCATCTTTACAAGCCAATAGGACTGTTAACTATTGTTGAGTCACTTTAGTTAGCGGATTTTGTGGTCACTTTGTCCCTAATACAGGTCGTCATCTCGGTAAGGCGTCTAGCAATAGTGGATGTACTATATAGTACTCACAAGCTCCACAAGTTCTATTGAAACTGCTGAAACACAGAGCAGAGTTGTTTGAGGCTAGGAAGAAAACGATGCAAAATTCAATCCGTATCCTTTAGTGAATGCTGAGCATTGTTTCAAAGCATCAGGATAAAGCAACAAAAACATGCACAACTCCTCTGAAGAAAAAAAAACCTGTGTACTTCTGAACATGTTTGATAACAAAGCTGTGAAACTCCTTTCCAAGTCATGTACGTTCTCCGCTAACTAAATCCACTATCCAATCGCTCCAATTGGAGAGCTACAAGTACAGAAAGAACTGATCGCAATCAGTGACGTTTGTGCAGGACCCCCCAGATCTTGGCATAATAGCTTCTTTTTTCTTTCTTGTCAAGAGGCCAGGTTTTGTTGCTACCATTCTCAAGAACAAATCTAACGCGTTCGCGAAAAAAATTAACAAATCTCAACCGTCCATATATCTTAACAGTAATCCACACAACTCACACGCATTGGATGATTGGACTATTTAATAACCCAATAAATTGGATTATTAAGGGCTCCATTTGAACGTATAAATTTTGTAGGATTTTCATATGAATATAATTGATTAACAGACATTCCCACAAAAATCGTCCAGAATTCCTCCATTATAAAGAAGGGTTTCTACAAAAGGAACAGAAAAGGAAAAAACGCCACTGGTAATTAGGGCAAAAGCATGGTTGCCTATCCAGTGCAAGATAAAGTCAGTTCCAGTGAACCTAACCTCGTGATGCCAAGGGTACAGAGCACAACGAATAATAGAGCCTGCCACAGCTAGTCAAACGAAGGAAATGTTACGTCAACAGCGCACCAAATGTTGCTACATTGTCCTCACAAAACAACAATGATGAGAGCAATTATAACAGATAACGATGATTGATGCATGTAATGACTAAAGCTATTTAGATCGATCATGCATAAAAAAGTAGAATCAATAGTAAGGACAATAATGCACTCCGTAAGTTAGTTTCTCTATTACAATATGTTCCACCTCAGTCAATGGTTGGCTCATCAAGTGTCCTGCGCATTTAACTATTTTGTTACTTTTAAGATGTGACAATTAAGAATTTATCACTCACATGTGGTTTCTCATATGTGTGATATATGAGTTTAGTGGTAAATTCTTAATTATCACTCGTAAAAGTGGTAAATAGTTAAGAATCTAAATTATATTGTTATGCTCAGGATGAAATGTGAAAATAGAGTAAAGTGAAATCTCAAAATAAGTAATTTTATATCAAGGGAACTCCATAGAGAGGATCGATGAAACTTTCCAAATGTTTGCCATCGATCGGGATGGACCCTACCCTATCCTTTAGTGTATGTCATCTCTCATCATGTTGGCTAATATTTAATTTACACACACCGCCATATATAACAAAAATCAAAATAATAGTTTGGACGGGTTGGAGGCATACGTACTCTGATATCTATCTTCTCCGGGCAAATATATCTGAATATGTTGTTATTGCCAATCAAATCATGTACTCCATCCACAAAGATAAATTAACCCGTCGTCCTCCCGAGTTGTGCTGCTTGTGCATAGCCCTGTGGACACAGACCAGTGGGTCATCGGTTTGTCTTCGCCTGGGCCGGTCTTATCAACGATGCAATGCACCATGCTCCTCACCAGCGTTGCGCTGATGCGACCGCGAGAACCCGCTGGTTCGACCTAACGTACCGACTCTGCCGCGAGTAATCACATCCCAGTGATCCCACTTCGTCGGCCGTGTTTACAGCCAGAAAACCACGGCTACATCGTGCCGATTGCCGAACGATCCCGATTGCTGAGAATATAGGCATATAATGATTTAATATATTCCATAAATAAATCATGGCATTACATATTTATACTAGGATTAACGCATCATTAGATCTACACATGTAAACTAAGCAGTAAAACATGAACAGATCAAATATGCGCAACATATCGAACACGTACCGAGGTGGCGGAAAGACCGGTTGCTCGGCAGGAAATACTCGCGGTTGCGAGCGTCGACAAAGGCGCGCAGCACGCGAGCGGAGAGGAAGGCGAGCCGTCGCAGACGAACAGGGAGCAGTCGCGCGAAGCGCTTCCCAAAAACCTTATTGCCGCCTTCTCTCGTGCAAGACGTCGAAGGCAGAGGTTCCGGAGACCTGCTCTCCCGATCACCGGTGCACGCTAGCGAGCGGTATGGAGTAGTCTACGAGCGACGGTGCAACACAGAGGAGGAGGCAAACCCTAGATTGATTTCGCGTGTGTTGCGTGAAGGCGGCTGCACGGTTTATATAGAGATAGGTCGCTTGATCAGGGCGCCCGCATGATCTCCACTCTGCGTAACCGAGCCAGATAAGTCGCGCGTAACTTATCCGGACTCCATGCCGTTTTCACGCACCGGGTTTTTCGGAATGTTTCCAATAACAAAACAAATCCGAATTTTCCTGCGGCAAAACAAAACTGCAAAAGGAGGTTGCATCTGCGGAGCCAATTTTGTGGACCATTCGACGCGTACGTCATGCACGCGCGCCGCCTACCAGGCCAGGCGAGCAAGCGCGCGCGTGTTCCCCCTCTTCTCTCCACCACACATGCTTCAAATGGCTAGGAGGGCATCCTCCCCTTTAAGGAGGTCCCCATCTCGTAGAATAAGTAAGGTGGTACTAAACTCCACATGCATGTCATCTCATGAGGTGAGCTTTTATGATTTTTCAAAGAATTAATCTTCGAATGGGCCTTAGCCCATTCTATTAATTCCAACACCCGATCAGCACACTCCATGAACCGGCCCCCTCCCCGCGCGACGCGCATCCGTTCTGGCGTTCTGCGCCACTGCGGCTGTGAGGCACGAAGCGGCAGGACGCGACACGCGCACAGGCGCGGAGCTCCCCCTGCCTCCGTCGCGCAGGTTGCCCTCACCCCCGCGCACCCGTCAATCCGCCGCCCGCGCGGCATGTCAGCCGCGGCAGCAGCCGTGACGACGACGCGACCAAAACGCCGGGGCGTTTTCCCCGGGTTGGACGCGGGGAGCGATGGGAGAAAAAACGCCGTGACACACGCGCGCGACGCCGCCCGCCCACGCCGCGCGGGTCCGTTTCTGCCGAGGCCCCCGAGCCGCGGCCCACGGAAAGCCGCGTGCCGAGGCGGCCTGGGGTTTCGGTCGCTGCGGACGGCAGCCGCTGTGCACGGCGCCGGCGCGTTGGGCACTGGGCCGAGAAGACCAGATTGTACTAGTTATCATGGGCCAAATTTATTCTCAGGCCAAACTCAAAAGTACTCGAGAGTCGAGAGATGAGACACACGGGCTGTAGTAATTTCTTTTGGCGACCAGAAATTAAAACCCGTATATATGTGTTCAATCCAAATTAAGCTTATGGTGTTCGATCGACTCCTGAGATATACGCACTACTCTCTGTGTTACACGATTTGTATGCACTGTACCATATCAACAGGATTCGATCCGTATTTAAGGTGCATAAATGTCGGCAGGGCCCAAAGAAATTTCAACATACGGATACGGATATATTATTCTGCGCAACGTATACTAGTATTTTACTGCTACTCTAATTCTGGCGTCTAGATCCAATCCATTTACACCCGTACACGGTGCCCATCTCGTCGTCACACCATGAATGCACAGAGCAACGGCCGAAAAACAAAACAGGGGTTGCCGATCTGTACGTACACGCAAGTACCGTTAATCCTCTGCTGCAAAACACGGTTGCCAGTGACAAGTTCAAGCACAAAATCGTCCTTGACACTAGCCAGTGTAGCAGCAGCAGTACACTCGTATCCCCTTTTTTGCTGCATTCATTGGTCGATTTACTCCGTTGTCCCGTTGCAATCGCCCACACACACACTACTACTACTACTAATCATACATAGAGATCCATAGATGATTAACTCCACATGCTGATTCTATCACCATACTATGGACAACACACTTACTACAAAAGCAGGTACTGCTAGTACTACCAAAGGAAGTGCAGGCACCACCAAATGGCAGAGCAATTCCGGCGGTTAAAGTACGGTGTCAGCAGACTGCAGCAGCAGGAGCAAGCTCTGCCATTCTCTGAAAGATTACAGTGACCTCTCTGCCATTCCCTGCAGGTTACTGTCACTACAAACACCCCTTTTTGAATTCATGCCGAGCTGCGCTTTTTCAGACTTTTGGATCTAGCGGTGGCTTCTCTCTCAGGAAGGGAAGGGGAAAAATGGACTCAACGAACACTCTTCTTGAGAAAGGCAAGCGAAGCTGTGGCTCCTGTGCAGCAGCTGTGCTGCTACTGCAGTGTACAGGTCCTGGCCTTCTTGGTACGTAGTACACCTGGTAGCTATAGCTCGCTGATGAGTGAGGCCCTGTTTCGCGAAAAGAAAATTTTTGAGTGTTATATCGGACATTTGATCTGATGTTGGAAGGAGTTTTTGGATGCGAATTAAAAAACTAATTTCATAACTCGTCTGGAAACCATGAGACGAATCTTTTAAGCATAATTAATCCGTCATTAGCACATATGTGTTACTGTAGTATTTATGGCTAATCATGGACTAATTAGACTTAAAAGATTCGTCTCACGATTTTCACGTAACTGTGTAATTAGTATTTTTAATCTATGTTTAATATTTCATACATATATTTAAAGATTCGATGTAATTTTTTATGAAAAAAATTAGAAACTAAACCGGACCTGAAACTGTGACACTGCAAACCAAGCCAAGCCAAGCAAAGATAAAAGCAGCAGCAGTAGTACTACTACTAGTGTGGTAGGCAGGGTGAAACGGAGGAATAAACTCTGCCACTTCCAAAGCTAACCTGCCCCAAAATGGAGCTACAAAAGCCACAGTTTCAGTGCCACCCCACTTGACGGTTATTGTTATCCACCGCGGAATGTTTACCGGCTTCGGGATCCTCACCTTCTTCCCCCAGGAGCTCAGCGCCACGCTTCCCCAAGCAAACCACCTCGTTTTTTTTTAATATGCTTTGGCCTCTGCTCTGATCGATCGATCGATCGATCTCCAACCCCATTTTTCTATGCGAGCTTCTCTCTTTTTCATCTCGCCACTTGCTGCTGCTGCTGCTGTGATGGTAGTAGATGCATCTGCGGCTGGATCTCCGAACAAACAACCACCCCGGATTTCACAAGATCTACCCCCCACTATCCATGGATCTCGGCTTGTTGCTTCGGTGTTGTGACCTTGTGAACCCTGGCCAGTTAGTATATTAACTCGCCATAAATAGTCGTGCTCATAACGTGCTCGTGCTAGCCGTCATCTCCCTCCCATGCACACCACCCCCACGAGCACCCATTTTCCTTTGTTCCATTTTGTAAATGCAAGTAAAAAAATTGACTTCGCTTAAACAGTTTACACACACCTAGAAGAAAAAAAAGAACTGAAAAACATATCATCTGTTATATATGTTTGTCTGAATATAACACGGTAATGGTAGTACTGGTAGTGAAGTTCCATATAGAGCCAGTGTCAGAAATAACCCAAATGGACAAGGAAGGTCAAGTGACAAGAAACAGTGGGCCACACACTAAAAGCCCCTCTTCCTTTCAGTGCAAAGCCAGCAAGCAGCAGTGGGCACGCACTGTGGCCCCAAATCCAAGCCGCAAAACTTCTCTCTGTTTCTCCTCGTCATCCTCATAGTTTTTATCAACCAAGCTGAAGAAACCCAGATCCCGATGGAAGTAACATTCCCTAGCCTCTCTCTCTCTCTCTATCGTCTCATCCACCACATGCACGGCCCATGTGCACAGGATCCAAAGCCAATCGTCTACACGTAAACACTCGTTTACCCCGCACTAATCATACTAGTTTACTTGCTTAGTTTAGTCGCACTTTACTGCAAGATGGAGCTTTTTACTAACCGGAAATACCATTGGTGGACGATCCGCCTCGGCCACGGGAACTGCAGGACCCATCTTAACCTTCTTTTCACGGCACGCCATAGAAGCCTCCACTGCAGTTTGCCTGTACTATATGCTGCTCTAGCTCAGAGACGAGATGAATTATGCTGCGTCTACTCAGAGACACAGCCAAAAGAAAGAATTTTGCAGGTTTGGTTGACCTGTGTGATAACGTAGTACGTGCAAAACTACTAAATGGAACAATGATTTTTTTTCCATCTGATGTACCAAGAGATTTAAACGATAAAGACGTACATTTTGTTGAGCTTATAGCACTGTGGTACTAGCATTGCAGGAATTAAAATGCATGGGAAATTAAGTAATAAAACGGTGATGGTTAACTTAAACTTGCAGAACAGCTGCTGCTGCTGTACAGTAAATTTAATTTCCATCCAAATACAAGATGGAGGCAATTACAGTAAGGGGATAATATATCTATTCCTATCGAGATAAACCTCTGATAAATACTGGGACGAATTACTAGTTTACTACTGCTACTACTTTCTAGTACACAGTAAGAGTAAAAATGCAAAGAAAATGTGAAAGAAAAAAGAGTCGAATCGGTGGTTGTTAGGCTATAATGCTTCTTTTTTTGTAGTCTCCCACTTTTCCAGTTTATTCCCTTTGGATGAGCATCTTTTCTTCTTCTTCTTCTCCTCTCTCTAGCTCGCCTTCCCTTTCTACACGGCGCCCCCCTGTACCTTCCTTTCTAGCTTCCGCTTAATCTGCACGCTCGCTTCAGCTTCGGCTGCTGACCACCGGAGTCCACTCGAACCGACCGGCGTCGAGGGGCACGCCGCGAACGACGTCGAAGTTGTACCTGCGGCCATGGGAAGAAGCGCACGCACGTTAATTATCTTGCTCGCCGGCAGCAGCGGCAAATTCACGCCACGCGCGAGCATCGGAGAAGAAGAACGAAGCTAGCTAGGGCGCGCAGTAACTTTTACTAGATGTTACAGCGAGCGGTAAAAATTCTGTATATACTTACTTGGCGGCGAAGCGCTTGGCCTCAGCCTCCTCGGCCGCCGCGAAGAACGCCTCGATCTCGGCGGCCGGCGGAATCTTCGGCCGCGTGGCTTGCTGTGCTGAGGCTGTTGCCGCAGAAGGTAGTGGACGGCTGCGCTTCTGTCCTCCAGCCAGATCCGACTCCAGATCGCTCACCTCTCCGGGGAGAAAGCTTGATGGAGTTGTTTCTCTCCTGGAATTTGAAAATTTTGAAAAATCGAGGGTGATTCGGCGTCAGGGGCATGTCAGAACGCATAATTCAGAAGAATTTGCCGGAAATGAGGGAGAATTCTCCCACCTCTCGCGGTCACGGCCGCTCGCCGAGTCGCTCGCGGAGCCCTCCGGGACATGCTCGCTGCCTGCCTGTAGAACATCACCAAAAAGCACGCACGCTTCAGCAACCGGTGATTAGAGATCTGGGATCATTTTTCGAATTCGAATTCTAGGGTTTCGATTCCCTCACCTCCGCGACGTCGGAGCGGCACGCGAGGCTCCTGTCCTGAGCCGCCGCGTCCACGGACGACGCCGTGCTGGAGCAACGCGAGAGGCCAGCCGCCGCATGCGCCGCCGCTCCGTTCCCGGAACCCGCCGCCTCCGCTACAACCGGAGCCCTCGCGGCCGGCGCCGGCCTCGGCGGGGCCATGAACAGCATGCGGCTCCTCAGCTGGAGGTAGCAGCTCCCGCCGTCACGGCGAGTAGTCCCCACGACCGCCGTCGGCAGCAGCGCCTTCCTCCTCCTGGTGGACGCCGCCGACGCCGCCTTCACCTTCGTCGTCGTCGCGCCCGCCGCCGCTGCCGACCTCGACCTCGTCCGGACGCCAACCACCTGCGTGACCTCCATGGCGGCCAACTCCTCCCCCGTGGCCCCCCTGAACTTCCTCATGTACTTGCCCATCTGCGCCGCGTGCGCGCCCCTCCTGCGCCGCCGCCGTCGCCTTCTTTGGCCGTTTCCCTTCTCCCTCTCCTCGCCGCTGGTGGGATATGTATGTGATGTCCCTCTTTGGATTCTCTCCCCCACTTTTTTTCCTCCTCTCTCTCTCTCCGTCCGCCGCTCGCGTCGCGTCGCCTGCTACAATATAAAGATGCCACGGGCGAGGGGGATCAGATCCCGATCCGACGGCTGGGAGATGCCCCCGCGCCCGCCGCACTCACGGCGCCGTTAACCGGATCTGGCCGTTGGGCTGCGACGCTGGTGCCGGTCGCGTCCGGTCGTTTTCACAAACCTCCCGAACAGCCGCAACGGGGAATCGCCGGTCGCGGAAACGGAACGGAAACGGAAAGCCGGTAATGACGGAATTGCCCCCGCCGCACCGTCCTTGGATACCCGACACGTGTTCAGGGACAGATCGGACGGGTGCCGTTGCTCCAGGGCTCCGGCTGACTGTTTGAAATTTGAACCTCTCGGACGGCCGCGAGGAGCGCCTGCGAGCCGTAACGGATGCGTGCAGCGTGTGCTTGTAATTTTTTTTTTTGGGACGTTGCGACGAGATTACGTGAGAGACGTCACGTTACGCGCGTACTAGTAGCTTGCAATTACGGTTTGTGCTCCTACGGTATCGCGGCATTAACCCAAGAAAGGAACCGGCCTTAACTCTCAAAAGGCTTCTCTGGAAAAGCGAGCAGTCTGGCACAGCAACCAGCATCGGCAGCAGGTCGGGGCCCAGCCCAGGGAGGGTGGACGCGGCTCCAGATTCTACCTGCCGTGCCGTCCCGGCGGTGCGGTGCGGTTGCGCAAAACGATCGACGTGTTTTCACGGCTTAATTCCCTTGTCGGGCTAGAGAGCCTGTACGATCTGTAGGAGCGGAATTTCAAGTGTAGTCTAGCCTAAAAAAGAAGCCAAAACGCCCAAACACCCGATCCAAAAGTAGGTGAATATCGACGACGTACGAAACGTGCATGCCGAGGGGGGACAGTGACAAGGAGCATGATCACGCGCCCGGACCGTGAAACGGCAAGTTGGCGGCAAGGCATAAATGTGATCGATTCGATCGGGTAGCGGCGGTTTTGGCCACTGCCGGCTGGCCCCTACCCATTTTACCCAACCGTACAATACAGACCCATCTCCCACGGAGACACAGAGCCAGCCACCGCGTACGTCCACGGCGGTAGTACATGCCACCGTCCTCGTGCTCGATCACACTCTCACTCGCATTATCACACGGAGTCACAGACACACACAGGTTTGCTCGCCGAATCAACCGTTCTCGCGGAGCATCGCCGCGCGCGGATGCATGGGGCGCTAGCGGCTAGCGAGATCGTGGCGAGCGGCCGCGGCGTCGGCAGCGCGCACGAAAGCACACGCACGTGTGGCGCATACGGGCCCTGGCGTACGTCGGGGGGGGGGGGTCTTTTGGAGAAGAGATGAGGAGGCATTGATGTGGCGTATGCAGAGACTTGCAGGAGGGGATTCGATCAATCGGGGGTGATCGTCCGTGGGGGGCCACTACTTGTCACGAATTCGTACGCGGTGGTGGGTCAGCGGCTGTCGACTGCTATCAGGTCGATCCGAAATGGGCACGTTGGTGGTTAATTTCTGCGTCGTGCGTGCGTGCGTGCCGGTTTGTTTATTCGCCTCGATCAACAACGAGATTGTATCAGTATCACATCGATTACTAATTGGCTACTAGTAGTACTTCGGTAGCTGAATGTTCAGATCCTGCGGCGCTGACCTTCTATATTTGCTTATGAGATCGCTCAATCTACTGGTGATCAACATTCAACAACGTAACCCATCGTGCGTGGTACGTTCAAACACGTTCAGCTTTTTCTTCGCGAGGGCAACGCATTGGAACTTACATGATAAAGTCTAGGGAAGGAAAAGGGCAGCGGGCGGAGCTAGAATTTTTCCAAACCTAAGACTCAATTGGTTAAATATATATAATTTTGCCTTTATCTTTTAGTTTTTAAAGTTTTAAAATAGAATTTCAATGAATATTTAGGATCAGGAGTAGGGCTGCAACCCTAGTTGCCCTACTCCTGTCTCCGCCCCTGGAAAAGGGTATATAAAGGATCATTTCTTTTCCCTATCCTTCCTCTGAAACCACATAAGATTTCATGGATTCTAATGTGTTGCAACTTTATTTCTAAGCATGAATCAGCATGTTGTGGGTTTGATTTTTTCATACCGTTTTACACGGATCTACATTTTAAAAAGTATAATTCGATTCAATACTAGCTCATTCCTGGCATTAGTACTCCCAACGTAAAATATTACTTTTTATTTTTTCTAAACACAATATAAATACAAATTCTCATGTACACACGTGCACGCTAACCTTTGTGAATACACATATGCGCACGGTACCGACTTAGTCTTTGTAGGTGCTCATAGAGATACCGTGCGCGTATGTGTCTTCGTTAGTCTTTGTGGGTATATTTTGAGATTAACGAAGTCAGTATATTTTGAGATTAACTAAGTCGGTATATTTTGAGATTAACGAAATCACCGTAGGCACCTTATTGTCGACCAGCACGTCGTTGGCTATTAAAAGAATAATTAGTCGTGAATACTAGCACATGTGATAAATCTAGAACTTGAATTTATTGTGCAGGTTCCACCACAAGAAAACTAGCTTAGCAAGTTTAAGGGTTGTTTTCTTGTACAAGTTACCGCTAACCATTGTATTAGTAAATTACTAATTATCCTTAACAACAAAGTTCGCCCAACATCATCTATTACCAACTGAAGGGGGTATTACAAGTTTCTTTTTTTTTCAGAACAAAATTCAACCCAACAATTTTCATGTTTTCATATTTTATGCGACATTCAGGTTAATTATCCATTATCTAAAAGAACGGTGCTCCCTACAAGTAGTGATACTACCAGCTGTAGAAAAGATATGAACCTTTTGTTATTAAGGGTAATTAATAATTTACTAATACAATGGTTAGGGGTAACTTTGTTAAATTTTTTTCTTGGCTAGATTGATCAATGGTCATCTATTGCACTGGCATCACTCATATTCCATAGGAAAATTTAAAAAGAAGAAAAAAAGTTTAATCATTGTTAAATGATGATTATACCCCTTCGCACCTTTTTTTTGATAATAATACCCCTGCATATTTCTACTACCGCTATTTGGGGAGGTAATATAAATAGATTTGAACCTTCAATCAAATAATAACAATGATTCATATTGTTTTCTACTACCAGTAGAGAGCACCGTAGTGGGACTCTAAGGTTTCATGGTCTAGTAGGTATAGTTATATTTTAGATACAATATTTTAAAACTAAAGTAACTAATATAGGAAAGTGAGGTAGCTCAACTGGTTAGTTTCTTAGTGGTGAAAACAGTCCGCCTAGACCCGAGTTCAAGCTCTAGACTTACACGGGTGCTCGTATTTATGGCTAATTATTTTTACAGTGACAGCGACATATCCGTCGATAGCGAGCACCCGTGGTGACTTCAACATATCGGTTGATAGCAAGGCACCTGTGGTGACTTCGTCAATCTCAAGATATTCTGACCAGTCTTCCAATTCAGAGGTGCTCATAGATGTAGAGTGCGCTCGTGTTGTCCCATATTTCTTTAAAAAAAAGTAGTTTAATCAGTCTATATCGTTATAATCTAAACCCAACATGATCTATAGAGTAAGTTTGGTGTTTTTATCTGTTTTATATCTTAATAATATAATAAATATTTAGGTAGACTTATTTTTACATCCTCTTCATAATACGAGATAGATAGATAGATAGATAGATAGATAGATGTATATTCGTTGGATGTAGAGGCAGAGTAAAAAGTACCATTCTCTAAAAAAAAGATAGATAGATAGATAGATGTATATATCCGGTTGGATGTAGAGGCCGAGTAAAAAGTACCTTTCTCTAATAAAAAGATAGATAGATAGATAGATAGATAGATAGATAGATAGATAGAAAGAAAGAAAGAAGAAAGAAAGATAGATAGATAGATAGATAGATGGATGTATATATCCGGTTGGATATAGAGGCCGAATAAAACGTACTTACCCTTCTCTCTTAAAAAAAGATAGATAGACAGACAGGACAGACAGATAGACAGAGAGATATAGATGGATAGATGGATAGAAAGATAGATACCATGGCTATATATGTGCTATCACGATATCTTGTATTCTTGAAACAAATATCAGGAAGTATTCTTACAAAAAAAATATCAATCCACGTCCGAAACATTTTCTCAAAATTACTTCATTTTTTTGTACCTTACAAATTAAATATGGAGTAAGTTTGAGTAATACCATTGACTCCATCTATCAGTACAAACTGCAATTTTGCTATATGTCCTCCAAGGTAGAAGGAAAGATTAATGTCGTTTATATATGCCATTGGATTCTCTACTTCTATTTGTTTTCTAGTAAGATGACATATTGTCGTTTCCTCTTGTAGTCTAAAGGATCTATGCCCTTTCCATGATACAAACAGACATGACATTGGATAATAATAATGTTAGCCGACAGATACAGATCGACCATCTTTAGTTTCACACATATATTTAGTTCGGATCGCATCAGTGTGTGCTGGTACCTGTGACACGAAATGGATAGAAAAGAAAAGCACATCACATGGCTTCATTCTGACCAATCGAAGTTTTGTGCGATCTTCTGATGTCACATGCGGCTCACTGCCTTAGACAAAAGTTACGATCCACGGTAAAATACTAAAATTAAATTAGTATTAATACACTGTCTCCTCTGTTTGCTGATCTCTTCTCGTCAGAGAAAAATATGCATTTCTGATGAACTGCGCCTGTAATGGGGGAGATTCCAGGTAAGTGCACTTGGCCTAATGATGGCAAGATTGTATAATGAGTATACTTTATTTGCCTACTAGGGCTAATTAAACACTCACAACACTGGGCACAGAGTAAATAACAGTAGATACAACTAGTTAATTAGCCTATATGGAGCCTGACAATTCTATCAATGTCCAGATGATGATGATATCACACACTGCATCCAAGAAACATACCAGACCGGATAAGCATGTAAAGAATTTTCCATTCAGAAATCTCACAAGTAATGCTCCACTACCATAAAAATGACTGTAGCTTCAATCAAAGGGCCTGCACATGGAAGGTATAAGAACAACAGAAGCTACTACGCATTAATGGCAGTATGGCACTTGTAGTTGTAAGAAGATTGATAAATTAAAAACACAAGAGTTGATAGTAATTAGCAGTCTACAAGAAGGAGGCTGAACAAACAGAGGTTCCAACAAATTAATATAACTTATAGGAGGAAGAAAAATAATAATAAACTGAGGACCCCATAAGTTAATCAGCAGGTTACAAGTTGGCTGCTAGACAGACATGTCCTTTTGGCAGTAATATCTCTAGATGCCAAAAATTACAGCCCAGCAATCAGAGAAGCAGCAGAGGCCCCAACACAGAGAGTATAGTTTGCAGCAGAGACTGAGCAAACACAAAGGAAAACTTATTACAGTGCTCTGGCAATCAAAGGATCTTCTGTTTTGGCACTTCCTCAATTCCCATCAGTGTCCATGCGTGGTCCCCACAGGTCAGTGACTGAAGGCAGCTGCAGAAGCCATGGGGGGTCTGTACAGTGCAGGGTGTTCCATGAAGGACAGTAATGGAACAGTGCCATACACAGTTAATTGACACAGCAGATCGGCATGGGCTGATGAAAGCAGAGAGCATGGACGGATACTGGTATTTATTCTAGACCGTTTGTTCTTCTCCTATCCTATTTTTTCCTAGCTGCATATCCTTCCATTGGAAAAATGCTCCTTTCTTTTTCCTAGAGGAATCCAATGCTTGACTGGAGGAGTTTTAGGATCCCTTGCTGTGCTTGTCTATGTTTGCTTCCAAGCAAGCTGCTTGTACTGATTCAAGTCAATGCCTCTAGCTAGCGACTTATACAGATCATCATACCATGTGATTTTTTTTTCCACAAGCAAACCTTATCAAGAATGGATGGCTCAAGTGCAAGCAGATGATCTGGCTAGGACCATTTGTTCAGCTTCACAAATAAAAATACTATAATTTGTATGAAAAAAATAAGTGGTCTAGATTAATTCTATTATTAGAGATCATCTTAAAACATTTCTGTTCTACTGGTATGTGTGTGTATATACTGTATATTACTGTTGCTGACTTTTTCACTGATGTGATGCTGGATCATGGAAGTGAGAAAACAGTAGTCAGTCAGAGAAGTGAAGGAGACCAAGACCTGCCACATGCTACAGCCCAGCACGATGGAGGCCGTGCATGCAGGTGCAGCAGACTAACGGCATCCTTTCCATGGAGTACTTGCCTGCCTGCTCTGTTGCTTTGCTTTCTGCTGCCGATCGTGCAGTACTGCAGTTGCCCTGATCGAAAGCCACCCTCTATTCATTCATTCATTCATTCAGTTTTACACAGCTTAATCTGTCGGTTGTGTAATTATTCTCTACTACCATATCGATAATTCCACACTAGCATGATCCCATCACTCCATCAGATAGCCCCATTAGTAAGAAGAAGGTACCACTGCCTAGTATACGCCTATGAGGAAGGCAATCAAGGGCATTGCATCAGGCACGGCAGGCAGGCATTGCATCACAGCATCAGGCACTCGTGTGTGTGCTAGTAGGCGATAGTTACTCCAACATCAGTGGCATCTTTTCCGGGAAAGCAGGTAATGCGGTTATACCGGTCAGTAGCAGCTGTACACTGGCAGTACGCCACCGGTGAATTGTGCGAGGAATGCGATCACGAGTGCACAAAGCGTGACCCGGTTGCACGCGTAGAAGCGTGGGGGGTTAGGGCGTGTGGGGAGGGGTCGTTGGGTCCCCTCGTGACATGGTTAACGGCGACTATTTATGCAAACTGCGCCTGCGCGACGGATATGGGCATGGACGGACGGACCGGATCGGATCCGGCATTGATGGTCGTCATGCGCACGAGACCTGGGCGGTGCGTGTGGCGGGTTCCCAGCGTAAATGGTGGCTCACGAGAGAGCCGTCAAAATCACAGCCGCCCGTGCCGTGCCGTGCGCTCTACCCACCTTTTCTCCTGTCCACGCGGAGAGAGAACGCATCGCGCAACGCGCACGCGCACGAGCGCGCCGCGCGCGGTCGGCGAATCGCCGCGCACCGGCGCTAGGTTTCGGGGTCGACGATCTCGTTGCGTCTCACGCAAGACGCAACGCATCAGCATCAGTTTTTACTCTCCTTGTCCAAACTCGCTGCTGGTGCTGGTTTGTTTATTGCTACTCCGTATCTTCGTCAAATAATCGTCATGTTCTGCATATGCCAAACAACGCAATAAAAGTAACATTTTCACGGGGCCGGAGATTCTATGTTTCTAGCAAGCATGTGCGTGCATGAACGCACGGCTGGTGGTTGCTGCTAGCGCGCTAAGGGGCATTCCCAACCCAATGACTAGGATGTTATCTATAGCATTTAATAAGTTGCCACCTAAAACAAAAAATAATGTGGCAAGTGAATAAATGAAGAAAGAGAAGGAAACCATATCTTGCATGAGACATGGTTTCTACACGACATCCAAGACATCATGTGAGATAAGTAGCATTAAATTGAAGTATGTAATAGTGGTGTTTACATTGGAAGAGTAGTGTCTAGTACTTGATGATGTGAAGTTTATAAAAACCATGTCTAATGTTATGGGTTGGGACTGCTCTAAGACCGGTAGCTAGCGACTAGCGAGCTTTGTAATGATGGGGGAGAAGGACTAGGGAGTGACCGAGACGCCGAATGGATGAAAAAAAAAGGGGGAGAAAGAAAATGCGAGCGTTTGATTTGTGGCGAGGTGATGGCTCGCACGATAGTGCCATATCATGATTTCTTGCATGATAGGGGGAGGATGAGCAACAAAGTGTTCCCTCCTTTTTTTCTCCCATGGTGATAGGAAAAGTTACATGTCTCCACAATATGTAAAGAGAAGGAGAAAAGGTTCACATCTTTTTTTTTAAGGGTTAGTGTAGGTCGTCATGACAGGATCCTCTGCCCCTTTTACTCGCATCCTCCCATGTGCAAAATTGTAACATAATTATCACTCCTAGGTTTATTTTCAAGCAGTAGTAACGTAGTTCATGATAGCGTCTTTGACAAATTCAAGCAGCACTCAGCTCACCATTCTTCTGAGAGGTTTGTATAAGAGACTTGGACAAACGCATAGCCCAGAAGCCCACAAAATGGAGGCCATTTTGGGTTCAGCCTGTTTGGCCCACATATGGCCTAATATGCCTTGCAACCCAACCCCTTCTCAGCCCAAATAAAAAGTAGCAGGCCCATAAAATAGACCCAACATAGTAGCATGTAACCCTAGATTTCTTTGGGCTCCACTCCTCCACCGGTCCAACCGTCCAACCGAGAAGCCGCCCTCCGTCCCCCGAACCGCGAGTCCGCGACGCCGCCCGGACGCCCGAAGCATCGACGCCGAACGGCCGAAGCGCCGACCCCTCGACACGCTGTCCCCGGTCGCGCCTCGCGGGCTCGCGGCGGAAGGGTGGGAGGCGGAGGCTGGAGCCCCGAGCACCGAGCTCCGGGTGGTCAGCCCTTGAAACCCATCCCCTCCACGGACCACGCCGCCAGCCGGTATGGTTTCTGAAACGAATCCTCTTCTCGGATTCTCCAATCCGTTGCCCTTTTTTTTCCCCCCTTTTTATTTCAAACTGAATTAGTTATTGAATCAACTGTGGAGCTTGAAATATGACAAAATATAAAAGAAGAAGACAGTAGGTTTGAAGTCACGAATCATCTGTTGCTTAGGACAAGGGGACTTTGGTTAAGCTTGTTCAGTTCTATCCTAAAAAAGTCTATAGTTCAGAGTTGATGCATTTCCCTTTTCAACTCCACCACTGATATAGGTAAAGATAAAATGTTTTCAAAAGTGAAAAAAAATCTGATTGAACTTTCTATCTTGCTTGTTGAAACGAAGAAGCACCTTAGTTATGAACTTGTCTTCCGGTGAAGAAGCTTCTCAAAGAGTGTTATCTTCAGTGAATCATGTGAAGAATAAGCTAAAGAAAAAGGATAGGCAAGCAATATATAAAATTTGGAAGATTGCATAGTTACCTTTCTTGAGCGTGGTTTTTTTTCTGTGGAAATTAAAGATGATCACATCACTCATCGCTTTCCAAGCCATGACGCAAAGTTAAATTGTACTTTTATTCAGGTGTTATGTAATCCATTGAAACTACAAGAGACATCTTCAGAATGAACTATTAGTGCTGCTATGTGTACTTTAAAACATCTCAGTTTATTTCGTTTCATATGAAACAGTTCTTTTTAACTCATAATATCCAGCAGCAAAATATTTTGTCCATCACAATTGCCCATGGACTCTGCCGTTGATGGCCCGAGACAACCTCCGGCTAGGGCGGGGAGCCGCCTCTGCACACGCTGCGGCGAGCGGAAGGCCGCCCTCAAGCGTCCCAAAACCTTAGAGCAGGTGTGCCTCTATGTCCTTCACATTTTCAATGTAGTTTGTCCTGATGTTTTGAGACAATCCAGGTGCAATGATTTAGCTCTAGTAGCTTAAGATTAACAAGCAGGAATTTTTATATTTTTGTGACAGTAGGGATACTGTGAAATGCGAAACCATTTTTGTTTGGCAGCTGTAGGTAGTGCTTACACATTTTCTTCTAGATATGTAGGGAATGCTTCTATGTTGTCTTTGAGGATGAGATCCATCAGACTATTGTTGACAATAATTTGTTTAAACCTGGTGATCGTGTGGCCATTGGAGCTTCTGGTGGAAAAGGTATTTCCACACCTGTATGTGCCATCACTAACTAATGAAATAGCATGTGTTCTTTATACAACTCTGACTACTTTCTTTATTCATGTACAGCTATAATCTGCATGCTTCTTTCTTTATTCTGCTCTTGATATTCCAACAGACTCAAATATTTTCACGCCATGACTGTTATGCAGATTCAACCGTGCTCGCATATGTGCTATCAGAGTTAAATCGTCGTCACAAATATTGCCTTGATTTGTTTCTCTTATCTGTGGATGAAGGAATTACTGGTTATAGAGACGACTCACTAGAAACTGTTAAAAGGAATGAAATACAGGTTCCCCTCCCCTCTGCCACCAACACAACAACACCTGTCTGCTGCAGCTTTTGCCTTTTAATATTGGTTCTATTTTTTACAGACATTTAATCACCAACTTTTACCATTTAAATGCATATTCGTCAGTTGCTGATACAACCGACTTATTGCAGTATGGCCTGCCATTGAAAATAGTTTCCTATAAGGACCTCTATGGCTGGACAATGGATGATATTGTGAAAGCAATTGGCCTAAAAAATAACTGTACCTTTTGTGGTGTTTTTCGACGTCAGGTAATTCTTCCTTGCCTCTTTGGTGCATTTTTTGTACTACTTATAGGTTAAGCTTTACTGCCAATCCTTTTTTTTTGTAGGCACTGGACCGAGGTGCTGCTCTCTTAAAAGTTGACAAGATTGTGACTGGACATAATGCTGATGACATTGCAGAAACTGTGTTATTGAATATATTACGTGGTGATATTGCACGGTTAGTGCTGATCATTCCTTTGTCCTTTTTTTGGGTGGTTGATGTTAATGCTGATTTTCTTTATATATAGGTTAAGTAGATGTACCTTTATAACTACTGGTGAAGATGGGCCAATCCCAAGATGCAAGCCTTTCAAATACACCTACGAGAAGGAGATTGTTATATATCCTTACTATGCAATATCCCATATAATGTGATATTATGCTCTATTCATCAATTGCACTTTTATGTTATTATCCTTGACCTTATGACACGTATGCATATTTCAAAAAGCTGGACTACTTCTCCACAGAATGTAATTTCTTACTCCTTCCTATGTATAGATGTTCAGCAGTCACTGACTAGCATTCTGTAACCAATCATGCTTTTATACACACTAGCAATAATTCTGCTAAAAGAAAAATTCTGCCATACTTGAAGTAATATGCCATGAACTTTTGAGAGTAGTATTATCTTCTACCGACTTTGAGATCAAATCCATTTAATTTTTCCGTATTTCACAATTCAGGCATATATTCACCAAATGCATACCGTGGATTTGCTCGCGAATTTATTAAAGATCTGGAAAGGATGAGGTAAAGGCTTCTGTTGTCCAAAGGAATGATCATTATTTTTACATTTGTGTTTGGTCATTTCTTGGTAATGCTTTGTCATCCAGAAGAGAGAAGCCTATTTCTTCCTTGCTTCTGAAGTTTTTTTTTTAATCTTGAACTTAGTAAATTATGAATGGTGCAGACCTAGAGCTATACTGGACATCATAAAATCAGGTGAGAATTTTAGGATCTCCACAACAACAAGGATGCCAGAGCAAGGAACATGTGAACGTTGCGGCTACATTTCTAGTCAGGTATAGTGATGGTATAATATGTATTACCTGTTGACTTGTTTAGGACATCCTCCTTGCTGATTTACTCAATGAGACTGATGTTAATTAGAGTAAGTGAATAACAGAGGTGCTTTTGCTAAGACATTAGATAGGTTGTCATTTTATTTTCTTTTTGAGGGAAAGGTTATCAGTTCACTCGGTTATACCAGTTTATTTGTGCCGTCACAGTTTGTTTCTTTGAATTGTCTGAATAATGCACCCACATGATAGTTCAATCCATTTTGTGCATTCCATGAACTGAACTGAGGCCCTCTGCATTGTGCTCACTCATTTAAGAAACCTGGAACCTGTTAGCTAATGATGTGATTGGCATGAATTCCCCTGATTTCCAATGCTTTTACTGAACTGAACATCGTTGAAATTCTGGCCTTGTAGAAATTATGCAAAGCATGTGTCTTGCTGGACGGATTGAATCGAGGCTTACCAAAACTAGGCATAGGCAGGACCAAAGGCATTGCTGGAGGTGATGGTGACTGTGAGCAGCAAGCCACACGTTCGGAGAGGAACAGATCGAGTCTGCAAGGAAAACACGGGAACTTCGACTTCTAGATATTTCAACTGTAATTTTGTTACCATGTCATTGTTGGTTTACGACACCTGGATCATTTGGCATGATTCAGTTGTACAAGCTAACTATTTATGATTGTGAGATGGGTTGCTAAACTATCAGCAAGCTGATTTTACAGCATCTGTAGTTCTGTACATGATGCGCGAAGGCCAGAAGCACCGCTCGACACAATGGTCGGCGGCGTGTTGTTACATTATCCGTTTATAAGTACTGTTTGAAACCAAATGGTGCGAATCGTTATGCCTTTTGGTTTGGTTTATCCCTTCCTCTTGAAAATGCTGGCCCGTCTGTAGTTGAATCCAAGGGTCCCTATTTTGAAGCACAAGAACTTCACTACAGTTAAGCCTATCTGGAACGATGGAAAATCTACCGTTTTCTACGAAATCCTTGCGTGGTTCTCACAAAATTTGTTCGTTTCAAACATGTTTACTAGTCTTGTTTGGAACCAAATGAAACACTTTTCTTTAACCGAAATGAAACATAATTTTTACTGTGTTTTGGTGAGACTGCGGAAACACATCTGAGTACGGCCACAAAACACGAAGTTGGCGCCAAACCTCCACAACTCTCCCGCCAAAACCCAGAAAGGAGCGAAGCCAAATAATTCTCAATCACTCCTCCCCGATCCAATCCATTATCCATCGTCCCATCTCGCCGTCTCTTGGCAATCCATGGCGGCGGCGGTGCCCACCGGCTGCTACAAGTGCGGCCGTCCGGGCCACTGGTCCCGCGACTGCCCCTCCGAGCCCGCCGGCGCCGGCGCTGCATCCACCGACAACCCTAACCCTAACCCCAACCCCAAACCCAGCGCCTCCCGCTTCGCCCCTTACCCGAGGCCGAGGTTCGGGAAGAGTGCCGCGGCGGCGGCGGCGGCAGAAGGGGAGGACGGGAGTGGCGGCCAGGCGCAGGGTAAGAAGAAGAAGAAGGAGAGGGCGACGCGGCCCAAGCTCACTCCGGACTTGCTGCTCTCCGATGACGGCCTTGGCTTCGTCCTCCGCTACTTCCCCAAGGCCTTCAAACCCCGCGCCCGCCCCGGCCACGAGGTATTATCGTCTCCCTTGCGCCACCCTTTTGTTATTGATTTCAGAATTCTACTACGACCGGATGAGCAGAGGTTTTGGTGTGGCCACGCGATACTAACTTTTATCAGATATATTCTCAAAGGAAAATGGTGTTTCTATTCAAATTTGGACCATTCTTGCACAAAGAGATTGCATGTTTGCCCAGGGAGAATTTAACAGATTACAGCAATTGTTAATCATTAATTAATCATCGTAGTTTGGTGCAGTCGAGAAATGCCCGGGGGTCTTCCGGCTAGCTCCACAAGGTGGTGGGCTAGACGATCTGGGTTCAAAGCCTCACCCCTTCTAATTATTTGATATTAGGTCCTTCCCTAATATTTGAGTCTTTTTAGTTTGGTGCAGTCGGTGGGTCGTTTCAAACTAGTCAATGAGCCAAAGGGTGGTTCTTGTTTCAAGTGCAGTGATTACTTGGCAAAAACACAGTGCCAGTACTGATCTGCAATATTTTTTTTCTACTCTCTAGAGCCAACTGGAGCCCTTATTTTGTGCTGGCACGATGATGTGATCCCTTTAGTTTGTTATATCTTGAATAAACAAAATCTTGTGGAATTCTTGAGCAAAAGTTGCATATATCAGTAAAAACTCTGCTCTGTTTTGGCTTTCTAACAAAGCCGGATCAATAGATCTAACTTACAAAAAAAGTTGCATATGTCATGCATAACATTTTTTGTGAAATAACTAAATCTAATTTCAGATGGACCATGAGAAACATGCTTGTGCTTATGTACATGCTCATTGTATTTTCATTTCATCTCCTAACATTGAGTTTATGCCTTGCTGTGTCAGGTAGAGGATCTTGGTAATCTGATCAAGCTATACACAGACTGGCACTCTCGCTTGATTCCTTATTACTCCTTTGATCAGTTTGTGCGAAAAGTCGAGAAAGTGGGGGCTAGTAACCGTGTTAGGGTAAGTTGTTCTGATTCATGTTTCTCTTTCATGTGATTATAAGTAAAAGTGTGCAGACTAGCGGGTGTGCTCAACTGAAAATTGGGGCAGTCTTAATTCATCACCTGGTTCTTTTTTAACAGAGTTTATCACCTATTTTATTTCATGGGAAAAAGAAGTATCCATAAAGCACAGTTTTAAATTGTACTCCATATGGGATGCTAACACCAGGATTTTTTTAAGCCGGGATGGCTGAAGGAGAGGCCATCCAAATATTGCGGGAGAAAAAAAAAGTTCCAGGATTGTTTATTACTCCACCACTAGCATGCTCATTTCACAATTAGAATGGGGGTAATATGGCTTTTGAAATATCTTGGAGGACTACTTTCATACGCCAAAGAAAATGAGGGCAAGCAAAAGAACCTAGAATCACATCTACATGGAGATGTCATAAAATACAACAGTTCGTGGGAAAAAAATATTATTGTATTCCTTACTGCACCTTGCCTGTTTAGGGAAGTCCTTTCTTGTCAATCTATAGGCTGAGGAAAATATTTCATTCCACAAACAGGCAAATTCAAATTCAACATACAGAAGTAGAAACAAAAAATAACAAATTTGATTGTGAATAGAGTGTACTATTTGCATTGAAATTTTTTATTTTTGTTTCTACTTGTACAAGTTGAATTTTAATTTGCATGTTTCTGAGGTGATAACATGTTGATCTATCTAGTCACTTTTTTTCAATTTTTTTTATGACTTTTAGACAACATGCATGAAACGAGGGGATATCCCCTCGAGGGATGAAAATCCACCTCCACAAATAGGCTGTAGTATAGTTTCCATGGGGAATAAAATGCAGAGTTTCTGACAGTATTCTCTTACTTCACAAGAACTCCACAAATACCCATTGCTAACTAAATTAAAAACAAAAGAGGATTTCAGTTCCATCGTATTGATTTTTCACTCTTGAACTCAAGAAGTGAAATTTAAGTTTAGAAAGCTGTAATCTTTTTGTAAAAGGCAGAATCATCTTTGTCACACCATAAATGCTCCTTTTTTTCGTTTAGTATTTCCATGTCCCAACATTTGTCTCCTGACCTATGTATGTACTTCATTTTCTTCCTTTTGTAGAGATGCGTTTCTGAACTGAGGGACAGGGTTGCCAGAGGGGGAGATCCTACCCTACTGCATGAACCGCCGGTCGAAGTCATCCCAGAGGGCGAACCAGGTCTGAGTTTGTTGTTTTGTTTACAACACAGATATTTAGATCTTGATAGAAATGCGTTGTTTTTGTTGCTAATCTTTCTTTCCAGCATTCCACTGACAGCAATCAATTTGCTCACTATCTGTTGCAGATGGAGCCACAGCTGAAGACCCAATTTTTGGGACTGAAGTTCCGGCGACCGAAAACCATGGCGTGGACCAGGTGCAAGAAGATATAGACATACCGGTCGAAAGCAACGATGTGGATCCCATGCAAGAAGATCTCCTTAATGAAATCTACAATAAGGAAGCTGATGTAAGTCATGGTGGTTACAGCCATTTCAATTTTGCATATCTTTCTAGTGGCTACGCAACTGAAGAATCTGTGGTAAAACTGTGATCTCTGAACCTCCGATGACACTACAGGAGCCACAAATCCCAGCTGTTGGAGGAACAGCCGAGGAAACCACACCGGCCATGGCTCCAAAGGAAGCGAAACCACAAGATGATCCACCACGAGAAGCGCAGAACCAACCGGGCAAGATTCAGCTGACCGAAGAGCAGAGGGCGCGCATGGAGGCAAACCGGCTCAGGGCCTTGGAGAGGGCAGCAGCGGCGCGTGCTCGCGCCTCGCAGCCGGCATAGCTAGCAAGCAACCAGCTACATACTCAACTCAGTTACCTGCATCTTCGCTTGTTATTCCCTTGCATTGCATTGCACCTGTCGACCCCTGTGATGGATGTATTACATGGCACAGTAATCAGCACAACTCTGTTGTTATTGTGCTACTGCCTGAATAGCATGTGCAATGGTGTTTTGCTGAACTTGAGGCTTGGTGCTGAAAGAATCTGATATTCTGATGTACATGCTTCATGCTTGTAGCACTGGTTGTTTACGCCATTGTTCCACAGTGACCGAGTCTACTCCTGATTTATGGCGTCGATGAGTTGGGCGTTTGGCTACTATAGTCGTGTGTCAAGATCCTGGACCATCTGAAGATTCTACGTCCCACTGCTGATTGCTTGCTTCCTGCTGAAATCTGAATTCGGAAACACCTTATGTTCTAATCTAGTAGCAGGATGGACAGTGAAGTTCTTTTCCGTTTCTAGGTTTCTTTTTCACCCAAGCGAAAGACGGACCTGGTTTCCAGGTTCATGTTTGTCTGACTTGTTTTAGCTTTTGTGATGATGTTGATCGAATACCTGGTTTCCAGGATGGGACTGAAAACAGGTATCCCCAGTTTTCTCGTTTATTGTAAAACTTATTTTAGGGGGTTTCTTTATTAAGTTGGGTCCAAATGACATCATTATTTCACAAACGGTCCAAACGGATGAGACGATATCAGATGCCTCCGTTTGTTTTGAGTGTGTGTTAGGCGGCGCATCGGCGGGTGTGAATAAGCAACTATCGTCTCATCCGGACGAGCCGACCACTGAAATCGAATCCGAAGTCCCAACTCCCAACCACTGCTCTCTCCCGCGAGATAAAGAGGTGTGCCTTCGTCTTCCTCTTGACACTCCATCCGGCCCCCTTTTCTAGCTAGCGGCACGCGAGGTTAGTGTGTTTCTGTGTGGAGAGATGTTCTTGTGCTGTTCCGCGCGCGAATTCCGAAGGCTTTTGATGACAAATTTCTCTGATTTTTTCTCTTCTTTTTTTTTATCTGGCATGTTCAGAAACCAAAACTACTACGAGTCCTGCTGCTTGAAGGGAAAAAAAATGAACGCTAGTTGTTGTGTTGAATCTTTTATACTTGTTCCTGATGAGAAGAAAGCACAAAGTAGCTCTTGATTTGTTGGTGTACCATTGAGGTGCCTTTCCTTATTGAGCAATGAACAGAATCATATTTCTCCTATAAAGGAATTGTCATGCTAGATCAGATTTAGTTATTTTTTCCTTCAGCTAAAGCATTATGCTAACGTTTCTCTGTCGAGGAAGGATGCTTTTGGTGATTCACACGTCCTGTAGAATACCCCTGTTTCGTTACTTTTTGTTCCATGGAGTGATAACAAGAACAAGTTTCTCTAGCTATTCTCCTTAGAAGCAAGTCATGGAAATTTCCAATTGTTTGTCTAATGAAATCTCAACATTTTTCTGTCTGTTTAAAGTACATCCCTGAGATCGACCAGGCATGACAAACAGTGTAGAACAATACAATTAATTAAGCATGTCATATTTAATCTTCCTTGTTTGCTGTACTATAAGTTCAAATGTGCATTTCTTTGAAATGTTACGCTGTTAATCTTGGGATATTTAACTTTTTGCCACCTTTAAGATGTGGCAATTGTCACTCACTGTCTATGACACGTGGGCCCTCATGTGTTTATGACATATGAATTTAGTGACAAATTCTTTATCACCGCTCGTAAGAGTGGCAAACAGTTAATTATTCCGTTAATGTTTTACAGAAACTATCCAAAAAGGGTTTGTTCACTTTATTACCAAAATCAACCTTACCAACATTTGGCACAACCAACTTTGGTAGCGTTGGATGTGTTTAGTTTGTGATTTTTTTAAAATTTTAGTAGTGACTTTATGAGAGGGAACTTCTGGAACTTTCAAATTTTGGTAAATTAGAGAGGGTAAGAATATGTTTAGTTTGTTACCTTACAATTTTTTTTTGATAACACCGAAAATTGGTAGAGTTGAAAATGATAATAAAGTGAACAGCCCAATATCTTTACTGTTGAATGTTGAGCAGATCTACGTCTTGACTCTTGAATATATTTCTCCTCTGATGACAACAGCATTGAAGCCAATATGGCCGCGCTGCCATTAGCCACCGCCGAAGTGTGCGACGCAAACTCAAATCCAATCATCGCCGGCGAGCTCCGCGCCCTCCCTCCCATCTTCAAAATCTACGGGAGGCGGCAGGTTTTCGCCGGCCCAGTCGCGACGGTGAAGGTGTTCGAGGACAACGTGCTGGTCCGCGAGCTCCTCCAGGAGAAGGGACATGGCCGGGTGCTCGTCGTCGACGGCGGTGGTAGCGTGCGCTGCGCCCTCTTGGGCGGCAACCTCGCGCAGCTGGCGCAGATCAATGGATGGGTCGGCATCGTCGTCAATGGCTGCATCAGGGATGTGGATGAGATCAATGGCTGTGACGTTGGTGTCCGTGCTCTCAATTCGCACCCTATGAAGTCGGGGAAGAAGGGCGCCGGTGAGAAGCGTGTGCCTGTGACCATTGAAGGGACCAGGATTTGCGACGGCGAGTGGCTCTACGCTGATGCTGATGGCATTCTCATCTCGAGGACTGAATTGACTGTGTGAAGTTCCTGAATGTGTCGATCTGTACGTACGAGTAGTTGGTGCATAAAAGGGGTGATGATTAATTGATTATGCCCTCCTCCTTGTGTTGTATCTAAAAATAAATGTAATGCTGCAGCCAGGTTCCTTTTGCCCAAGCCTCTCCCAATTCTACTGCCTTAAGGATTTTCAACGTTAAGGCCTGGTTTAGTTCCCAATTTTTTTTCCCAAAATATACATATCGAATCTTTGACACATGCATGAAGTATTAAATATAGATAAAAAACGAAAACTAATTGCAGAGTTTGCATAGAAATTGCGAGACGAATCTTTTGAGCCTAATTAGTCCATAATTAGTCATAAGTGCTACAGTAACCCCATATGTGCTAATGCCGGCTTAATTAGGCTTAAAAGATTTGTCTAGCGGTTTCTAGGAGAGTTATGAAATTAGTTTTTTCATTCGTGTCCGGAAACCCCTTCCGACATCCGGTCAAACATCCGACGTGACACCCTAAAATTTTCTTTTCGTGAGCTAAACACACCCTAAGTCTCCTTTAGAACATAGGGAACCGTTCATTTCCTCTAAAATAAATATTCCCGTCAAATGCTCTGTTGCAAACAAGGGCCTCTAGAAAAAAGACCCTCGTTCGAGCTATACTTATGTGAACAACGTACAATTCAGGAAGGAGACCAAAGAGGGCTAGCATTAGATTTTTCTTTTTATTTAAAAAATAAAACGAATTGCGCTAGATAGTGTGATTTTTACAAGCATGTAACTCCGAAGAAAAACTGTCTGGAAGCAGATTAGGTGATAACGGGGTCTTCTAAACTACACTTTCAGATAGAAAGTGATGCCGCCAGATACAACTGAGGAAGGTCGGATCTAGCCATGAGATGCATGATCTGACTGTCCTTGTTGCCAGCCGCACCTTCAAGCCTAGCCCAGCGTCATGTTCCCAAGCCTACTATCGCCATCCATGGCACTCTTGTCAACGCCGTCACTAGATTAGGTCGAAGGAAGGGCGGATCTAGCCATGAGGAGCCGAAATATGTCGTCCCATTGCAGTTGGTTGTAGACATGAATGCACCACTGCTGATGAGCTTGCCATCACCACTACTCGTTGCTTCCACCACCGTGGACAAGCCACCATCGTTGCAAACACCTCGCAGCTGCCACTGCCATGGATGGGCTTGCCACTGCAGTCATGGCACACCCATCAGTGTTGTCGCTAGATCTGGTTGAGGAATATCAAAACTAGCCATGGGGCGTTGGATTTGACCGTCCCCATTGGCACTGGACACTGCCATCGTGCCTACCGTCGCTATAACCTCATTATTGCCATCGCCACCGCTGCTCTCATTGTTAGGTGGCCCCGCCGCTACCATCATCGTTGCTTGTCGTTTTCCGGTGGTTCTCTGGTTGTAGCATATACAGGAAGAGAGAAGAGCAATGGCGGATTCACCGCTCGGCTAGGGCGGGCAGTTGCCCAGGCTCAACATGCGCTCCATCGAGATCGAGCGATTTTTCCACATCAATTTGCTGGTTTCTCAGGCAAAATAGGCCGGTTAATCACCTCATCTGATTGTTTCATATTTGACGCAAGGAGCAAATAGATGCAGGGTGCTTGATTTTTGCTTTTGTATGCATGCGCTTTCCATGGATCGTCTTAATTTGTGCATGCACTTGATTGCCGACGAAGCATCAACGTAGGAGACAGCATCCTAATAGTCCACTTCTATAATAAAAATATAGTTTTGTTTTTTATAAATATGTGGTTAATTAGCGGTTCTCGTTAGATGTTAGGTTTTGCCCAGGTTTCATGATATTCCTAGTTTCACCACTGGAGAAGAGAGAGCGGTTGCAGTAGGGTTGGTGGAGCTGACCGTGCCACTCTGTTGCACGACGGGTGGGGGGGGGGGGTCCAAGTCGTCGCAATGAAAAATTTGGTGAGCAATGCTACTTGATGTATTGGCGTAGTCAGAGTATTCCCCCAATGTAATATGTTTAGATTAGACTAGGTTATTTTTTATTTTCATAATCTTAAACAGAGTTTCATAAACATGGGTTCAAGAACACCTCAAAATAAGCCTGGGAGATGGAAGTCAGCTATCGGATTGGTCGAGCGGTCACTCGGGCTCCGCCACCGACGTTGCATGTAAAAGTTTATCAGTCACTGGCAGATACATTTCGTTGATCCCACTCATATCGCAGCTGCTCTAGCAAACAATCTGCTGCTCGAACCAACTATTTGCATTGTTCGTTGCTCTGCATTGCACCTCTCGACCCCTAGGATGTACACGTGGGACAGTAATCCGTTAAACTCAATTATTGGCACTCTGCTAGCCTGAATAACAAGTAGTGTAATGTTGTTTGCTTGTATGTTTGGTCGTTTTCCATCCTTTGTTCCACCGTGACGTTGATGAGTGGGTCCCGTCGTGATGCCGATCAATTGTCTACTACTGCGATATCAATTAATCATGTTCATGTGTTTAAAAAGATTAATTAATCGTCTTTCTGGATGGCGATCAGCCGATCACCGCCCCCCCCCCCCCCCCCCGGGAGGATCATTAATAGATGGTATTGCGCAAACTGCGATTCAATTCAATCACTGGTATTACGGCTACCTCATGTTTTGAATCAGCTTGGTTTGTATCTTGAGTGAATTTGGCTAGATTTGAGATGGAATTTGGAAGCTGCGAGATACGAGGGAAATGCAGGGGCCTATGCGCAAAAAGCTCAGAGGATTCTTCCCCGACATTCGCACGACGCCGCGGGCATGAGGAGACGCTCACGCTGACGCTGCTGCCTGGAATCACGTCTTGCGCACGCCCACGCCCACGCCCACGCGGACGCAGCGGGTGGTGGGTTATTCGGTGCCCTCCGCCGCCGGCTACCTCCCCTCCTCCGCTCCTCCCCATCTTCACAAATACCATCCCAACCAGTGATCCAGATCGAGCCAACCACCACCCCCAATCGGATCCCTCACCCGATTGGCCCGGCCAGATCGCCGCCGATCCGACCCCGCGCAACCCTCTCCCGCGGCCGCGAGCGAGGTAAGGAAATCGTTCTTGCCGCTCGGTCCGCCCTCTTCCTGTTCCTGCTGTCCTAGCCGTGCCCGTTCGCCTAATCGTTCTGCGTGATCGGTGGAAGTTCAGGAGTCCGCGTGTTCCGTTCCCTGTTGTTTGTTCCTTGCTTTGGCATGTTCTAATTGATTTGTGGCATTTTTATACTTACTGGATGGAAATAAAACATAGGGTGGTTCTTGATTTGTTGGTATGCTATTGGAGTGCCATGTCGTGCTAAGCGATAAACCAAATCAGATTTAGTATCGAATAAAGAAAACCAGATTTAATATTGATCATCTTATAGCCTTACCAATATGGTATCGTCTCATGTTGCGTTGTCGGTATGGTTGGACCTGTCAACAGCAAACCTTTATCCCTCCTTGTTAAGTGCTTTTATTACAGGGGAAATGGCAATTATGATACTGAGTTTATCTTTTGTTCCATAGCTGGCTGGATTAGCTGCTCTTTTTTTTTTCTGCGCTTGCTGCTTAGAGCATTTGTAACTTGATACACCTTGATTACTTATTGTATGACATAGGTTGTGTGTGTGTGTGTGTGTGTGATAGATGATATAAGATGACCGCTATGGAAATTGCATGTTAGATCACATTCTTAAACTTACTTTTGCTTTTAGTTTTTTTGTTCAGTTAAAAGCATGTTAGCATTTCTCAACAAGATTGGTTTGGCGGTTTAGGTGTTCTGTGGAAGATGGACAGCTGAGTTTCTTAACATTTTGTTCCTTGCGTTGATAAAAAGGAAAAAAGTTCTCTAGTTGCGCTCCTTATAAAGTTTAGTCATGGAGAATCTCCCATTGTTTGTTGAATGGAGTCTCAACATTTTTCCTCTGTTTAGAGTACATCGTTGAGATCACGCATGAAAAACAGGGTTACAGTTAAAGCATTCCTCATTTGCTGTATTACAAGTACAATGTGTGCTTCCTTAAAATGTTTTTGTTGTTAGTGCCTAATAGTATAAAACTTATATTGCTGAATATTTATTGAGCAGCCTTACTTCTTAAGCCACTTCTTGCTCAATAATGTTTCCCCTCCTCTAATGACAGCAGAACCGAATCCAATATGGCTGCCTTGCCATTAGCCACAGCCGAATTATGTGATGCAAATGCACATTTGATCATGAATGGCGAGCTTCGTGCTCTCCAGCCCGTCTTCCAAGTCTACGGAAGGCGGCAGGTTTTCGCCGGCCCTATCGTGACGCTGAAGGTCTACGAGGACAATGTTCTTGTTCGCGAGTTCCTGGAGGAGAAGGGCCAAGGCAGGGTTCTCGTGGTCGATGGTGGTGGGAGCCTGCGGTGCGCCATTTTGGGTGGCAACCCTGTGCAGCAGGCGCAGAACAATGGGTGGGCTGGCATCGTCGTCAATGGTTGCATCAGGGACGTGGATGAGATCAATGGCTGCGACATTGGTGTCCGAGCTCTGAACTCGCACCCTATGAAAGCAAACAAGAAGGGCATCGGGGAGAAGCATGTGCCTGTGACCATTGCAGGGACCAGGATTTGCGACGGGGAGTGGCTCTACGCCGATACTGATGGTATTCTCATCTCAAGGACTGAATTGACTGTGTGAATCTCTCTGTGTGTGTGTGTCTGTACGAGAATTCGGCGCATAAATGGAGTGCTGCTTCTGCCCCTCCTGGTGTATTGTCAAAAACTGTAATAACGTACTGTTAAATTAAATGATCACTTGGAATAATTGATGCTCTCTATTTTTTTTGTAGAAAGTGGTCCTGGTTGACAGTATTTCTCTGTGGGTATACCATGTATTGCATCTATCTTTTTTAAAATGGTTCAAAAGATTAACCGGTTGGAGTGAGGCTGCACAATTAGAGGCGCACGCAGCCGGTATTTGACATCCTGGGACAGCGCAAGTAGCATATAATAGGCTTAGAGAATGTTAGTAGGCTTAGAGGATGTTTAAGTAATAACTAAGGAGGTTTTTACCTGTGTGCCATTAAAAAAGATGACCCCTACCTCTGTGCCAGTAAAAAGTTTGGGCCTCCCTCTATACCATCGTCGAACTTTATCGCGTCCTCCACACCATTCCGTTGCTATTCTGTTAGGGTCTAACCGTTTGGCAGCTCTGACATGTAGGCCCGGGCAGGAAAAATGTCACTCTTGCCCTTTCAGTCACGGGCCCCACCTGTCATACTCTCTCACCTCTCTCTTCTCCCTCTTCCCTCTTCCTCTTTCTTACCACAGTCAAGAGCAGCGGTGGTCGGCAGCCGGCGGCGGGCACGGCGAGGGCGCGGCGGGCTGGTCCGACGTCACCTGCGTCGACGGCGGCGGTGGCAGGGTTGAGCACCGCCGTGGCAGGGTCGAGCTCGGCGGGGAGAAGGCAGCCTCTCGCGCGCCGCGCGTTGTCTCGGCGAGGAGGAGCGGCGGCGGCTCGGCGAGAGGAGCGGCGGCGGCAGCGACGGCGGGGCGCGGGACGGGGGACGCCGCCGCTTTGCCTGAAAGCCGAGGGGAGCGGCCGGCCGGCGCGGCTCGCAATCATCGGCTGCCACAGCTCGAGAGAAAGGAGAGAGAGATCCATGGCTTCCCAGTCCACCCCTTCCCCGGTGGCGGCGGCGGCGGAGGAGGAGGAGGAGGAAGAAGGAGGGGCGCGGCGGCAATGGCGGCGGAGGAGGAGGAGGAAGAAGGAGGGGCACGGTGGCTGACGGTCGCGCCGAACGGCTAGCCGAGGCGGCGCTGCGCGGTGCGGCCAGGGGCTGACTCAAGGGGGTCGTCGTCGGGATGCGCCGGCTCCTCGCCGCCATGGGGGCCGCCGAGGAGGCCGTGGCGTCCGCGGCCGTCGCCGTCCCGGCGCTCTTCGTCGGTGGCGCCCCTGTCCCGGCTCTCTCTCTGTCTCTTCTCTCTTCTCTCTCAACACTAAGGCCAACAACGTCATTTGGCTACGCCATTTGACACCGTTAGGATAAAAATGGACGGAATGGTGTGAAGGGCGTGATAAAGTTCCACGATGGTATAGAGGAGAGGCTCGAACTTTTTAGTGGCACAGAAACAGTGGTCATCTTTTCTAATGGCACACAGATAAAAACCTCATAACTAAGGATCTACCCGAACATGAATTGTTTGGGAGAGGACGAGAACTCTCCATTAGCTTGAATAGCATATGAATGTGATGGTTCAAGCCTTTAAGGCGCCTTATGCCGGAAGTAATGCGTTCCGCGAGCTGGTAATCACTGATGAGGGACCTTTAGTTGTTGGTAATCACTGACGAAGGAGGTGAAGTGTGAAAGGCCTTCAGCAGATATTATTAATCTTAGATTAGCATCATAACTATTACGTCCTGTTTGATGATACTTCTGAACAACAGTTTTTGGAGCGCCAAGTTATTCAAAGAAAAGAAAACAATGGTCCATATTTTGATTCAGGTAACCACAGCGGCAGATGACCACCTCATACATTAGATGTGCGCAATTATAATGGATCAAATTATTGGAGTATGGACACCAAAAAGAAAATGCTGGCACTCTCATATCACTCAAAACTGTAATACAAAAACCTCTGCTAAATGCACATGTATTGGCATTTCACGGCCCCTTTAGTTGGAGGAAGTTTTTAAGAGGGATTAGGAGTTTAGAAGGATGAGGTTATTAACTGTTTTGTTTGGTTAAGAGACATGGGAATTTTGATGTGATGGGATGGGGAACTGAGAAATGAACTCCCTCATTTTCAATACCTGGGTAGGGGGTGGTAATTGGAAGAGAATTCCTCCATTACTTTCCTAAACAAATATCGGTCATCCGTTTTTATTAATGACCTAATCTCCAACTAAACTCCCTATCAACTTCCACCACCTCTACCAAAAAAGATATTGGGATTAAAAATCAAATTCACATTTTAATCTCACCATCGATTCCCTCGTGTAAACTCCCAATCCCTTTCCCTCAATGTAAGCCAGAAAATATCTCTTCACGTGCAATCACTGATCAACTAAACCACCTTAGGGGTTAATTAAACGGTATTAGAAAGATGAGGAGGGTCTGATACATATGGTTTAATAGTTGAGGGGGTTAAGTAATCAACCAGTGATAGTTGGTGTGTTTATGTAGACTTATTCTATTTTGACGTGTAATTCTTGTGCGCGTTCGAGAAATGTAGACTAATTCCATTAAACTCGGTGTATAGTTGAGGGACTCAATATGGACTTTTTCGGAGAAGAAACGAACGCCACCGGCCACCAGGACGGTCCACCACCAACGGCGCGCGACCAGTTTACCTGCGCCGCGGCCGCCACAGATTCACACCGCCTCGCCCCAAGCCACACACACACGCAGTCAGGGAGTCCCTTCCGCTCAGCTCGCCCCCATGGCGACCTCGTCGTCGCCGCGCCTGCTCTCCTCCTTCCTCGGCGACCGCCTCCTCTCCGCCAGCGCCAGGCCGCTCCTCCGCGGGGCCGCTCCAGGTAGGCGCCCTTCCCCCATTCTTCTCTCGCAACTCCGCGCGCGCGGCGCGCACTCCCTCCACCTCGCGAATCGCGACTGCCTCCGCTGCCCCAGCGCGTTAGCGGCGGGCAAGAGTTTACTGAGGCTGCTCCGGCTCCGGGTGGGCTCTCTTTTTGCAGGAAGCAGGCGGGCCGCGTATCAGGCGACGAGAACGCTCTGCAACCTGGTGGATATCCTCTTCAACAGGTGAGCCAAGCCGCCTAGGATCACCATTTTCAGCACACACCAGTTTGTTGGGTAATTGCAGCATAATTGCAGCATTTTATTTGCTATGAAGTGTCCTTCGAATTAATCCATAGTTTATTAGTGGTTGGATAGTTGGTGCTAGTTTTCTTTGAGCAATTAACAATTTAACATATAGTCCCTACTTCCTTGGTGGTGACACTGTGAACAACTAGTCAGATTAATTACCGCACATTGGTGTGGTTGCTGCTATTTTGGGGAGGAACAGAGATCTTGGAAACGCAAATCTCGAAAAAACGCCATGTATATTAGTGCACGTCAACAGAAATTCAGGATCTGATAATATTGATGATTGATCATTTGGTTGTGTGCTGCATATTTTATTAGAATAATCTGTATTGAGTTATTTTGGAAACACTGGGCACCAGGACCCAACATAAATGCTGGTGAACAGAAAGTTAATTATTTCATTGTAATCTTGCAGAGGTCAGAGTGACAAACCGGAAGATAACCCTAGACGCCTACGGCCTGGGAAAGTATCTCCTCGTCTAAGCGTTCCCAAACATATACAGCGGCCACCATATGTCAATGCTCGTCAAAGACCTGGATTGCACAATGGACCTGAAATACATGATGAGAGAGGGATCGAATGCATGAGGGCTTCTGGAAAGCTTGCTGCACAAGTTTTGAAGTTTGCCGGGACTCTTGTAGAGGTAATGCTATTATTACTAAAAATTTTATATTCTAACTTTTGAATTGATTGAACATTATTAACATTAGGGAAACTTCATCCCGTTCCGTATTGAAAAAACAGTGTACCTTTTGGGGGAAAATAATTCCTTTGGTAACTGTTAAGGTGCAGGAGAGAAGTAAGTACATTTTTAGACCTATAAAGTATTTCCTGAAGTAGAGGTGCCCGTTTTTCTTAATATTGTACCTGCTTCCTCTGCAGGGGCAATGTCTTCCGAGTGTTTCTTGCTGTGTTGTATGTCTGTAGTACATAAGTAAGCATGTAGTGCTTAACTAAGAAAATTGATATTCTTTTCATCTGATATATGTCTCTGCTTGTTTCTCAGACTTACCATACTCTAGGGATGTATAAAACTCAAGTGTCAAAGACTGATTTGTTCTTATTGACAGCCAGGCATAACAACTGATGAGATTGATAAAGCGGTGCACCAAATGATAGTAGATAATGGAGCATACCCTTCGCCACTTGGTTATTGCGGTTTTCCAAAGAGTGTCTGCACCTCAGTGAATGAGTGCATCTGTCATGGTATACCTGATTCTCGTCCTCTTGAAGTAAGCCATCCAAAATTGGAGATAACACACACATACTGCATACATATAAGAAAGTTACAAATTGACCTCCTTTGTTACAGGATGGTGACATTATCAACATTGATGTTACTGTTTATCTCAATGTAAGTCAAACATCAATGTGTAGATCACCCAAAACTATTACCCTTAATTGCTTTGATACTGCAGTGCTTCCTTTGCTAACAACAATAAGGGTGAAGGGAAGCAACCGCAGTGCTTATTTAATAGTAGATTGTTATAATATTTTGCTTTTTCTGGTGGATTGTGATGATATTGCTATTTCTGGTCGATTGCGATGATATTCTCGAGGATATTTTCTTTTAGTAGTGGTTTCTTACATGGTCATACACAAACAACTAGCCTTTCCTTTTCTTTTCAGAGAGTGTTTCTATGCATCTCCTCCTTATATTTGCATAAATGTCAAAGTATGACAATGGTGGCTGGACAGCTGGTGATTACTTACCCTTCACTTGGTTTAGGATTTGTGCAACCCATGGTCGAGATAAGGCATGGAATTTTTATGTGTATTCTTAGTCCCATCTGTCTATGTACAGTTATTGATATGGTTACATGTCTACTGTGTGGTTCATTATTAGTATATTGCTTTGACTACAGTCACTTTCTGATTTTTTTCCCTCCAGTGCATATATATATTGTACTCATGTATTTGGTTCCAGGGTTACCACGGTGATACATCTGCTACATTTCTATGTGGTAATGTTGATGACAAAGCTAAGAAATTAGTTCAGGTGACCTCAAGTTCTCAACAAATGTTTAGTTTTAACAATTAAGCAGTAAAGTACTATACGACTGAAAACCCGTTCTCATGCAGTTTGGAATGTAGTTCATTTCTAACCTATGAAATCTCATAGATGAACAATGCTATACCAAGTTATTTTTTTAATTCATCCACAAATTCAGGGGCAAAGCTCATGAAAGTTTCAGTCAAAGCAGCTACAGTAATAGATAATCATTGCTTCATGTTCAGAGTTTAGATTTTTTTTTCGTCAAACAGGTAACAAGAGAATGTCTCGACAAGGCTATATCAATCTGCGCCCCTGGGGTGGAGATCAAACGTATTGGTCGAACTATACAGTACGTAAACGAGAAGATGTTCTGTTGATTTTCTATATGAACTGATGCTGAAATATTGGATTTTACATTCCAATTTCTTTTGAGAAAGCTTCTGCAATTAGAATTTAGAAACCAACACCTCTATTTATGTGGTATCTACCACAGAAACTTCCCTGATAGAATCCAATTTCTTGAATTTTGGTGATGACCAATGTAAGAGTTGCTATTAATTTCTTGTAATCCATTGCATACTTAAAGGATGCATGTATATTATAGTATTATTACATATAAAAATTATTTCCTGGTTAACCATTTTAAGTGTTTCATTGAAATTGACCGATATACAAATGGATTTCCCATGCTAGTTTCCGATGCATTGATACACTGATTTTGCTAGACGATGCATTTTGATGATTAAATTGGACTCCTGTCACCGCTGTAGACTTTCAGTAATGCACCAGTAGGGTATATTGATCCTTGCTTTGAAGTTAACTTGCTGAGGATTTCCGATCTTCATAGGGACCATGCAGATAAATTCAAGTTTGGTGTAGTTCGACAGTTCGTCGGTCATGGGGTTGGACAAGTGTTTCATGCTGAACCTGTGGTGCTTCATTTCCGTGAGTCCTTCACTTTGATGGAACATCTCTTACTCAATTCTATCCATAGTTTTGAGCTTGTAGCATATATTCCAGTCACTTAACAAACCATAAAAGGCTAGAGACCCCTTCAACAGATGATACTTTGTTGTTGCAGTTTGCTCCTCTGTATCAGCTTAGAGACATGATTTGCATGCCATGGACTGATGACGGTTTCGAAATTTGCAGGAAACAATGAATGGGGCCGTATGACATTGAACCAAACATTTACTATAGGTACATGTTTCCAATGTGCACATAGCATGGTTATTTTTTCTACCAACTTGTGACTGTGACACGTATAATTATAACTATACCTATTCTCCGAAATCTATTGTGCACATAAATTCAAACAATGATACTTAAGCTGAAACTGATGCAACTACTATGCAGGAGTAATTTACCAATTAATTTCTGTTGATTTGCTAGCAAGAAGCCCTGGAACACTTAGAAATGATGATATCATGTCTTAGACTATTGTCTTCTGAAGTTTTTTCGTGAAGCATGTAAAGCTGACAACCTCCCCATTCTTTTTTTTATTAGAGCCCATGCTAACCGTGGGGAGCGTAAATCCAGTTATATGGTCCGATGACTGGACAGCGGTGACTGAAGACGGCAGCTTGTCAGCACAGTTTGAGCACACAATACTGATTACAGAGGATGGCGCGGAGATACTGACGCAGTGTTAAGGGCGGACGAGGATTAGAGGCGAGTAATGACAGTGATTCTATTTCTATAAGTGGCTGGCTGGAGATGGAATCCTACATTTTTTTGGACAAATGATCCAACTTGAAGTTCCAAACCCTAATGTAAACTCATATTACTAAGATAACCTACAAAAATTTTGAGTAAAATTGGTTTTAGAAGTCCATTTGTTGTTTGGTTCCAAAGCAATCAGGTTGTTTGGTGGCTGAAACTTGCAAGTACCGTGGTTGGCTGCTTGGGATTGCCGAAAGGCACGTTTTGCCTCATTTGCTGGCGAAGTACCGCTTTGCTTAATCAACACTTTTCTTCCATCGATTATTAGCTTGATATAATTGGTTGTTTCGTCAATCAAAATTTGAAAGACTGCCTGCCTTGTTCTACTTCCACAGCGACGGCGAGCCCGAAACTCTGTCTCTGCTATACCAGATTTTGTTTATTCCATTCTTTTTCTTACTATATGGATCTGTTTAGTAAAACTCTAACTTCTAAATTTATCTATAGAAGTTAGGTTTAAAGTAAAGTTGTGGAGCAGTATAAATCTAATTCCACCTCTTTAGTTTTACCTACTCCACTTTAATTTTAAGTGAAGTTAAAATTGTTTAGCTAGACTCCAACTCTAAAAAAAAAAGTAAAGTTGAAATTGAAGTTGTGCCAAACAAACACCCTGAAATTAATCAACCTGCAGTACAATAGAACACTAATTATTTTACTGTCTTATATGCCTATGATGATTCTCTAATCACAACTGCTTTAGGCTAACTTTAAGATTATATATAAACTAATCTGTTCGGTGTAATCCCTCGCCGACCACGGCAAAATCGTCCAACCGGTCACACCAGCGCGACCTACACGCAGTCGGTGGGCCCCCCTTCGTTCCACTGACATATGGGACCCACGATTGTGGTCCCCATATGTCAGTGAGGTGGGAGGCCTTTGAAGAAGTCGTGGGGGTTGAGTTGATTCGCCCTACCGGCCCAACCGCTCCCAAATTCCCTCTGCACAGCACTTCCATATGCGGAAAAAGGGAAGACCCCCTCGCGCAGAAACGAAAGCGGAGGCGTCCCCGGATTCCAGAAGCTTCTAGTAGCACAGTAGTAGCAGCCGCCGCCCTCGACGCGCGTCTGCTCGGGGTGCTCGCGGGAGGGGAGATCGAGGCGAGGGAGCTCGGGGGATCGATCGACGGGAGACCGTTGGAGCAGCAGAGCGCAATGCCGCGTGGGAGGCGGTAGGGATGGCGGCGGCGGCGGCGGCGGAGGCGGGAGTATGGCGAGGGGCGTAGCGCGCGCGGCGTCGTTCGGTGGCCGCGCCGCGACCGCGAGGTGGTGCTCGTACCGGCGCATCACGGTAGCCGTCTGCCTCGGGAACCTCGTCGCCGCGCTCCTCGTGCTCCGCTCCCTCACCTCCCTCGCCCCCACACCGCCCAAACGTGAGCTGAATCTCGCGTCGCCATCTCTGCACCTTGGTCCTTGGGTTTATTCGATCTGATTCGTGCGCTGTATCGAACTCTTGTTTCTAGGTGAGGAAGTGGTGGAGTATACGGAGGAGCAGATTAGGAAGGCGGAGGAGTCGATCCGGATTCGCCGCGAGGCGGAGCCCGTCGAGCTTGTCGAGGCGGTATTAACCAGAAATCTTGTTGTAAAATATTTTCACAATACTTGTGATCTAATCGACTAATCCTCGAAAGCTTTTGGTGCCAAAGGTGAAGAATCTGCGGAAGATTTTCAGGCGGGAGGAGAAGAGGCGGAAGGAGTTGCCACTGGAGTTGAAGCAGAAGGTCTCGTATGAGATTGTGCAGCTCCTGCTCGATTTGGGGGATAACAGCAGTTTCGCTCAGCAACGAGGTATTCTCACATTCTCGTATCTGGTTGGTTTCAAATCAGGAAATAGTACACTGTTTTATGTACAACGGAATGGCATGTTAGATTCGGAATTTGAATACCCTTTTCTTAGTACGTGTGGCGTTATTTGGAATCATGTGTTAATCTTATCTAGTTTTTGTCTGGCAAGTTGACTTGCAATGTGGGCCTATTTCAGTATTTTATAATCACTTCATTTGAGGTACTCAGGAGGGCTGAACAGGATGTTACTTCTTTATTTGTGATCCTGTGCACTCATCAGTTCATCTGCTCTCTTGCAAGTGTCATCTTATTTAGTTGCATTTTCTCAATCCACATGTTATAAAATAAACTTTTTTGCACGTGATTTTCCCATGGTGTATCAACACAAAAGTGGTTCCAGCTACCTTGATAGGCTCAGTGACGCATTCAACACATTATGTATGAGTTGATCTATTTGACGCAAGAAAAGAAAGAGATATTACCGATTTCTATTTGACGCAGTAATGTGGAATGCAGATGGTTAGGAGTGATGGATAAGTCTTTGTGGTCCTTGGTCCTGATTTCTTCTTTTTGCTTTTGGGTAGTTTCACCTTTTTCAGGACATCATCTACTCCTTTAGCATATTTTCAGTTGCTAGGACAGCTGCAGTTAGTAGGACAACAGCAATTAGCATCTCCTTTATGCCTCCTTTATGCTTTATTCAGTTTGGATGCCCTCTAGGACAGCATCCTATTCAAATTTCGAATTTTTAGACTAGGAGGGTGCAGCAATAGGCTTGCAGCCAGCTATGGTTATATATATATGTATCCAACCTCCCTCGGGAAGGTATGGCTTTGTGTTTTGTGAATGAAGAAAACCAGAAAATTGCCCCATCTCGAGTGCCATCCTCTTCTCAATGAGAGTAACCATTGAAGTTCTAACATCTGGTATCAGAGCCACACTTTCCTATAGGCTAAACATCTCTTGTTCCACCCCTTCCCAAGCTCGGTTGAGCTCTCAGCCAGCAGCAGCACCGGCTGCTCCTCCTTCCCCTTTCCCTCCCCCCTCTCCACGCAGCAGCCCCCCGGAGGTGCGCCATTTCCGACGTTCGGTTGCCTCGAGCACTCGGCGTCAGCAGGACGCCGAGCTCGCCGCAGCAGAAGAGCGCAGGCGAGCAACGGCTCAGACCGCTGCAGCAGCAGCGAGGGCGGCTAGACTGGCGGCAGCGGAGTTGGCAGCAGCCAGGGCGGAGGCGGAAGCAGAGGTGGCGGAAGATGCGGCACGTGCGGCGGAGGTAGAGGTTGAGACCTTGCGCAGCAGCATCAATGGCTCCATCGCCGGCGACATCACCGCCGACAGGGAGCTTGAGGAGCTAGCAAGAGGAAGGGCACGGGAGCGGGCAGAGCGGTGGGCAGCAGCCCACCTCCACGGCGGCGGCGGCGGCCAAAGGGACCGTGCGCCCGCTGACGGGAACCCAGATGGGCGCGGGCGTGTCGGCGGCAGCACGGAGCCCGCGCGCTGCCCTCGCAGGCAGCGTGACTCTCTCTCCCTTGACCGGCGCCATGGCCACCACGGCGTCCAGACGGTGGTCAGGGACTTTGGTCCCGGCGGTGGGTGGCCTACCCTCACCAAAACCAACTACATCGAGTGGGCCGCGGTGATGAGGGTGAGGCTCCAGGTGCGGCACATGTGGGAGGCAGTATGGTACGGCGACGTCGACTACGACGAGGATCGGCGGGCACTGGATGCCCTCATCGCTACAGTCCCGCCCGAGATGCAGTTCTCGCTTTCCCAGAAGCGGACTGCCAAGGAGGCCTGGGATGCCATCGCTGCGGCACGCATCTGCAGTGACCGCGCCCGCAAGTCCACACTGCAGGCACTCCGCAAGGAGTGGGAGAACATGGCCTTCAAGCCAGGTTAGGATGACTTTGCCCTCCGTCTCAACACTCTCTTGTAGAAGATGGTGCAGTACAGCGACGACACCTACGACGAGGAGAGAGCTGTCGAGAAGCTCTTCCGCTGCGTTCCAGAGAAGTACAGGCAGATCGCTCGCTCGATCGAGTCTCAGCTGGACCTCTCCACGATGTCGATCGAGGAGGCGTTAGGTCGCCTCAAGGTCGTCGACGGTGATGAGCCACAGCCTCTCTCGGGGCCTATCACCATTGGCGGGAAGCTCCATCTCACTCGGGACCAGTGGGAGGCCTCTCAGGGTGACGGGAGGAAGGGGGAGTCATCTTCCCCGACAGGCGGCCGTAAGCTGCGCAAGGTGCGGGGAGGTGTCCAGCTACGGTGGGCGCGAAGACGTGCCGAGGGTGGCGCCCGCAGAGGCGCCCAAGGCGGCGCCACCGGCAACCACAAGCCGGCACGAGACGACGCCTACCGCAACTGTGGCAAGCTTGGCCATTGGGCCAAAGACTGTCGACAGCCACGACGCGGCCAGGCCCACGTCGCACGTGTGGAGGAGGAAGAGCCGGCTCTGCTCCTGGCTCACGCAAGCATCGAGCTACCTCCAACGGCACCGGCCGCAGCAGTTTTTCTCCACCTTGATGAGCCGAAGGTACTCGTCTCCCTCTGCAACGGCTCTAGCAACGACAAGGCTGATGGGTGGTACCTCGACACCGGCGCCACCCATCACATGACCGGCCGACGGGAGTTCTTCACCGAGTTCGACTCCAGCGTCCGAGGCTCCGTCAAGTTTGGGGACGCCTCCGGCGTGGAGATCAAGGGCGTTGGCTCCGTCACCTTCACCGCCAAGTCCGGTGAGCACAGGTTGCTCACCGGAGTCTACTACATCCCCGCGTTGAGGAATTCTATCATCAGCGTGGGACAGCTGGATGAGAACGGCTCACGCGTGTTGGTCGAGGACGGTCTCATGAGGATTTGGGATCGCCGTCGTCGCCTTCTTGCCAAGGTAACCAGAGGCACTAATCGACTCTACATCCTCAGCGCGCAGGTTGCACAACCAGTTTGCCTCGCCGCTCGTCGAGACGATGAGGCGTGGCAGTGGCACGAGCGCTTCGGGCACCTCCACTTCGAGGCGTTGAAGCGGCTCAATGCCAAGGAGATGGTGCGAGGCATGCCGTGCCTTGACCACGTGGAGCAACTCTGCGACGTCTGCGTGGTAACGAAGCAACGGCGACTCCCCTTTCCCCAGCAGACGAGCTTCCGAGCCAAGGAGCGGCTCGAGCTCGTGCACGGGGACTTGTGTGGCCCAGTGACACCGGCCACACCAGGAGGACGACGTTACTTCCTGCTGCTCGTCGACGACCTCTCCCGCTACATGTGGGTGATGGTCCTCGACAGCAAGGGAGAGGCTGCGGACGCCATCAGGCGCGCGCAGGCTGCTGCAGAGGCGGAGTGTGGCCGCAAGCTGCGCGTGCTGCGCACCGACAACGGCGGCGAATTCACGGCGGCTGAATTTGCTTCGTACTGCGCTGATGAGGGCATTCAGCGCCACTACATCGCGCCGTACAGCCCGCAGCAGAACGACGTCGTCGAGCGGCGCAACCAGACGGTGGTGGGGATGGCTCGGGCTCTCCTCAAGCAGAGGGGGATGCCGGCCATCTTCTGGGGAGAGGCGGTGGTGACGGCCGTCTATATCCTCAACCGCTCTCCTACCAAGACCCTCGATGGCAGGACACCGTACGAGGCATGGCATGGGCGCAAGCCGGCGGTCTCCCACCTGCGGGTCTTCGGCTACCTCGCGTTCGCCAAGGAGCTTGGCCACATCGGCAAGCTCGACGACAGGAGCACCCCAGGGGTGTTCATCGGCTACGCGGAGGGCTCGAAGGCCTACCGCATCCTCGACCCGGAGACACATCGTGTGCGCACAGCGCGCGACGTAGTGTTCGACGAAGGGCGAGGGTGGGTATGGGACAAGGCGGTGGACGATGGTTCGACTCCGACGTACGACGACTTCACCATCGAGTACGTCCACTTCGAGGGAGCTGGGGGAGTAGGCAGCTCTTCTTCACCGAGCGTGTCTACCCCAGTCCCCGAGCCTCCACCGACTCCGACATCAACACATCCTCGGGCCACGACTTCGACTACGACGAGCTCTTCGCCGACACCACCCCAGCCGGTGACCCCACGCACTCCAGCACCAACAGCCACTCCTCCAGGCACGTATACTCAGACGCCAGCTCGTGTTGAGCGCAGCCCGGTGGAGTTCGCTACTCCGCTCTCCCACGACGGGGAGCGCATCGACGCATACCACGACGGCGAGCAGCTACGGTACCGTACGATGGAGGATCTTCTCGGCGACCAGCCGGTGCCGGGACTGGTGCCTCGCGACCTGGAGGCGCAGTTACACCTTGCGTGCGACGACGGTGAGCCTCGGTCTTTTGCAGAGGCCGAGAAACACGCGGCATGGCGTGCCGCGATGCAGTCGGAGATGGACGCGGTTCAGGAGAACCGCACCTGGGAGCTTGTTGACCTCCCTCGTGGTCACCGCACGATCACCCTTAAGTGGGTGTTCAAGCTGAAGAGGGATGAAGCCGGAGCCATCGTCAAGCACAAGGCTCGCTTGGTGGCACGCGGTTTCGTGCAGCAAGAGGGGATCGACTACGACGATGCCTTCGCTCCCGTGGCACGGATGGAGTCCGTGCGACTCCTTGCGCTGGCTACTCAGGAAGGCTGGGGCGTCCATCACATGGACGTCAAGTCGGCGTTTCTGAACGGCGACTTGAAGGAGGAGGTCTACGTGCACCAGCCGCCGGGATTTGTGATCCCTGGCAAGGAGGGCAAGGTGCTACGCCTGCACAAGGCCCTCTATGGCTTGCGGCAGGCACCGAGGGCGTGGAATGCCAAGTTGGATTCCACACTCAAGGGGATGGGCTTCGAGTAAAGCCCGCGCGAGGCGGCCATCTACCGGCGGGGCAATGGAGGAAATGCCTTGCTGGTGGGTGTCTACGTCGACGACTTGGTGATCACCGGCACCAAGGATGCGGAGGTCGCGGCGTTCAAGGAGGAGATGAAGGCCACCTTCCAGATGAGTGATCTCGGGCCTCTCTCCTTCTACATGGGGATCGAGGTGCACCAGGACGACTCCGGGATCACGCTTTGACAGACCGCCTACGCCAAGCGCATCGTTGAGCTGGCTGGGCTCACCGATTGCAACCCAGCTCTCACTCCGATGGAGGAGAGACTAAAGCTGAGCCGCGATAGCACGACGGAGGAAGTGGATGCTACACAGTACCGGCATCTTGTGGGGAGCCTTCGCTACCTCACCCACACACGGCCGGACTTGGCCTTCTCCGTCGGCTACGTCAGTCGGTTCATGCAGCGACCGACGACGGAGCACCAGCAGGCTGTGAAGAGGATCATCCGCTACGTTGCGGGGACTCTCGACCACGGTCTCTACTACCCGAGGTGTCCTGGCAAGGCACACTTCATCGGGTACAGCGACAGCAACCACGCCGGCGACATCGACACCAGCAAGAGCACGAGCGGGATTCTCTTCTTCCTCGGCGAGTGCCTCGTTAGCTAGCAGTCGGTCAAGCAGCAGGTGGTGGCCCTGTCCAGCTGCGAGGCCGAGTACATGGCGGCCTTCGCCGCTTCGACCCAGGCGCTCTGGCTTGCTCGACTGCTTAGTGATCTCCTCGGCAGAGACACTGGAGCGGTGGAGCTCAGGGTGGATAGCAAGTCCGCTCTGGCCTTGGCAAAGAACCCCGTTTTTCACGAACAGAGCAAGCACATCCGGGTGAGGTACCACTTCATCCGAAGCTACTTGGAGGAAGGGAGCATCAAGGCGAGCTACATCAACACCAAGGACCAGCTTGCGGACTTGCTCACCAAGCCTCTTGGGAGGATCAAGTTCCTCGAGCTCTGTTCCAGGATCGGGATGGCCCAACTTCCCCACAAGACGACGCACAAGACTTAGGGGGAGAATGATGGATAAGTCTTTGTGGTCCTTGGTCCTGATTTCTTCTTTTTGCTTTTGGGTAGTTTCACCTTTTTCAGGACAGCATCTACTCCTTTAGCATATTTTCAGTTGCTAGGACAGCTGCGGTTAGTAGGACAGCAACAATTAGCATCTCCTTTATGCCTCCTTTATGCTTTATTCAGTTTGGATGCCCTCTAGGATAGCATCCCATTCAAATTTTGAATTTTTAGACTAGGAGGGTGCAGCAATAGGCTTGCAGCCAGCTATGGTTATATATATGTATCCAACCTCCCTCGGGAAGGTATGGCTTTGTGTTTTGTGAATGAAGAAAACCAGAAAATTGCCCCATCTCGAGTGCCATCCTCTTCTCAATGAGAGTAACCATTGAAGTTCTAACAAGGAGAGGGCTCTGGTGTATTGCACGATAATACCGACTATTATAACAGTTTGCCATAATTTATTTGCCTAATATTTCCTACAAGTTCCAAAGCTAACAGTATCACAGCAGAACTGAACCTCGTTTTTGGTTTGCATTCCAATTGTTTTGCTTCTTGCCACAACATGCAAGATACATATTTCTATACTAACTTATTAAGTAGCCTTCTACAAATTATTAAGATATTTTCTTGATTTTTCATATTGGAGTACCTACATCTATTTTTTCCTAATACATAACAGAAGCAGTGGAATCATGGCGTTTCGAGAAGTTAAAAGATATAAAAAGTGCATCTATTCAGAACTCAACAAAGTTAGACCTCTCCAACGAGGAAGCAAGTACGTGGGCTTTTCTATTGAATCTACTATTCTGTGTGCTCGTATTCTTTTCTGATTAGTGATGCTAGGCCTTTGGCTATATACACTGAATTTCAATATTTTCCTGTAGGAACCTTAAAGCGAGCACTACAGTTCAACTGGCATGTGCTGCTGGAAGACATTGGTCTTTGGATACCATCAGAAGTCTCACACACTGAACATGATGACAAACCTGAGAATGAACCAGAAGGTCTCTTTTTTGTGTTTATTTATGAAGTTCAGAGCATTCATGGCCTCAGTTCAAACAATTGTGTCCTTTTTACCTTTGTAGTTGTAGTTATAGACTATATTTTGAAGTTCTCAAAATGAGATTTTAGTTTCCAACCTATGTTAATTGTTGCAGAAGAAGAGATAATAGCTGGTCCACCTTTGCCCTCACAATGCAATGCTGAGCTACATACTGATTACGATGGTGCTGCTGTTAGATGGGGCTTAACACACCCCAAAGAATCTGCTGCCGATTGCTGTCAAGCATGTCTAGACCAGGCTAAGAATGCCAGGCCAGGTGAACTAAGGTGTAATATATGGGTTTATTGCCCATCAGAGTTTGGATGTTTCTCTCCAGATAAATATGAGCATAAACATCAGGAGTGCTGGTTGAAACAGGTATACTCAGTTTTGTTCTATATTTATGCACCAACCATTGAAATTACAGCCCTTAATATTTGCATCTTTATTGTTTTCAGTTTAAATGAGTGTTAGAACCCCAGTTTTTTTTATGCATTTTACATGTGCACGAGATGGCTTGCTGTTTAGTTACTATATAGAAATGATTTGGAAAATATTTATGCCTTAAGCACGGCCCTTTGATTACCATTTAGTAGTAGTAAAGGATTTGAATGGCAGAAGTCAGATACAAGGTGGTGCTGGTGTTCATATTGCTATTCTGCAAGTCTGTATGCTTGTGCATTTGTCATATTATGGATTTGTTCACTGATCTGCACCAGCCTCATGTTTGATGCTTTACAAAAAAATATTGAGATTTAATTTGCCGCAAAAAAATAATTTAATATGAGCTAGTATCAAATTATCCTGCATAATTCTGACCCATGTACTGTTTTGAAGGAGTTGGTTGCTCATTGCACTTGTTAGTCTTCAGAAATCCAAGTTTGTAATGAATTTTATGTGTTTCTTCGCCATAGGTTTGTTTTGTAAGCTAAAATACTTAATGAAACACCTGGGCATTGTTTACTGTAGTGTCTGAGAGTGTCATGAAATGGTTTATTTCTTCTCTTATGATGGTTCAATGCTTGCAGGCTGACCACCCTAAACTCAACTTCAAAGACAAGTATTCCGAGTCATACAGAGATTCTCATCCCACTGCCCCTGTCGTTGTGCCCTGGATGTCAGGTGTCATCAGCGCATGAGCTGTTAGTCCCCAGAGGCTCATCTGAGATTGGGAGATTTGTACCGATGAAAAACTTAACCAAAGCAACTTCATATACCGATTCTTCCTCGTTTTTTTTTTCTTTTGCCATGATACGTTTCTCTTTCTCTTGTCTTGGGTATATACGAATATGATGTAAACCTTAGATTAGTCGTTCTGATAGCAAAAGGTTCATTTGAGGGAGGCTTATTTTGTGGCCAAGGGAATGTGAGTAGACTGATTAAATACAATGGTTCCATCAAGAGAAATGATGGTGCTCTTGCACATTTTCCGCTCCAATTCTTTTGTCTCTGATCACGAACTTTCCTAAAGCACCATTCGGATTACTAATCCAAAACGGACTTAATCTATTTACATATGGTAACTTCGTCTCATATTATGTTTTTTTTTTGGTCGTGAGTTAAAACTTCTCTAACTTAACCGAGTTTGTACACTTTATAGGTCTCAGGAAATAAGTTTATACACTTTATATGTTATCACGGAAGCGCTCATAGGTTTACACCTCTGTTTCATATTGTATGCTATTTTTTGTTTTGTCATGAGTTAACTTTATCTACTTTATACGCTTCATAAGGCATCAGGGTTGTGCTTATAAGGCAAGGTGTACGTGTGTTCGTAGGGTTGTGTTATAAACGTTTGCACTTATACTGTGTTTTTTTAAAAAAAAAATTGTTGGCAAAACTAAAATGACTTAACGGACTAAGGCTGAGTTTAGTTCCAAACTTTTTTTTTCAAACTTTCAACTTTTTTATCACATCAAAATTTTTTTACACACATAAAGTTCCAACTTTTTCGTTACATTATTTCAATTTCAACCAAATTTCTAATTTTAGCGCGAAGACCCACCTTATAGTAACCACCCAGAAATCAAAATCGAATGAGAAACACGGCAACACGCGACAAGAGTGGGACACGTCCATACGGACGGTAGGCCGGTTCTGAATTTCTGATTTCTGCACTACTCCGTGTTCTTTCCAAAGTCCCCTAAGATTGTGTTTGAGGGAGAGGGGATTGAGAAGATTCGGAAAACGAGGTGAGCCATTAGCGCATGATTAATTGAGTATTAACTATTTAAAACTTTAAAAATGAATTAATATGATTTTTTAAAGCAACTTTCATATAACTTTTTTTAAAAAAAACACACCATTTAGTAGTTTGGGAAGCGTGCACGTGGAAAACTAAACAAAGAAACTCCCTTTTTCTCCGAACGAACGCAGCCTAACTAAAGTAACCTGAAGTCCTGAACTCTCCTTGGCCTCTCTTGCCGTCTTCCTCCGCGCGACCGCGCCGCATCGCATCGCTAGCCATGTACGGCGGGTTCGGCAGAGGGGGGCAAGGGTGGAGCCCGTTCGACGCGATCCGCGGCTTCCCGTCGACGCCCGAGGCCCTCATGTCCCAGATCGACGCCGCCATCGCCGCCACCGAGTACGCCCGCTCCTGCGCGCAACTCGACCCCGCCACCGCCTCCTCGGAGCCGCAGCAGGCGGCACCGCCGCCCGGGGGCGAGGCGCGTGTGGAAGGGGAGGCCTCCGCCGCCGCCGCCTGCTACGACGCGAAGGTCGCGGACGAGGCGTACCGCGCGGCGTGCGCGGCGCTCGGGGCCGGGAGGGCGGACGCGGCCGTGCGGTCGCTGCGGGTGGCGCTGGCGAGCTGCCCGCCGGAGAAGGCGGCTGCCGTGGCGAAGGTGCGGTCCATGCTGGCCATCGCGTCCGCGCAGCTGCACAAGCAGCAGCATCAGGCGCAGCAGCAGCTGCAACGCGGCGTCAGGAAGTGAGAAGCATCACCGGCGTCATTGCAGGATTAGCCCTTTCCGTTCGGATTAACCTTGATTGAGTTTGTGATTATTAATCAGCTACATCTAGTGGCGTTTAATTAGTGTTGAAAATTTGTTACTAGAAGCACCATGATTTGTGGCATTTATCATATTCACTATCACAAGATGTCAGATGATCGTCTATTCTTGGTTCTTGGCTTCTTGCTGCCTTTCGGTTACATACTTCGACTCTTCATCAAGAGTGACCAATGGCAGATTGTAGCTTTGTAAGATGAAACTTGACACAGCAGAGTGATTTAACGCAGGTAATGCGCGAATTGTGCGATTCGTGCCTACGTGCACCCAATCAGTGAATCTGGAGCAACAATTTGAGCAATCTCTTATTTATCTTCTGTCAGAAACTTCGCGTACATCTGACTTGTTTGATGGGGAAAGCAGCAATGCAAGTGAAATACACTGAATACACTTTGCCCATCATCCTGAACTACTGTTGTCCCCAAAATTGCGAGAAAAAAAATCATGGCTGGATACTCTCGCTATGTAAGATATGATGTTACAGTATCAGAATCATCATTCGTAGGCGAGGAGAGACTGAAGAACCTCTGTGCTCAGCGCAGATCTAGACTAAAATCCTGCAAAGGCAGCAGAAATGAAGGAGCTTCACAGGCACTTCTTGACGTCTGAAAACAAGGGATTTTCCTTGTTTGCTGCTTCGACGTCCTCAGGTGATGCAACGGCAACCACGACACCGTTGTCGTTAATTGTTTCGACAGCATCAGCAAACTCCTTGAAATCCTTCAAGCTGCCAACATGAAAACCAAAAGGATCAAGATGACAGTTTCGTGCGTCTGTAAGGGGAAAAAAAAAAGGTTTACGACTTTTTTTGGACCATGGATTTCATTACCTGGTTGATAGTATCTCTTCACGTCTTTGCTGGCGTTCCTCCACCGTGATGCCCAGCAAGTATCGCATTAGACTGAAAAATATGTGTTCAGTGTCTTCTGTATTATGAATGTGTTATTGTACCATGTGCAGATGCATGATATAAATTTGCCCATATAGTACATCTATATGTTCATAATCACACCATATACAAGTTAAACTGCAGTTGGTTTAAAAACGACATGTAATCTCTGAAAGATGTAACTAATTCGTAAGGAGACAAACAATAAATGGTTGCATATCAAATAAGAAATTTCTAGTATTTACATGGATATAATCCCCATGACAGTATAACAACCAACAACAAGATGAAAGACCATGTTGAATGAGTATGCAGAACACAGAAGAGGCTTTTCGTACCTGCTGTAACCTTTAGCATCTGGCAGCTGGTAGGAATCAACGTCACCTATGGTACCAATAATAGCTTTTGTGAGACAATCATCATCCATTTCTAGCTCTCTTAGGAACTTGGCCGTCTCATCATAAACTTCTAGTGTTTTCAATAAATTTGGATCACGGTATGACAAGTATGAGAACACTCCTGAAAAGGAAAACAATATTAGCATTATGTGAATAGTTTGAACCAGCTGAAAGAGTTACTAGTTATTTAAAAATGCAACAGATTATTTAAAAGAGAAACATATCTAAAAACAACGAACCTGAATGGGTGTCAAAATCACAAAACCCTCCATATGCACCACCACTAACTCGAACACGGTCCCACAACCACGTATTGCTTATATGCTTGGAGATGACATAGGCACTTCCATTGAGCTGATATCCACTTTGGTACAGGTTTCCAGCTTTTCCAACATAATTAACCTTCAGATGACAAAAACAATTTCAGATAACTAAATCAGTTGGAACTCACCGTTCACTGTTACCAATGAGTACTCGTCAGCAAAGGCTGCTTAAATATAATGCCAGGAAAATTTCCTTACCTGAGTGGGTACAACGATAGCTTCGTTAACAGATGGCAATCGAGAAAGCCATGGATCACTTCCAAGGGATGTAGTACTTGGCAGCGAATCAAGAAATTTGGCAATATGTTTGTTAGATTTCTCAAGATTTTTCCAGTCACTTGTTATGTTGACCAGGCAACCGTCCTTTCTAAAGAGAGATTGTCTCATTTCCTCAAGCGAAGATGATATTTTGTCCCAATCTTGATCGATCTTCGTTTCCAGATCACGTAAATACTCAAGATAACTAGCCATAGCAACATGGAAAAATTAATATTTCAATATTGGAGAATGTGATAGTGTCAAACATAACTCTGGTAGTGAAAGATGCCACTTGCACAGAAATGAATATTGATTAAAATAATAGCTGCTTGTGCGATTTTAATGCAAGTATGCAACTCTTACAAATTGCTTCACAAAATGCAGGGAGGCCTATCGCTCAAATAAATGAAAATAACAAAACAATAGAAATAACAATAGAAATGAAGGGAGGCCTATCTCAAGAAAAAGACTACCCCATAGTCAATATGATTATGCCTACAAGGCAATAATGATCATGCAATATCAATTTTGAAAGGCAGCAGAATTAACAATCTGCAGGCGCTTATTTATGTTTGCTGTAAAGAATCTTACCTAATACCACCCATCTGCTCAGCAATCCATCCAGCTGCATTTAACTTAGCATCCATTCTAGCAGCAGCTATGCCATGGCCACTGCCCCTCAATCGATTCTGTTGAACAAATCATTAGATAACCACATTACATGCAAGCATATGATCATCCACACACATACTGCTGATACTAGTTATTACCTCCATTCTTGCTTTACTTTGAGAAACAAACTGCTTGAACCTCTGCTGCTCTGTGAACTGAACATCTTGGAGAATGCAGTAAATCTGAAAGAACAGAACATAAGCTGATTCGGATAATGTAAACACAACGGCAGTAATTGCATGACTATGGAATATTTGTTTAGATGGTTTCATACAAAATAAACAGATTTAAGCTGTATTGTAGACCCTATCATTGCCTGTGCGGCTTTGCCTCTATGGTCTACACAGACAAGGATCACAAGCGTACCAGATTAAACAAATCTTCTACTCGTGTTGCCATAGACTTCCCCCTAACAACGATCCGAGTAAGAGGATCATCTTTTCCCCTTATCGACGATGTGAATGGGTAAACTGATATGCCTCCAGTTTTTCTTCCAATTAATTGGTTAAGCTGCACGAAGTCCATGTCTTTTGTGCCCATCTCCAGCAAAGATTGGCTGGCAGACATGTTCATAGTTAGTTCAAATACCTCACGGTATATAAAGGCACGAAGAGAACAAAAAATGAGCATCATCATGGCCGGTTAACAATAATGTATTGATCAACTGGCTCACCAGAACAACGGCAACAACTGCAGATGATCTTTCTTCAACGAACTCATGTCAAATACAATTTCGGAGTAGACAACATCATTGGTAAAGAGATCATGTTGCAAAACCTTGACCCCGTTTATCTCTCCCACCTACAAATGACATGAATATCGCATTCTTCAGTCCAATTAAAATTGTAAAATGAAGAAATATAGCTGTAGCTCCTAATAAATAGTTTATAGTTATAATATTATAAAGCTTCCCATGTATTTTTGCAAAGGATCTTTTGTACCAATTTCTAGTTTGGTCAAACTCTTGGAGCCTATGTTCTATTCTATAATTTCATAAACTGGAAAATTGCAACATGTATTGTATCATGATGTTAGCTTCCCTTAAAATGTGCAATTAGATAGCTCTCGCAAGTCGCAACCACAACAAATGAAAATAAAAACATACAGTAACTTCCAATCAATCTCTTGCCCAATCAGGCAATTAATCTTATCTCACACGATGAGGAACTATTTGGTATGACTCCCAGAAGTTAGCTTTGCCAGTAAATTACTAAATTCTCATATTGGCCAAATAGAGCACAATGCAAGCTGAAGAATTACCTCTATAGGTACATGAATAGGCTCTTTAGGGATATCTTGCAATGACAGGCTAGGGACAGCTTTTAGAGCTTCTGGGGGATCTGGAGTTTCTTGTTTATCCTTCAGCTCTTTTGTGGCACGTGCCAATTCTGCAAGATCCTCTCGAGTCATGCTAGCCTTTACTTGCTTTAGAATCTCTTTCTCAGCTGCTTCATCACGTGAAGCCTTCTCTGGATCAGGCTGCACAATGAGGTTTAAAATTTTAAGGTTATCTGGTGCATTTCAAAAAATGTCCTAATGTACAATATATGATGTGCTTTAGACCTGCATTTCAATTGTGGCACGATGCGCATTATTCAATAAAAATTTCTCCAAGAGTGGTGAAAATACTGCTTTAGATCCCTCTGCTGCAATGCGTGCTTTCAACTGCTGCAATGGGCGTTCATATTTCAGAGGCTCAAAAGGGTCCATGTCATATATCCATTTTCCCTGAAAATGTTTGTGACAAAGAATCATGAGTATGTCCAAACACATCTGTACTTTTATTTCAAAATGGAAAAAAAAAAAAGAGTGATGAGTTCATACAATCGAACGAAGCATCAGAGACAAGCCTCGAGGGAACGATCCTGTGTTGTTCTCCCTAAGAGCGAATTCAATTGTGTTCATAGATGCCTCCACTGCTTCTGGTGCAAACCCTTCCTCTGCCAGATTCTTCAAAGTTTGCATTACCAACTCTTCAACTTCTTTAATGTTATCCTCAGATACACCTTTCAAACCTATACTGAATTGTGGCTGAAGGAGCTCATCTTCAACACCACCACCTACTATAGCATCCCCTAAACCACTTTCAAGAAGAATCCTTCTAAGGGGTGAAGCAGGAGTTCCCAACAAAAGGTGGTCCAAGAAACCAAGCGTAAGCTCAGTTTCTACATCTAGTGGCTGCTCTGACAGCAGCCAATTAATACACACCATAAATTTCTTCTTTAGATCCCCTTCCTGACCAACAGGATACTTCTCAACAATTCTCACTGGTTCTTTGAATAGCCTCTGTGGCCAAATCTTAGATTCATTAGGAGCAGGGCTGGCTTCAAACTGATCGAGATATTCTACAGAAGAGGAACACAGCATGGAAGAAAAACTTGAGACTTTTCATACCACCAAAAGGTGGTTGGAAAATGACCTGTTGAATAAGCACAGGTAACTATTGTTAGATAGATGACTTACCACTTAGAACGCGTAGGCGTTCTTTTGGGTCATCATCACCATAGAACCAGATCCTAGCATTACTTGGATGATAATACTTGCTGTGGAACTCCTGAACATAAGACAAAGAAAGGCAGGGATTTAAATGCAAAACAAATTAATCAAGCATTGGCTTCAAGCAATAATATGATGCAATGATGCAGTAATTTCTCTTTATGTTTCCAATAAAAAACTAACAATCATCCAAACTTCTAACTATGGGAGAGCAAAAGAGTATAGGATAAAAACATCTACCATTAGAGGTATAGGGTAATAACACATGACCTAGTACATATTTTTTACTATAGAAACCAATGGCAACACCAAATTTTGGGATGAGATTACGTTTCACAAAACCTTGAATTCTTCAAAAGTAAGCTTTGGGATTTCATTTGGGTCTCCACCGCTATCCACACCATAAGTGTTCTCAGGGAAAAGGGCCTGCAGAAAGTTCAGAAATGTTACGAACTAACATTTTTTAACTTCAGCAATTGGCCAGCTAGAATCATGACAAGGAGCTATATAGAATCGCCTTTTCAATTTTCCAAGAACAGTACAGAAGAGTATTCAAGCATCAGCTTAAAACAAGCATAGACAGAATAATGGAACCTAAAAGACGAAATGAAACAGTCTGGACCATGGATGTAGATATGTAAGTTCCATATTTTGCAATAGATAGATTGCAGGGAAAAGGCATTGATCATGATAGTGTATCCATTATCCAACAGGGTGATCCCCGGGGAAAAAATATCATGCATAAGATGACAAATACATAATTACAGATGAAATGAAAGAAATAGTTAACCTGTTGAGATACACGCCCCATTAGGTTGTCAGGTTGAGAGTAAACTCCTTTCATCTCATTGAAGACAACACCTAAATTTAACATATTAAACGGATTATGTACATACACCTTTTGAAAGTGCTCACTCCATTAGAATAGAATGAGTAATCAAACCTTTGTAGGATATCTCCTCTTCAGGATTGTCAAGTTCATAATGCCAACCTTCCTGTTGAAATGTTTGGAAGTCCTCAACACATCTAGGGAAAAAGACTGCATCAAGGTATACATCTACCAAGTTATAGAAGTCCTGCAAGGCAACAACATGAAGAGCAACATGAAGGGTGATGATGCTATAAATAGTCACAGCAGAAATAACTTTAGCAATTTTTTATCACCTTAGCGTTTGTTGAAGCAACTGGATAACATGTCCGATCTGGATAAGTGAACGCATTCAGGAAAGTGTGCAGGCTGCCCTTTAAGAGCTCAACAAATGGCTCTTTTAAAGGGTACTTTCTTGATCCACAGAGAACACTATGTTCAAGGATGTGAGGTATTCCAGTCGAATTTTTCCTGGTAATGAAAGAATATACTCCTTTTTAAAAAAATCGCAGTAGGCTTAACTGCAACTATTTCTTTCTTTTCGTTTCTTATTGATGGATAGGCACATCTTCTTCAATCTTTATGATAATCTTAAGCAAAGAACCAAAGAAACAAGGAATAAATGCACTTACGGTGGAGTGCGGAAAACAATGCCAAACACTTTATTCTCATCATCATTTGATACAGACATCACTTCTGCGCCTGTCTTCTTGTGCTTGTAAAGGACAGCAGTTGATTTGCACTCATCTATGCTCTGTTCAGATACCTTCTCAAACCCTAACTTTGCAGCATACTCATGGACGTCATCTGTATCTGCTTATGTCAGAAGGAACACAGATCACACATTCATTCTCAAACGCGACCAATAAGAGCGTGAGAGCGTCACACGGGGTCACTCCAAATAACAAAGAGATGCCGTTCTGAATGCTTCGTTCTTCACAAGCATTGTCTTCTCAGCTATCCCATTGACAACTCACAAGCTGAAGCAAAATGTGGAATTCTGACACGAGTTTTCATGATTATCTCAATGGAAATTCTATCAGTTATCAACTTCCAAGCGGGTTTATTAGCAATTACTGGAAACAGCAAGCGAAACTTCACTCATGACTAGCTCCGTATAGCTCGTTCTGATACATATACTACTATACGAGTTCAGGTAAAAGCAAGCAGCCCTTACCACTGGGCACGGGTGAGGGCGACGTGGACACGGCAGGGGCGGAGAGGCGCCGGACGAAGCGAGGCGCGGCGTGCGGCCAGTACCGCCCGGCGCAGTGCAGCGGCGCCGCGGCGGCCAGGAGCCGCGCGCCGCCGGGTAGACCCGCGCGGCTGTGCGACGACGACGACGGGCGGTACGGCGCGGACGGCCCCGCGGCCTGGACGACGGGCCTGGGCCGGCGGCAGCGGTGGAGGAGGCGGCGGCCGGAGTTGCGGAGCAGCGCCACCCGCTCCATGGCGCAGGTGTCCAGCTTTGCCGGCGACTGTGGTTTCCTCCTCTGTGGATTGGAGGAGGGGGCAACGTGGCGGCGTGGCTAGCTGGGGCGAGATTAGGATTTCCTCCGCTTCTGGGCCTTCTTCTCCCACAGGGGTTTTGCTTGGGCTTAAAGAAGAAGAGGAGAAAAATCTTTGTGATTACAAATCTTTTGCTCTTTTTTTTGGATTTTTATGGTTTGAATTTCCTGTGGTGGAAATGGGGTTGGTGTGAATTATGGTACACGCAACTGCGTTGGGAATTTTTGGCGTTTTACGGACGTGTCTGCAGCATGTGCAGTTGTATAAGGGAGGGTGGAGAGTTTTGCAAGTTTGAGAGTTTTGAATTTCTCACCATCTCATGTTTGTGTTCGAAATTTAAAAGGAGATAATGGTTTCGAATTAGACTAGAGTTTCGAGTTGGTTCTTCCCCTCAAAAAAAAAAAAGAGTTTCGAGTTGGTTCTAACACCAAACGAGAGGGAAGCAGTTTGGGCTAAACTGAGCTGCCAAACTAGGGGCTTGTTCACTTTGATGCAATTTTCAACTATATTATTTTTTTTAAAGTTATTAAAATTTTAGCTACGTTTAGTTTGTTGCTAAATTTTAGTAAGTACATATGAAATATTGTCAAAATTTAGCAACCTTGCCAAGGTTTTAGCAATCTTACCAAAATTTGGCAATGCCAAAACTTGATAAGATTGAAAATGGTAGCAAAGTGAACAAACCCTATAAAAGCCCTTCTTGATTTGTCCTGAGAACCTTTGTCCTGCCTATCAGCAGCCGAATTGAAACTTTTTTTCTTGGGGTGAGAGCCCACAGATTAGGTAGAAGACAGTGGGTCACCGAGTCATGGGTAAGCCCACATTGCAAATACCTATTCGTAATAATATAATGTGTCTCATATATCAAAATCGTTTATACTATGTTTCAAAAAGAATCGTTTATACTATGGCTGAATAAGTATCGGACTATCCAACTATCTATTGACGTGCAATTCTTTTGCGCATTCGCGGAAAAAGACTATCCAACTATCACTTTGGTTATGAAAGGGGATTATCCAATAATCGAATGAGGCTTGTTTGAATTTATGGAATTTACAGTTATGCTATTGACATATGAGCCATAGTAAAATAGGTCCACATGTCAGTAACTCAATTACAATCTACAAAAAAACTAAGAAGATCCACTTCCCCAATTGTCTAATGATGAAACTTTCCCTCTCGCTCCCTCTTTTTAAAATGGGAATATGGTGTAAAAACAAGTACTCACGTATGCGTGTATGCTTACCGTATTAATGAATTGGACCAACATATTTTGATATTGATAAAATTCTACCACTAAAAAATAATTAGTTGTAAACATGAGTCGTGTATGACTTTAACCTAGGTGGTAATCCACCATAAAAAACTATCTAGTTGAGTTACGCTTATTTCATCTATCATATATTTTTTTACGATTACACGTAAGACGAAAGCTAAAATATTTATTAAACACTAGCCATTTCCACAGGACTGCTGCAAGATTTGTGTATAATTACTTTTATCTTTCTAGCCTCTATACATTTACATCCAACATAATATCAAACTTTTAGTATTATGAAACTGTTTGTAATAATTACCCTAATAATTTGCATGTGCCAAGCTTAGATAGAACACATTTAAGATCAAACTTTAGAAAAGCGGCACAGTTTAATAATGCTAAGGATAAATGTTCAAAGAATAAGCACACAATTGGAATGTTTTCGATAATGTGAAATGGAATGCTTGTCAGCATATGCGTACCGTATTCTAACGTGTAACAAAAAGAAAAAAGAAAAGCACGAATGATGTGTATTTTAACGTGTACATGATGGGTCACCATCACCAACTTCAAAACACTTAATACCACGATTATTAGATGCTCCTAATTCGGAGCACCCCGACCCCAACATGGCAACTAGTAATCACCCTTCCATTTGAAGTCCCCGGCACGTCGATCTCCGCCTCCTCAAAACCTTCTCGCCACGACGCGCTCTGGACAACCCACCCATCCCGTCGAACACCGTGATGGAGCTCACGACGGCGCTGCCCGCCTCGCCGCCGCCGCCGCCGCCGCAAGAGGACTTCCGATTCGACGGCCCGGCGTTCAGCGCCTTCCCGGAGGGGGTGGCGTCGGCTGGCACCAACCCGTTCTTCTCCGCCGACGCCATGGACTCCAACCCGTTCTTGGCCACGGCGGTGACGGCGCCACCGTCGCCCAACCCGTTCGAGCTCAACCACCAGTCCGCATCCCCCGGCGCCGCCGACCCGTTCGACCTCTTCCAGCACTTCACCAGCGCGCCCGCCAGCCCGGCGCGCGCCGCCGCCATATACGCGCAGTTCGACGGCGGCGTCGGCGACGGGAACGGCGCCGACCACGACATGGCCGTCGTCGGCGACGACGACGACGACTTCCAGCCCCGCGCGTCGTACTCATCTGGCACTGCCACCTCCACCGTGCCGTTCGACTGGGAAGAGAAGCCGGGGAAGCCGAAGCCGAAGAGCGAGCTCGCCACCTGCGCAGCCGCCGCGACGTCGGCCAACGTTGGCGAGGTGGACGACGCCGACTTCGACTTCGGCGTCCTCCTCGACAAGAGCGTGCAGGTGCCCGAACTGACGACGGCCGACGAACTCTTCGACAAGGGGAAGATCCGGCCGCTCAAGCCACCTCCGGGTCTGCTCGACGGCGGCAGCGTCGCGTCATCGCCACGGTCACCGATCTCCAAGTCGCCGATGTGGTCTCCCAGACTACGCGGCAAGGTCGGTTCCGGCGTCGACTTTGATCCGTTCTCCACCGCCCTGGCGAAGGCAGCCAAGGGCCCCTCCCCTCTCGGCGCCGGCGCCAAAGACACCGCCGACGCCGGAACAGCCTCCTCGCCCAAGAAGCCAGACCCCGTCTCCGTCACGTCGCCGCGCTGCATTCCTCCGGCGACGATGATCAATGGCGGGAGGAAGAAGTGGCGGCTCAGCGACATGCTCCTGTTCCGCAGGTCAGCGGCGAAAGCTCGCGCCGCCGGCGCCAACATCAGCAAGGAGCCGGTGTTCAAGTACTCGCCGGTGCAACAGCTCGGGACGCCGGTCAAGAAGGCGACCGCGGGTCAGTCCGCCGCCGCCAACGGCGATGTCTCCGCCGGGAAGCACAAGAAGCAGAGCAAGAAGGCTACAGCGGCGGAGGACGGCATGGCATCGCCGCACCGGCAGAGCGTGATGGGGTGCGTCCGGCTGAACCCCGGCCTGCACCGGCTGGCCAAAGGGTTCAACGGCTCGTCGCTGCACTTCGGCCACCGTCGCGCCGCCGCCAGGTCTGTGATGAACAGGTAAAGAATCCATGGCGTTAATCTCTCGTCATCCTAGCGAAGAAGAATTGATGGATTCTCCTCCTCAGCACGGCGATCATTTTCTTCGATTTTTATTGGAACAGTGACAATGTAAAATTCTTTTCTTTGCGCCGTTTGGAACGCAGGAATTTTCGTATTTACCTCAGACAACTGAGTAGTTTCCTGTTAAAATCCTGCGTTCCAGACGGGGCCATAGTGTTTTTTTTTCTTGGTTAGTTTGGTCTTTTGGATCGATATACCGCGATGTATTACTACATTTTGTGTTACACGGTGATAGAAGAGTTTATCATATGATTCATATGACTTGTTCGACATCTCTTTCTGATTGCTAGTTACTCTATCTTTTCCCCTGTTTACCTGAACTCATGTTTTCCCCCCTTCTCTAGTGTGCTACTGTGCTCTCTCTAGTCTCTACATGGATCTTTTCCTCATTTATTTGCTTTGTCCTCCATAAGGACCATAACCATTTATTCAGCATAACATCGTTTGAATATAACAGTAGCCACATTAGTTATAACCACTAACCAGTACTAGTACAAGAGAACAGAAGGGCATGCAGCAATAACACCGGTCACCGGCGCTGTTCATTCTGAATGAGAACTCTTGTTGTTTGGTACTAGTAGTAGTATTATCATCACTGTACTTGGACAAGGGGTAGTTCAGAGTTCCTTTTTCGGGTGATCCTTTCCTTCTGACGAACTCTAAGTCATTTTCACTAACAAAACACCGAAGGCCACGAACAAAATGGAAGTACATACGGCCGCTGTTGCTTCAGTGAATCGAAGTGATAGCCATGTTCTGAACAATAATACTAAATCAAATCACCAACCACCTGAGCTAGATTTCGCAAGATTATCTGACCATCAGCGATCGGCACTGCCTCTCCCAACTCCCAACTCAAAGACAACGTGCCCATGACGCCCCTTCCATTGCCAAATGCTATGCATGCACGCACGCACGAACGAACAGTCTGACCACCAGACATTCCTCTGCCAACGACGTGCGATGCATCATCGTCATCATCCTGGAGCAAAATCTGAACATGGCGATTCGGTTCAGATGTTCTCCTACTCCTACTCGCCTTGTTGCTCCCTGCACGATGCGTGTCGTCGTCGACTCGTCGGCGTCAGACAAGGCAGGCATGTCGGCTGAACGAAAGTCCCATCGTTTGGCTTATTTTCTAATAAGCTAAAACGGTTTATTAGAAAATAAAAATAAATTTGTAGGTAAAACTTTTTATAAATGTATTCTTGGTGACTTAAAAGCCGATGTTGAAAAAGAAATTACATTAAAAATATCTCAAAATTAAACTTAAAAATTTAAAATTTAGCTTTTTCTTTGGCTTATTACGCCATCCGATGGGAGCCGAAGCAGTAGTTGGTCGATTGATTTGCTTCCTAGCCGTGTCCCTCGTTTCAACGCCCGTTTTTGTCCTGCCGACCGCACGGTGGTCGCTGGGTTTTTGGATCTTTTCTCTCGTCGGAAGCTGGGGAAATGCAGGTCAAAAATGGTGGGGTTCATCGCGCGGCTTTTTTTTTTCCTGCATTTTGGCAGTAACTCGTATCGTTTTCGAACTTCTGAAAAGAACAAAAGGGATGGATGGTTTGTGTATTGACAGCCGAGGAGACCAAACGGTGATAGAGAAAACAAGCTTCACAGAGCTGCAAGTATCTTCCTGTTTGAACGGAGTCGCTCAGATCGCAGCCTCACAGTGATTCTGTCGCTACATGTATGTATGAGTTGGTTTATTGAGTATTTGAGTTTAACACAGTAACGGTAAAATGACAATATTTATTGTATTTTTTCGCATAAAACCGTTGTACATAAATATACTGTATTAGACAATATTCACTGTAGCAAATGGTAAACCATATATACTCAGTAGTCCCTTCGTTTCGTGTTATAAGATGTTTAAATTTTTTTTAAAGTTAAATTCTTTTACGTTTGATCAAGTTTATAAAAAAAGTAACAATATTTTCAATACCAAACAAACTAACTAAAATATATTTAATGTTATGTTTAATGAACTAATTTGGTATTATAAAAGTTGTTATATTTCTCAATAAACTTAGTTAAACTCACAAAAAATTAACTTAGAAAAAAAATCAACGTGATTTATGATATGAAACAGAGCAAGTAGTATTTATCCACATCACAGATCACACCCACCCACACATGTATCTTTTATAAATGCTTAGAACTATGTTTGAAGGATCAAATACCTTGTAGTAAGGGCACAACACATAACGCGTCTATATGAGCCAACGACCTAGTGCCAAATCCAAGATTTAAACTGTACTCCCTCCGTCCCAAAAAAAGCCAATCTAGTATTGGATGGGATGTTTTATAGGACAATGAATCTAGACAAGAGTAAGGCTGTGTTCGGGAGGAGGGGTTGGGCCCCGGCATGCAAAACGATGTTCGTATTAACGTGTGATTAATTAAGTATTAGCTATTTTTTTAAAAAGTAGATCAATATGATTTTTTAAGCAACTTTCATATAGAAACTTTTTTTTTTGCAAAAAACGCACAGGTAGTTTAAAAAGCGTGAGCGCGGAAAACGAAATTGGGGAGTTGGGAACTCCCAGCAAAGAACACAGCCTATACTAAAAAAAACATCACATCCAATAGTAGGTTGGTTTTCTGTGGGACGGAGGAGTAGTGAGTTAGGCGCATAATCATACCATCTAGTAGTAGCCATCTGGTTACACAAGAGTTTCTACTAATAAACATATAAATATTTAAACTTTGTACACTTATAAATTCTATAATAAACAAGTGTTCGATTGTTTTATTTGATTATTCTATTATTGCGAAACATAAATCTTGGAATAATACGGGCAGAGGATAGCCCAACGAAAAAAAATAGCCCGATTTTTTTTTTTGCCCGGCGAAGATTTAGATTTGATCAGTTCATAATGATCTAGAGGCAAAATTTGTTATTCCAAAAACTAGTTGAAAATTAATCTAACATCAGTGCTAATTAATTTTCGTCTTCAGCGTAGCGGTAAAGAAATCCAAATTCAAAACTGAAACCGCCCCCTCAGAATAGGAAAAACCAAGAAAGGCACGTACTACTACTGAAACTTGTTCACTCGGCAGCCGGCACCGAAGCCAACAGGCGGAGCAAAAATGGCGATCGCGATCTCTCAGGAGGCGTTCGACGCCATGGTGCGGGAGAACATGGAGGACCTCGGCATGGACGCCGACGAGGCCCTCGCCGACGCCGTCGACGCCCTCACCCTCCAAGGTGCCGACCTCTCCGGTAATCACCCACCAACTCCTCCACCTCTCCATCCCCTTCCAGATCCGCATCTCCCCGATCTTCGCATACCCTCGCCTGATCGAGTCTCTCTCCTCCCGTTGCCTCCTAACCAGGGATCATCAAGCGCGTGCCTGGAGAGGCCGCCGCGGCGGAGGTGAGCCCGGTGATGCGGGTGCTGGACGAGGTGAAGGCCTCTTCTGCCAGTGACAGTGACAGTGGCGGCAGGTCCGAGGAGGATGCTGAGAGGTTGGCCTCTTTGCTCGACGAGTTGCGCGAGCTGTGCTCCGGCGATGGGTTGGAGAATGCGGCGGTCGCTGCTCGGAATGGCGGCGTGGAGGCGCTCGTCGCCCTGTGCGCGTCGGCTGGGGTTAAGCAGGAGAGACTACTTGCCTCGGGCTTGAAGGCGCTAAGCTCCTTGCTCCGCGGTAAGTTGATGTTATTACCTCTGAGATATGAGGATGTGTTCTGTTTTGGTTATGCTATTATTAGTTTCTTACTTCTTACTGTTGTAAGCTTAAGTTTTTTGTTGTGATTAGAAATTCTGTTGAACTAATACTATTAGCATAGAGGCAGTAGAAATTCAGACTTGTTTCTGCTGGTCATAAATTTCTTATAACATGCAAGTGTGAGAATGTGTTGGAATGGTGTGTTGTAGTAAGAAATCAGGTACAGACTGGTTCATTCAAAATTCATACAATTGTGAAGGTAGACTCACCATCCAATTGCTAGGTTCAAATGGCATTAAGTCAAAATAATGGACTGGTCCCATTCCTTGATCTGTCAGCGCACATGCAACATAAACTTGTCAAGAGTACTGTACTTCCATGTCCGTTGCAGTGTCTTGCATTCATTTTCATAATATTATCGATAAGAAGAAGCAATCTCTGCTCTCTCCCTGACATTTGAGGTAACAATTCAATCTGTAGATGTTGGAAGCACTGAAAAGTTCAGGCAAAGCGAAGGGCCCCAAGTTGTCATGGGTATTTTGAAAGGAGGTTCAGAAAGTTCAGATATACTGGAAGGTGGCTTTAGGGTTGTGGCTTCAGCATCTGCAGGCAATGAAGTTGTTAAAGAGTGCTTTATGGTCCTGAAGGTTGATGAACTCATTTTTCAAGTTATGGGGGAGAAATCAAATAGCAATGTGCAAAGCTTGTATGATGCCATACGTGTTCTATTGACACCTGATGACAATCGTGTGGTGGCTTCTCAAGTATGTCCTATATGCTTGTGTAATTGTGTGAATATTTGGTCCAGTTTTGCATTAGCAAGTGGACCTATTTGCACTTTATTATGAAACTTTAGTTGTCAACTCTCCGTAATCTATGGTTTTTGGTAGTATTAAAGTATTAAACATTATGATGTGCTAGAGTTATGTTTATAGAAAAAGAGTCATATTTGTGATTGTGCATGCAAGTTAGTTTACATACATGAGGGAAGATGTAGATATGGAATTAAATTGAGTTATAATATGCACAGCACATGTAGTGGAAATATCCAGAGAACCTTTATTGTAATAATTGACAATCTAGCCATTTGAAACTTTTTAAGTGAATGGAATTTGGACATAGGAGATGACATTGACCAACATTTGTGATGCAGGTATATGGATATTCTCGGAGGTTCGCAGAAACTGGGATTGCAGCAGTTCTTGTCAATGCACTACGTGAGAAAGTTGCCCCTTCCAGCTTACCATCAGCTTGTGCGGCTCTGAAGGCAATTGCTGTCAATGTAAGAGAAAACTATGGTTATACTGGAATTCAAAAGTTTATTTTGAACTACTATAGATATTTCTTATGCCATTAATTCAATGTCATCTGGCAAAAAGAATATGAATTGCTGCTGCTGCAATTGCATATGGTTAACATTTATGGTAAGCAACACTTTGAAAAGTACGGTGCCCTTTATAATCAACTTCCCACCACCATCTTGCTCTTGCTATTTTTTCTCATGCTTTTGATCCCTGTTGTACTTGTAACAAGATGTCTTTACCTGGTGGAACTGTTGTCAATGTCCTTAACCAAAAACAAGCTGCAAGCTATACTCTTATGACTTATGAGCTGCCTCAGGATAACTTTACTAAATTCTTGTGTTACCTCAGGATGAAATATGCAGATCCATATCTGAAAATGGTGGGATTGATGTGCTTCTTCGCTGTATTGATGAGGCTAGTGAACAAAAGAACAAAGTTATAGCAAAATCTTGCTGCTCTCTGCTGTCCAAGGTCTGTAGTATGGTACACAAATGCATCAATCCTGTAACAGAGGAAATCCTACATTGATGAATCATACTTACAGACCATTCTTTCTGCTTGAAGCTGGCTGGAAGTGATGCAAACAAGACTACTATCATTGAACGAGGTGGTTTTGATAAGTTCTTGAAGTTGACATCGAGATTTTCTGAAGACCCACCAATAATACAAGAGGTACTGCCACATTGCATATAAATGAGAAATACTGAAGCATCTATGTGCGCTAACTTTTACAAGCTAAATGAATGTGTAGGTAATGTCTATGGTGACTATCCTTACACTGCGGTCACCAGAAAATGCAGCTCGTGCAATGGGAGCAGGGTATGGCACTTTGGCTATACAGGCAATGCAAAAGTTCCCTTCTTCTGCTCAAACTCAGAAGCAAGCCTGCCTTATGATCCGTAATCTTGTCGTCAGAAACCCTGAAAACCGGTATGCTGTACAATTCACAAGCACTACTGTCTGCTGGCATGACCTATTCAGAATTAAGGCATTTACAGTTCGATAGTAACATGCTTCTAGTATCAGAATGTTGACTTATGTGCTGCCATTGTAGGACGATCTTGCTTAATGATGGTGTGGAGAAGCTTATTAGGAAAACCAAGATGATGCACGGGAGCTGCAAAGATGCTGCCACATCTGCCTTGAGGGATCTGGGCGTGGACAACTACAATGCATAGACAGGGAAATGAATTTACTGTGCGTAAATTTTGGCAATCTGAGGATGTTTTGGGGGAATTAATGGTGTGTTTGGGTTGATAGGATTTTGGCTATGCTTGTGCGTGGTCTCAATTTTGTGGAATTAGTGGTGTGTTGGGTTGCTGCCCCTGCAAACTGCTTCAGCTATGAATTTGTGGAACAATAGTTCAGTAACACGAGGCGTTGAAAAGAATTGCACGTATCTGAGGCTCTGAGTTCTTCAACTGATACGAGCCTACAAGCATGTCCAGATCAAATTTCAGGTTCTACCGCGAGATGACCCGCCTCGCATGCTTGGCTCATTGGCTGTTTGCTAGACCAAAGCTATTTAGCTATGATTATTGTGATTGATGAAACTCCGGAGGTAATGAGTTGTAACGCGAACAAAACTAAAAAGGCTATCCATAACAAGAGCACACACCACACAGCAAAAGGCAAAGTTAAGCTAACCACACGCGAGAACACTTGCCAACAATGTTTCGTTAACAGGATTGGTCATTCAAAAGGCCTTTCCAAGAGTTTGACAATTCAATCCGCCAGACATTTCCTACGATAGCATTGTGGCAAACTCTATACTGCAAAACATAAGGCTTGGTGTCCAAAAGACCAAAACTATTTTCAACCATGGGAGTTGTTTCTGTTATGCAAAAACTCTCTCATCCATCACCTTCTGTTATGCAAAAACTGCATAACTCTCTCATCCATCACCTTCTGTTATGCAAAAACTCTCTCATCCATCACCTGAAAGCATAAAAATGGAGTCAGTATATTGAAACAACACAAACTTCGAAGGAATAGTGGCTGTGGGCTGTAAGAGCAACCTGAACTCTATTTTTTCACCAGGCAGCACCAGTATGTGTCATGAAGAGAACTACAAAACGTTGAACTTAAGCCGATCAGTTATTCTCCTGCAGAAAAACAAAACAAACTATCATCCAAATGACACATCCTCTACCGATGTTATGCCAAAGATCCAAACAAAAGATTCCAAATGGTGAATGTGGTATCAGAAGAGTACTTCATCGATCTTCTCTGAACCTCCTGATGGTTGGAACATCCTAGAAAATGCTTTCCGCTCCTGATCCCGTCTGTCAGCAATCTGCGATAATGTCGGTGACAGATCAATAACATCTTCAATGAAGGAACATCCATTAGTCCAAAGATTCATGAACTCAATGGACTAACCTTCTTTTTTGCAGCAGCCAGCTCCCGCTTAATTCCTCCTAGATTTATGAACACAAAATATATAAACTTCCAATGAAGAAACTTAATAGCCAATTGAGTGGGCAAGGGACAAACCATCGTTTGGCTCCAACTGCAGAGCATGCTTGAAGCTCTCAACTGCAGCATCAATATCATTGAGTGCGATGCGTGCCTGCAAATCCCAGTATCATGTTAAACTGCGTTAAATCTGGAAATTTGAACTCACTATGAAGGCACTAAGAACAAATCCTCCCAGCAACAACAAAAACAAGAATTGCAGATAATATTTTATCAAGTAAAACAGGATTATATGTAGATTGTAGTGCTGCATTGCTAATGCATACAAAAGTATGCAAATGTGGCTTTTTAAGCACAGCCTCATGCACAACTCCACAAATTAAGATTTTGCTATCTCAGGTAATATGACACCCAACAGTAACAGTGTAACACTAACCTGTCCTTGACGGAAAAAAGCTTTTGGGTTTCCCTCCCCTTCACGCAATGCAAAGTCTGCATCTAGTAAAGCACCTTTCAAATCTCCCAACTTCAGCTTGCAAGCCTGAACAAGTCATAAGTGGATTCAATATTTATAGCAGAGGCTAAAATTTACAGGAAATGTAATAACATTAGATGCAATTCAGAAAGCACTAATGAATAATGTCTCATCAGTATAATTTCTCATATTTATTACGAAAGGGAAGAAACTTGTGAATTATGATTTGTCATGCAACAAGTGGTTAGTTGTGGGACTTACAGAACTATTTGTGAGTATAATTGACTTTGTCTTCCGTAGTGCTGAGCTCTTCTCTGCACATCAATAAGCTGTTAGAATCAGCTAGTACGATATGCCTCGGTCTATAAGTATCAAATGATAAAATTAACAAAATTGAAGACTGATAGGAAAAGAAAAAAAAATACCTACCTTCATCTATCTCTTCTTTCTCCCAGCAAAGATCTAAGTATCTCATAGCTTTTCTGTACTTTTTGAGGGCTGTCTTGTAATCTTTTTTCTGCATAGTGAAGAAACTTCAGTTACAAGCTCCGGACATGAGCATCATCCGGTACTATATAACATACGATGATGCAACTAACATTCTAACAATGCAAGACATAATGCTGCAGTGAGAATTTCCTCATATGACCTAAAGAAAATTTCCAAAGGATGCTAAAGGAAGTGCATACCTTGAAATATTCATTTCCAAAAGATTTTGCAGAGTCAACAGCAGTCATCCACCAAGAAATTTCTGCAGGTTTTTCTTCGAGATCATTTGGCCAATCAGGATACATGTCACCATCACTGAAAAAGTTCACAACTCCATCACTGGCACCTTCTGGTAGTTCTCCGCAATCAACAATAACAATATCAGTAATTGGACGGTCAGATTCTCCAACAGAAACATGTTCCATTGAGCGAACCACCCCCATTCCTTTTATAACCCTTCCAAAAACAACATGTTTCCCATCAAGGTGTGGTGTTCGGGTTGTAGTGATGAAAAACTGAGATCCATTTGTATCGGGACCAGCATTAGCCATTGATAACATCCCTTTTCTCTCATGCTTCAGGACAAAATTTTCATCCTCAAAATTCAATCCATATATTGACTCTCCCCCAGTTCCATCACCAGCGGTAATATCCCCACCTTGCACCATAAAACCTTTGACAATCCGGTGAATACATGAACCCTGGAGGAGTAAAAACACCAAAAGAAAAAAAAAAAGATTGGTTGACGCAGTCAGTAAAACCTTTTTGGAAGTTAAAGATCCGATGATTCACAATGGTAAAAAAGAAAGGAAAACTATTGTGAACATTAAGAAATAATGTAACAAAGGCTAATCATGGTCTTTCTTTCAGCAAAGAATGGATGGCCATTGTAACCTTTCAAGGTTAAGAATGATGCTAACTCTGTCCAATTAGCATCATAGCCACAACAGTTAAGTGGAAGGATAGCCAACATCTAGAGTCCCCACCACTACAAAATAAAGTAGAGAACCACAGATTACGCAGTTGGATCCCTGTCGCCCCCCCAACAGTCAAGTAGGACTTGTCACTATTACTGCACTTAGTGTTTCCTTGCCATCATCATTCCAACTGACGACTAAAGAACCTAAGCTTAGCTTTTAAATACCAAGCCTCACTTAAAAATGTTGACCATATTGAACCAGATCCGCATATGATTCTCTTACAGCCATATAGTTTGTCCTTGGATTACTTCCCAAATAATAGATACTACACAAACCTTGGTCCACCTAGTGCAGACAGATGCTGCTTTAAGGCTAATCTACAATCGGAATAGTATCATGTCCACCTAGTGCAGACATAACTGTAAGAAAGTATTCTTATCATGTCCAACTTTTTGAACCCTGGCACATGGTCGAAATTATCAAAAGAGTTAGAGTCTTGTGCGTGTGCGTGCGCATTTCAGGCTAAACATGGCAGTGCTCTGCTTAAGCATTTCAGGAATATGTAGTACATTGTAACATTGCCAACAATAAAGCCACAGAAAGTAAAGGCATGCAAATTTGAAAAGAAAAAAAAAACTAAGGTGCTTTATGTTTCAGCGTGTACATCATAAGATCAGACAAGAAAGTAGGTAGGCCACCATGCAAGTGAGTAGTGAGATGACGTCAAAACTAAAGGAGGGCCATAGGACCATAATTTGAGTACCGGGACCAGTTGTAGGCAGTGGCACATGAAGCACATCACTATCACTAGTACTAAAGCAAAGATAAGCCATATGGATTAAAAGCAGTTAACACTAACTGGAACGATACAAAGTACTAGCGCCAAACATGAGAACTAACAATAGGAACACACCGTAACAATGTCAGCGAAAGCAAAGTTGTCGAATCAAAACAAAAGGCCTGCGAGGACTTGGAATGGCGTTGTTACAGAAGGGGACAAATCAAAGCTAAAGCTGAAACAACCAATTGCAACGTGCAGACACCTGAAAATACTATTTCCATCGACCAAATGGACCATGCAAACGGATTTGTGTTGGATTTGGGGATCAACTTGCTCAGCAGTAAATGTGCTGCAAGTGTGCAAATGTTCACCGCGAGGTTTGTGCGGAAATTGCGCTAAGTAACAAAGTTAAAATGGCAGCGGTACTGAATAAAAATCTATGGAACGCGATAGTTACTGAATCATGCGAACCTCTGTGAGCGCACAACCAAATCATAATCGTCAGGTGGAAATCGCACTAGTACGCAAACAGCATCAAATTCATCTGCGAAACCACACAATCCCCAACTCGGATAGCTTAAACACCCCCCAACTACGATCAATCGCACCGCAGCCGGCATCCTCTCACGCGTCGACCCTCCAAGGCTGCAACCAGGAAAAACTACGGGTAGCACACGGACCGCCAAACCAGGACAAACCTTGTAGTGAAGCGGCACGCCGGTGGCGGCGCTGACGCCCTTCTCGCCGGTGCAGAGCGCGCGGAAGTTCTCCGCCGTGCGAGGGGCCACGGAGGCGTAGAGCTCCACCACGATCCGCCCCTCCATATCCCCGCCGATGCTCACGTCGAGGTAGCACCTCGGGTTCCTCACCACCACCACCTCCGCCTCCTCCTCCTTCCCCGCAGCCACCGCCGCCGCCGCCGCGGCGGTGGTGGTGCCCTCCCCACCGCCCTCCATCGCTGCTGCTCTAAAACCCTAGAGGGCGACGCGCTTCTCGAGGTGGCGGCGTTGCCTCGTGTTCCGCTCACGGCGAGAGGAGGGAGAGGGGGAGGGGGAGGGAGAGAGTCGTGGCCTCGTGGGCTGTGTGTGTCGTTGCGGGACGGCGCCTGTGTGTACTGTGGGATGGGGGAGGGGCGGTGCGGATGATTACTCGATTCAAATGAGGGAGGGGGACAGCAGAGGGGGCGGAGGGGGACCTCTGCGTGGGCGTGAGAGCATCTCCAACAAGGATTTCCCTTACGGCGGTAACCGCGTGGTTACTGGGCTTACCGCAGGGTACGGTAATATAAATATTACAGTAACCTCCTTAAATTCAAATAAATTTAAAAAATAATTTGAATTTTTGATAAATTTTGCACGGTTTTTCACGGTTTTTTGCGGTTACCGCGGTAACCGTGCTTACCGCCGGGGCGCAGTAACCCCGGTACCGGCGATTTGGGAAACCCTGTCTCCAACAGCCTCTCCAAATCGAACTATATAAACACCTATATAACCAACTTTCCATCTAATTTGGCTATTCAAACTAGCTACTCGCTCCAACAGCCTCTCCATATATCATCCCCATTATAAGTATTTGACAAATGGGACCCATTTGTCATCCTTCGCTATATCTCTCTTCTTCCTCCTCATGTACTACTGTCTCCTCCCCACGCCCTCTACCTCGAATGCGGCGATGGCGACTGCGCAGAGGCTCACAACGACGGCGGAGGCTCGCGGCGACGACGACGACCTCAGCAATGGGGAGGGGGTAGAGATGGAGTGGAGGCGGCGGCGGTCGTAGCGGGCGACGACGACAACCTCAGCACGTACCTCGACACTGGCACCTTGCCTGCCACCGCCACCAGACCCCGACAACGTCTTCAACAGCCGCGGGAGCAGCAGCGGCAGCGGAGCGGTGCTTGGAGCTCATCTGCAACGGAGGGTGCGGCTTGAGAGGACAGCGCGCTCCGGCGGCATCGGTGCGAAGACAAGACAGTGAGAGAGACGCGCACGCCGTGGAGTTGAGCAGCAGAGGAGAGCGGAGCACTAGCAGAAGTGAGAGAGACGTTGGGGGTGGCTAGCTACTTAGCAGAGGCTACGGCACGGAGGACGGCGGCGGACGACGGCGCGAAGGATAGCGGCGGCTGTGGCTGGCTACGGTGTGGAGGACGGTGGAGGTCGCGGCAAGCGACGGCGCCGAGAGCTTGGAGAACTGTGTTGTCGAGCCGATGCGAGAGAGGAGCCGGAGAGGAGATGGGAGGAGGAATGTGTGTAGGGCCCACGGTTGCCTAGTGACTTTTGGCTGACCAAATTTGGCTAGTGGAGGAAGGGTTTTGGCCAGTTGGAAATGTTGTTGGAGGACATTTTTTTTACTATAATGGCTAAAATTTAGCTTGGAGAGTGAAATGGAGAAGTTGTTGGAGATGCTATGATAAGATGAATAGCAATGTAGGAGTAGTATGTCGTGTTATTGACTTGTGTTGGTTGGTTCATTGGTTGGATAGATGTTTGCTGCTTTCTGGGAGAGCTGGGAAGTGGGCCATGTTTGTCAGCTTATGAGAATTGAGAATAGAGTGAAGAAGAACTGTTCAAGATCCACTATCACACCACCTCAGTTTTTAAGCATGCGTCAGATTGAGTCGAGGTGTTTGGTTTGGGGTTACGTGAGATGGTTAACAAGGAGAATATTTCTCTAAGATCCGGATTGGCTTCACACATTAAAAATTGAGGGGCCCGGACCAATCCAACCCAATTCCTCTCAACTCGTTGACATGGGTCACAGACTCTTCCATCCCTCATATCTAACCGATAATGTAACCATCATATTCTAAAAAAATAGGGTCCTTATCTCACCCCCAAATCAAACACAAGAGATATCAACAATCTAATGCACAAATTTTATCACTATTTTTCTAAACTATATAGAATTATTTTAAATAAAAAATTCCATATACTCCTAAACTATATAAAAAATTTCAAGTACATCCTAAACTTTGATTAAAAAGTTTTTTTTAACTAAAACTAAATGAAAGTTTTTTTAACAAATCCCTCCATCCTAAAATATATATTTACTGGTTATGTATCCCAACAAACACTTATCCATATATAAATATTATATAGTTAGAAATTACTATATTTTAGGACGAAGTTAGCAATATAAGTTTCACATTTTAAATCATGGTTTGATTGCACATGTTACATCGTCCTTTTGAGAACGAGGATGGAGGTAGTAACTTTCCTTTGGGCATGTTATTTTTACAATATTTGAGATGCTATTTTGATCTGTTTTATTAGATCAAGATATGATAGTAAAAAAAATCAATATTGGAAAAAACGTTTCTAAAGACAATTTTAATATGCAATTGTTATATATACAGATTAAACTTATTTTCTTATACCAATGAGATGAACAAAGGCGATGCTACAGTGAACCAAATATGGATTAATTCTCTAGCTGATGAATAAATCTGGCAACTGAAATCCAACCATTTACGGTCTTATCTTTTCACTTATGCTTATACTTATTAACCAAAATCTAAATTTTTAACCTTAAATTTGAAGCCGATTTTAAGGTTTTTTCATCGACATTAATTTTTTTAGCCTTTGCTTTTACATCGCTAAGAACACATATTATTTAGCTTATTCCGCAGATAAGTCAAACGGTGAGGCTCTTAATCCAAAATAGAAGGATATGCGAGCAAACGGAAAGATATAGATTTTTTAATATTAAATGGAAAGATCAGTACATATACTGCAGCTGTCACCTTTTCTGCTGCGTCGCTGTACATCTGTAGCACACAGCAACATATACCCCGTTAGTATCCCATAATGAAAATCAATGCTGGAGCGCATCTGCATAGTGTTCTTCCATGCAGAGCATATCTCAAGCAACAAATTGCAGCCCGCGAAATAGCGTGACAGGTAAATCATGAAAAGAAAAGGGAAAGGAAAAGGAAAAGCTATTAACACCAACTAGTGGCTGCTAGCTAAGAACTGAAATCTAACGACAGCGACAATGTATATATATTACGCAAGAATGCAAGATAGCGCAAGATCATACTTAGAACGCTGCAAAAGACGCATCATAATTAAGATAGCAACAAAGTGCATATATGATGTATCGCATAAGGAGTGCCAATAGCGATGGGATAATTAAACGGCACATAGATCTCAAAGTTTAGTCAAGATCCTAGCGAACAGTACAAGCGGAACATCGCATCATGCAGCCACAAGGATGATAAATCAGGTTAACTGATCTCGCTTCCAACGCAAGATTATATTATTGCAGTCTGGGTTTGGGAATAACACAAGCGTTTCTCCCCTGGATGCCGCAACGACTCCAACCAGATCTGCAAGGATGCTTTTTTTTTCCTTTCAGTTACTTCCATGCACCACAAGGCAGCCTGCAAATTGTAGAGTTGAAGAAAAATCGAAATGAACAAAATACTGAAGGGCAAATACAAGTAATCAAACGTAGTTGAGTACACCCCCAGGCAAGAATTCAAATTCCATCCTTCTTCTCAAACCAATCAGAGAACCAAATGTGGCTTAACTACATTTGACAAGTATTAGGACATGAAACAAAGTATAGCTTAATTAAGAAAAAGAAAATAAGCAATTAGAGAACCAAATGTGGCTTAACTACATTTGCCAAGTATTAGGACATGCGGAATGAAATAAAATAGTATAGCTTAAGGAAGAGAAAAAAAAAGCATTTATCAAATGTGTATTAAGTATACATGTATCTTTTTTAAAAAAAGGTACACATATCTGGATTTATAAGAAAATAAGAATTAGCAAAAGGCCATAGCTCGGTCTCAAACAATACCCAGAAAAACACGACACACAATTTGTATCCATGTATACAAAATAAAGTTTAATAATAATATAAATGGATTATCTTGCCTGTTGATAATATGATAATACATCTAAGGATTAAAGTCACCAATCACATCCTTAAAATCCATTAAACCAAATAATCATATGACCAATATTCCTGAAACTTGAATTGGAATTTAACTTCAGCACATAAACAAAGTGATCAGAAACTCACCCTAATTTCAGGGATACATCCGAGCCATCATCATTATCCTGCGACTGTGAACTTCCAGAATGCAATGCAGTCATCACAGATTCAGAGGACTGTCCTTCGGTAACAAAATTTTCAGTATCAACAACTTGCTTCTCAGCTGGTGATATCTGGGATACCTGTATTCAGTACCAAGAAAACGAATGTGTTCAGATGGACTGGTCTTAAGTCCTCAACAAACCAAGAGCTTACAGAAGTAAAATTTATACCTGGTTTCTGAGTTGCATGTTCTCCTCTGCCAGCTGTGAACTCTGCAGTGCAACAGAGAGTATGCAACACATAATTATAATGTTCTCTTATTTCAATTGGTAAGGGTTTGAATAAAAACAAGCAGGCACAAGAACATTTTGGATGCGGTAGAATCTATTGTAGATTCTTTTTTTAACTATAAGATTGCATTTCCCAAGAAATGGTACTGTTTGATCAGTTTCCAACACAGCAAGAAACATCTACAATACTTAAATGTATGTAAATGGGCAAATGGTAAATGATGCAGGACAGAAAAACTAAAGTACAATTTCCATTTAAATTAGTTATTTTATCCAATGGGTACCCTCTAATTTGATCTTCAAGATAGTCAAAATCAATGTTTCAATTTGGGGGAAGAAGGGACATGACTTAAAACGCCAATATAATTTGGTAAAATTGAAACAATAAGGACTAGAAGAAATTGTTTTTAATCGCTAAGGACTTTTCCGGCATGAACAAAACCCGCAGACTTCCAAGGGTTGGGCAGGGAATTTAGTCCAAAATTCCGACTCATCCATGGGGAAAAGGCCAGGGTGGTGATGATTTAGTAAATTTGCTTGAACAGATGCATGTGCCATCTTGCAAGAAAAGGCAGAAGGTGGCAGCATATATTAGTCATGCAAGATGCAACAGTAAAATTATAAGTGATTTCACTCTGTATTGGAGAGAACTATAAATCAACTTTTTACACAGTGATGTATTGGAAAGAATGAACTACAAATAAGCCAGCAACGGATACTTGTATGCAACACAGTCTTCTTTAAAGGTTCTACTTTTGCAAGAAAAAACAAATTATATGTTGCCAAGCTACATTGATGATTCAGGGTTAATCTAGCAACAGGTGGTACCTTCCGCTGGAGTTCACTGATCTGCTCCATAAATTGTTGATCCTGCAAAATCATATAGCAATCAATAAGTTGTTCATAGTACGAGCTACGTGATGAGTCTGGGTGATGATCACCAAACCTTTGTCAGCATCACCCTGTGCAGACCAGCTTCCAGGTTCTTCTCTAGCTGCTGGAGTTCATCAATGCTCAATCCCTCAAGCTCCTCACCTCTCATTTGTCTACAATTTGTTCATGTACCAATGATATACATTTGAGAATAAATGCCTCAAGAATAAAGGATCTGAGAACAAATGCCTCAAGTATAACATTTTTTTTAAAAAAAAAAGGTTAAAAGAACTGACCTAAGCCGGAGACTAGCTTCCGCAAGTTGCTCATTCAAATGTGCATACTTGCTATGTTCTAACTGAAAAGAAAAGATTGAACTGTTAGTATTAACTATCTGCATAAGTAGCATTTAGAAAATATATCTGCATAAGTTTAAGGCACCTATTACATCATGCCTGAGCACTAATTACTACTAACAGTACTAAATTTGAGTTCATGATCCATGAAAAAACAGAATTAGTATTGTGCTATAGTGTACCGATTCCAGGGAATTTTTCTCAAGATACAATAGAAAAAGATAGAGAACTATATTATTTAATAATGTTAATTTATAGTGTATCACCAAAAATATGAGGAAGTGAGAGATGTAAATTGTTTCTGCAAGTATTAATTTTTTTAAAAAAAATCCAGCAACAAAAAATTAAAACAAATAATTTACATATTTAACACACAACCAACAAAACAGACATCATTAGAGCATACTGAGAACTTTGAAAGGATCCACATATGCGATTGTTTTTTTAAGTTTAATTTGTAAAATTTTAGGGTACAGAAATAAGATCATAATGCTACCAGATGTGAAAACCTAAATATGAATATTTTGCTATTGTGCCACCCTAAGGCCATGGACATAAAATGACCCATTTTGAACCATTATCTAATACTACTATATGTAGTTAGGCAACATTAAGATGCAATATATATGAAGAACAGTATTTACTATTAACACAGTATGATAAGATGATTCACATACATTCAAGTCGAGCGAAGGCTGTTCTGCTTTCCCCAGATTATTAGAATGTGTGTTGTACTTGTCGATGATTTCATTCATACTGTCCAACAGAAGGCATCATCAATACCACAGTAGGCCACAGACCATCAGATAAAACGAAAATAGAACATAAATTATACATGAATGTTCATAATTATAAAGGCACGGGCCAAGTAGACTACAAGTCTATAACATTGCAGGAGTAATCTTGAGAAATGAAAGTGGTTTTCCCTGGTCAAATTAACACGGGTAAGTTGATATTGACAGAAATATAGGAATTAAGCACTGAAAAAGAAAACAGTAAGAAAATCAGATATTATGGCATCCAAATGTAGAAGAAAGGATCAATACATTGTCCAGCTGTAGAACAAATAATCAAGACAAATGTTAGTTTATAAATAGTAACTTCTTAGATAAACCAAGCCTTGCAGCTCCAAAATTGAATTAATATTATAGAGTGTGATTTTTTATTGATAGAAGCACGATTTATGGATTCTACCAGTACTCACTACCAGGTAAAATGAACATATTTAAATGCTACCAAGGCTGAATGATTGTCCACATATAACAGTACCAGCCATCCCAGTTTATTCTTTATCTTCTTCCAACACTTAACTCTAGTTTGTAGAAATGAACTAAAAATAAATTGTACCATGGATGAAATTAAGTTGTATATGTGCACATTTCTAAAAAAGTACATCAAGAGAAGTTGAATCCTTGCTTAAGTTGTGCTACTGACAACTGATGTAAAACCATAAAAAACATACTCCGTCCATTCTTTTATATATGATATGAACTAAACAAATTCATATGTAGAAGAGTAAAGGAAGTATCAGGTTATCTTATCTGAGATAATCTACATTCATCGAAGAAATGAAAAATGATGTACTTAAATTTACATAAAACAAATTGCAATTGTTTAACAAAATCCCTGTTTGAAGTAAAAGAAGTTAAGGTATTATAAATTGATGCAAATTAACAAACCTGAAATAATAATTAAGATACTTTCTCAGCAAAAGAGAATTCTAGCTAACACCATTTTTGTTTGTTTGTATATATATATATATATATATATATATATATATATATATATATATATATATATATATATATATATATATATATATATATATATATATATATAGTGACGATGAAGTGATGGACAGGTACATGAAGATATAATGAGATATGTACTAGTACAACATTTCTTTTATTAAGACAAAGGAAACTTTTCGAAATGGATACATGCAAGATAAAGATCTATGAGTAAATTATTTCAGTTTGTTATCATGAGTAACAAATTAAAGGGCGAGTATATCATAAACAAACTCATATTGTACAGCTGCAAACAAGACTGAACAGCACGATGTAAATACATATAGCGATACAGCATAACAGTATAATACCTAATTAAGGCGCAGAAAAGGGATTGCAATGAGGAAAGCATTGTCCTCAAATAAGGCGAGATGGATATGACGAACGATACGTGTAGGAGACTACCATATTTCTCATCAAACAACAGCTCTGCAATGATTTAACACATTGCAAAAGAAAACAACAACAGGATATTTCTCATCAAACAACAGCTCTGCAATGATTTAACACATTGCAAAAGAAAACAACAACAGGATATTTCTCATCAAACAACAGTTCTGCAATGATTTAACACATTGCAAAAGAAAACAACAACAGGAAGCGAGGTTTTCCGTGCACAAAACACGAGACCCCCCATTGATCAGAGGGTAAAACGCGACGCATCAGCACATAAAATCACACGTACGACCGTAGGCTATCAGCAGAGCTAGCTAGCTTTATCACCAACACAGCACTACTGCGACACACACATCGATTAACTCCACGCGCACATAAACAGCAAATAACAGGAGTTGTCGTACGATATTTCCAGTAGGAATGGCCAAATAAGATGGGCTACTCATGCACCAAAAAAAGAACACCTCGAAAATAATCTGCAAAAGTACAGGTGCAGACTACATACACTACAGTAAATCCCCTACATCTAAAGGGGGCGAAAGTAACCACGAGTCGTTCTAAAACTGTATTGATTTTTCTGAACGGGTGGAAATGGTGAGATCCGTGTTACTAGTTAAAATATCCCGTGTTAAACCCTAGCCCAGGCGGATGGATCTTAGACATCGAAGTCAAAGGGAGACCGGGGGAGGAAACGCGCCTAGCTAGATCTATCGAAACGCGGGAGACGAAGCGGAGTCGAGAGATATCCAGGCGTGGGAGTAGAACAGCATACCTGGAGCTTGCGAAGTGGGATAGCTTCCCCGTGGAGGAGAAGACGATGAGCGCGACGTCGGCGTCGCAGAGCACGGAGAGCTCCTCGGCCTTCTTGAACAGGCCGCGCCGGCGCTTGGAGAAGGTGACCTGCCGCGCCGCCGCGCTCTCTATCCTCTTTATCTCCCGCCTCTCCCGCGCCATCGCCGCCGCGCGCGGATCGACCGAGACCGATCTCCTCCCCCTCCCCGCCGCCCCCCCGCCTGATCCTCCCCCACCGGCCAGGGAACGGAAGCCCTCCTCCTCGCCGCCGATCGAGACAAGTCACGGCGCGGCTACGGCTGGGATGGGAGAGAGGGCGTGCGTGGGTAGAGGAAAGGGGGGAAGGAGACGAGGCGGAGGGTGAGGTGAGGTGAGGTGAGGCGAGGCGAGGCGAGGCGCGGCGCGGCTGGTGTCTCGAGACGGGGACTTGCTCCTATTGGCAGGTCGACATAAATAAAGCGAGGGGGGCAACACCGCAACTGGCAAAGGCGAGGATGAATGGACGGGTGGACGGATAGCAACCCAACGAGAGAGCCCACACAGTTTTTCACCCATAAAAAAACAGCAAAAATATACTAATCGCGGGATGAGAGGCACAGTGTCGGATGGCGAGGCCACGGGGCGGGCAGGCCCAAGTCATTGTTTATGCCAGAAGGAACCGTGAGCTGGGCCCCACCAAGCCTTACTCACAACCCAAAGAAAAATCTTAAAATAAACGGCGAAGCAGCTAGGCGATGGGGGATTGGGAGGCTATGGTCGGTAGGGGCATGGGGCGCTATGCGGGGAATGGCGGAGGATTGGGGAGGCTTCCGGAAAAGGAAAGGGTGGTGGCTTCGGGCGGCGCGGCCGGCCCAGAACAGTACTCCACTGGCTGTAGCAGCAGCAGGCGGCCGGCCGCGCGGTGATGGCGTGCCGCGTGCCCGCGTGCGTGCTGAACCGAGCAAAAGGACCGCGGAAAGGAGGGGGGATGGGCGGCTGGGCTGGGCGGGTAGAGGAGAGGAGAGGAGAGCACGGGCGCTGGGCGCCGTGTGGTGGCGGGTTTGTTTGTTGGGAAGGGACGAGGCCAGAGGGAAACGCAGCGGATTGGGGGGGTGGGGAGGTGGCACTGCCGCCTGTGCCTGCAGGCGGCCGGATTCGCTGTTCCGACCACGGCGCTGTGGCGATCTTGTGTGCGCCGCGGGCGCGAGGCCGGTGGTGGTGTGTTGTTGGGTCGCCGGCCGACCTCTCTCGAGCGCTTTCCAGAGTTCGCGCTTTGCCTTATTCACATTTTCTCAGCGATCGGCTGTTTGCGCTGGCACTAATTGGCCGGCGTTCAGGTGCCTCCTTGAATTTCTTTAGGGCTTGTTCAGAATAGAGGAGAAACACAGGAAAAATGAAGGATTTGGGTTCCTATGGATTGCTTTACTGTGGCGTCATTTGGATCACATGAAAATGTTCGTAGGAAATACATAGAGAAATTTCCTACGCTAGCCATATCACTGGAAGATCATAGGAAGAAAAACATCCATGCTGACCTCTTTTTTCTCTCCCTTCGCGTGGGAACGAGGCAAATCATGCCATCAAGCAACTAAAGCACATTATTAGGTTGATTAATGTTGTTTAATTCACTAGTAGTATGTGATAATTTTGTAATAGTGCACCTATTTTCTTCTAAAGATTCCTATGTTTTTCCTTTACTCCATCCACACCTATTCACATGAAATTCCTATGTTTTCAAATCATCTGTTTTACACTTGCATTCCTATCCTATTCCTATATTTTTCCTATTCCTATATTTTTTTCAATCCTACATTCCGAATGAGCCCTTAGACTCGGCAGCAATCTGAAAGGACCTTTGTTATATTTTTCAGGTTAATTAATTATAGTTTGCAGTGAGAGCATATACAACAGCATACTATAAGCGAACTGTAAACACATATGTAGGAGATAAAAAGGAGGATAATGGTGGAAGTAAATCTATCACACCATACGTGGTTTGCCATCCAACTCGGTTACAGCATAATCAAATAAGTAAAAATAAATAAAGAGTAAATTGCACTTAACATCGGGTAGATTTATTTTGTTTTCCCTTTACACCCGGTTTCATATATACCTTCGCTTTGCACCGAGGGATGACAAATTAACTTTCACATCACACCACCTTCCATGCTTGGACTCAAACCAATGCACACGGCGTCATCCATATTGTCATCTATTGTTCATGTTGGCTAACATGTGTCCACTACTTAGCCAGACAAGGCGGCCTCCAATGACAGGACCGAGTAACAGGGTGGGGCACCGACCTGCATGTTCATCTTGAGGGTGTCGACGGGGAACATCGTTGTGTGCTCGATAACGCCGGCAAGCATGTAATACTAGAATCGGATGCCGTCATGGGTCGCGGCAACAACAAGCACCAGCTTGGGCGGATTTTACGCATGCTCCTCGCTGGGCAACGGCGGATAGGAGGCGGTCGGGTGTGCGGTACTCGGTGGCCATGGGAAGTGGCTGCGCTAGGGTTAGGGTTTAGACTCGGGAGAGAGGGCGAATGAGGAGGAGGCAAGGAGGAAATAAAGGTGAGGGATTTGGAAAAGACGTCGCCATCTAGGAGGAGCAGAGGGGGGAGAAGGGGTGGAGGTCAAATCGATCTCGATACATCCTTGCCCTTGCTCTTGCTCTCGATGCAATGTGTGGAGAAAGCTGATAAGAGGTGGATAGAGATGGGGAAAATAGAAGAGAGGAGGATAGAGGAAAAAGATGAATCTGACGAGTGAGTCCCACACACAGATGGGGAAGAAGATGAAAAACATGACGGTGATGGCATGGTTTTAATTTTGTAAAATTTGTATGGCATGACTTCGAATAGACGAATTATATTGACATTTATCTGAATATGCATATTTATAATGACGCCTATTAAATAAACCCTTAAAAGAATTTACTGTAAGTTACATGTCTTTATGGACAAATGCTGGAACGAGCAATAGCGGTTATATTCAATAAGATATAGAGACAATGAGCAATCATATGTTATGGTCCATAACACCATGTTCAAATGGTGTAGATATCCGTGTAAAAATGTTTATATTTTGGAGCGGATGGAGTAGCTATTTTTGGCTACCAATCTAGGTCAACTATTATATTTAAGATCAATATTAAGTTACAGAGTACCTAGACAACCAATCGAACTCCATATCGTGTGACTTTTGGTATATCCTCTTTAAGATTCATGCATAGCCCCCTCCGTCAAATTGGACTCATTCCCCTCACCCCTCATCCTCCCCACGCCCATGGTAGCTGGGTGTACCTGCCTTACCGTTTTCCCCATCTCGTGTGACTCCACACCACAAGCTACCATCGAATAGTCGCTTCGTCTGCTCCTGTTGGCAACACTGATCCACTGCTCATGGTTGACTCCGTGGCTCGGTTGCTATCACCCCATCTGTATGTGTCCACCGCCTAGATATAAATCTTAACCTGAATTCAACGGGTCAACAATATCCTCTGACTTTCTAGTGTGTTGTTTCCTCCTTTCTAAAATAATTTCATTTCTCATCTATCAACGCATATCAATAAGAAAATTAAAATGCTCTCAACTTTATCAAATTACAATACGATTATTTTTCTACTCTATCTACTCTAAATGTATTTACCTCTCATTTTCATAAACTTCTCCAATGTAATGATTGATGAAAAATAAATTTACTCTGTGACTAATAAGAGCGACGAAAAATAAATCTATTATAAAAAATAGATTATTTAGCAAATTCAATAATTTATTAGTCTCCAGCAGTCAATGGCACGACAGCCCACTCCTGCCCCAGTGCAGGCTTTCTCATGCTTTGGTTGTGTTTAGTTCACGTGCTAAAATTTTTTTTATATATGGACACGTATTTAAAGTATTAAACAGACTAATAATAAAATACATTATAGATTCCGTCTGGAAACTGCGAGACGATTCTATTAAGCCTAATTAATCCGTTATTAGCAAATGTTTACTGTAGGATAACATTATCAAATCATGGTGTAATTAGGCTCAAAAGATTCGTCTCGCAATTTAAAGTCGGATTATACAATTGGTTTTTTTCATTTATATTTGATGCTTTATACGTATGTCTAAATATTCGATGTGACGGAAAAATTAAAATTTTAAAGAAAAAAATTGGAATGCCTTCGACATGTTGCGGCCGTACGGCGAAGCCCTGCATGCAGGGGAATCGCGACGAAATGCCATACGCGCCTTTTTGCGGTTTGCTCAAGCCCAGCTCTGCCGCTAGGCTATAGCTTCCCTTATTGGGGGCCATGACTATGAGCCGAACTCCGACCATGAACCCATCAAGATCCATGCCCAAAAACGCGCAAAAGTTCACTGTGCATAAACAGGTCACGCGGTGTCAGGAAACAGGCGTGTCGACAGCTGAGACCCCAGGCCCCCAACCCGCACGCTATCCGCAAGCGGAAACGTCAGCCCTCGCGGCATCCAAAAGGCTACGAAGATTTTCGCCCACCGGCGGCAAACACGATCTCTCGCCCGCGGACGCCGAGCCAGCCGCGATCCACGGATCCAACCGATGCTGCGTGGATGCACGCAACTGCTGCCGCTTGATCGATGCGTCGTATAACAGCGTAATTAACGGCGTAACGCGCCGGGACGTACGGGCCCTCGCGCGCGGAAGACAGCCGTCTGTGTCCTTGTCCCGGCGAAACGCGCCGCACGGGAGCGAACAGCAGCGTGCACCGTGCAGTACAACGACGTACCCCGTGCCACGGGCAGGCGCCTAGGTGCAGCGGAGCTGTGTCCACTGTACTCGTACCCTGGATGCAGATGCAGCTAGCGCCTAGCGGCTCAAGGCTCGGCGACACAGCTTAGCTAGCGGTACGGGGGCACTGCTGCTGCTCGTGGCCTGTTTTGGTGTACAGTACAGTACAGGTACTACGAGCAGTCTTGTTTTGGTGTGCTACGTGGTACTGTACTCGCGTACGTGCTGCAAAACAAAGACAGGCTGGTTCTTCGTTCGTTTGTGAGGTACTCCTTTCGTATTATTTTTATTATTTTCTTATTTATATGTTGTTTGTAGAAGTAAGAGACAAATGCATTACAGATAGAAAAAGTGAGAGATAATTGTATTGAGATTTGATAAAGTAAAAATATTTATTGATATGTATGAGATGTGTAAAAATTTAATTTATTTTAGACCAGAGGTAAGCACTTCCTCCTCAAAATAACAACTTATAGTAAAAGTTCTGGACAAACGCGGTTCTTTAAATTCATTCTCAAAAATAAATTCATTTTAAGGCGGATGATGTAAGCAGAGATTTTCAATGACGCAGAAAACGAGAACTATCATTAGCACGATTAATTAAGTAGTAGGAAGTAACCAAGCCGAGATGTTGTTGGACTCAGAACTCGATCTGAAATAGACAGGAGGAAGATAAGCCAGATAATATGAGGCACTATCGCCTTTAGAGCATCCCAGTAGAT